AACTTCCTGACAACACTTAAAGTGATTAATGGTTGGAGGGGAGTAAGTAGTAAGGTAGGATGGCTGATGGACAACAATGTCAAAGAGGAAAAAATGAAACAATTAGAAGATAGATTAAGACAGAAACAAACTAAAGGAGCATGCAAAAGATGCCACTTGATGCATCAAGGTGAATGCATGATGGAACAGTTACTAAGTTTCATTCTTTTGACTGGCTATTACAATATAGACTTGTGTTTTATTACCTTATCTAAGATGTTTAGGAATCAAGAAATAATATGGATACTTCACAGCTACGATGATTTTCTTAAAGTTATATTAAGTGAATATCGAGGGACATATGGGTATATGTACTTCATATATATAATGATCCAACAAGTGAAAGAAGAGGAAACCAGCATAATGCATTACCATTTGGATAAGAAGACTAAAATGGTATTAAAGTAAGTATAAAATTATAGTTATATATGTATGTAAAATTCTTTCTAGTATAAATTTTAACATTACAATATATTTCTAACTAACTTGACTTCACTTCTTCCATTTAGAATCATTACTTTCTCTTAATCATTACTTATACAAGTTAAATATATTTTCTACTATACTCAATAAAAGTTATTGCTAGCTTACTGCTACTTCCAATAGTATATTTTATTACTTTCCCAATTAAAGATTACTATCCATTAGACTCTTGTTCTAATTCATATCACTAATAAACACTACTTTTAGTTAGACTTGTAAAATAAGCGCTACTTACTTCTACATTTTTAACTATATCATATACCACTGATACGTCAGCTAATACTATTGAAGTTATTTCTAATTCCAATTGGGTACCTCCAATATCCTTGAATAACACTTATATTTAAAGTATCATTAAGTTACCTTCAGTATAACCTCTAAAACTATACTTATAATATCTAATAGACATTCTATATTACTCTTTAATTACTTAATTACTATTTCCATATGATGATATTTCTAATTAATTTGTTCTACCTTCCATCCTACAGTTCCTTTACTTTAATTAAAGTCACCTTAAATACAACTATTATGTGACAACAATATCTATATTTATTAAATTCTATTAGCTTTCCGATAGTTAGAACAAGATTACTTATGTTACTACTACATTTAACAACACTCATTAATTACTACTATTTAAACCAATTCTATCTTCAGTGCTAACTTAGCTTGACTTGCTATTGTTAAATTTCTAGTAAATTCTACTACTTAATTCTAAATTGTATTAGTTCTATCTAAATAATTTCAAATTAACATCTAAACTACATTATGTTCCAAACTAACTTCTAAAGCGCATTAAGTTCCAAACTAATGTCTAAATTACATTATGTTCCAAACTAATATCTAAACTACATTATGTTCCAAACTTACTTCTAAAGCGCATTAAGTTCCAAACTAATGTCTAAATTACATTATGTTCCAAACTAATATCTAAACTACATTACGTTCCAATGTTACTACTTTAGCAATTGTACATAGTGCCACTTATCTAACTCTAATTACTATACTTTAAAATATAAATTTAATTTTCTGCTCACTAAAAAATTACAGCTAACAATTTCTACGCACGACCAAAAATTCAAATCTACATTAATCATAAATTTATTACAAACTAGAGAAGAGCATAAAATGTGAACCAAATCATTTATTAAAATAATTATACATATATAACTTATCTAATTACATTCTACATCTTTTGAAATAACTTCCAAAGAAAAAGATGATCTTTCTATATTAAATACAACCCTTAATATACAAAAATACCAAATTTACCAACAATCAACACCAGCAAACTATACCATTAAAACTTAGAGTGCTAAACAAGTGCACCGAGTGACCAAACTCAATAGCTACCTAACCTTACCAAAACCAGCTTAAAAGTCATTGAATTGCCTTGACTGGACAATATTATAGTAATTACTTTAAAACTCTTGATTATTATATTACTGATCCACAAATAGTAATAAATCACCTTAAACAAGTGCACCTAGTGACCAAAAGCAATAGCTACCGAACCTTACCAAAACCAGCTTAAAAGTCATTGAATTGCCTTATCTGGATAATATTACACTAATTACTTTATAACTCTTGACCATTAAACTACTGCTCCACAAATAGTAATAAATCACCTTCTGAAACAAGTGTACCTAGTGACCCAAGTCCATACTAAACGAATCTTATCAAAACCAGCTTAAAAGTCATTGAATTGCAATGGCTGTATAACATTATAGTAATTAATATATTAATCATAATGAGAAATACAATGATGTCTAATTAGTGAATCCGTAACAATTGAAAGTCATACTCAAATGGATCGTGGTGAAACTATAACCAAAATAACATATGTACTTTAAAAACCATTAAAATGTTGCATATCAATAATAGTGTAGTTTACTTATGTTGTTAATAAACATTTACATAGCTCACTTCATAAAAATTTCTGGTCAATCTAAATTATACTAGACTATTTTTTTAGTACGGCATATAAACGACTCAACTTGCACCCTTAACTATGGGAAAATCAAAATGCACCCAAGTTCTGTCCTGCGAGGTGAAAATTGATTTTTTACATAGTAAATCTGCTCTCCTGCACACAGGCTAATATCTATACTAGCTGAAAAATTAAATGATCCCCACTATCTAAATTGGAGACTTCGTTTACACTCTTCAATGACCTATACTTAAATTACTATTAAATCTACACATGCTATACTTTCCTTTTAAATCTATTTAAGTTTAAGCCTTTACTTCTAGAGCCATTACTCTAACTCAATAAATGCACGGATATACTAATCAATCATTATCTCTACCACATAGCTTTTATAGACTTAACTATACCATTTTATTATTTACTTCTGCAACTACCTTATTAAGTACCTCTAAATATATTACTGCTAAATCGGCAAATAATACTAGACCCTCCCTAATTTTTTGCTTTTTTAAAGTATTGCGCGCCTACCCAAACCCTCCCTATTTTTTCTCCCTAGCTAAATGCTCCCTAAATTTTGCGACACTCGTTATATTTTTTGCGGCATAACTGAGACGCTACAAGCATATTCTACTAATACTAAGCTAGAACCAACTCTACCACCACTAATCTTCAATCGCTCATATCCCAACCATAAGTAAACACTGTAATTGCAAATCAATCACACTCTTCACTTTTTCAATACACGTACAAAAAGTACCCAATGAAGCCTGTTTTAAATGTGCTCTCAACTATGTAAAATTACAATCCAAACACTCTAAATTTAGTGCTAATAAACTCTTCTTCGTACATTATATGTACTATTACCTCAATATACCCCTACCAAAAGATCACGTCCAAACAATTAATAAAAGTGCCACTTGACACCTGATTTAAGCAATCCTTAACTATGAGAACATTACTTTCGCACATAGTTAAGATCACCTCTAAACCACCGCCAACTTCACCCACATTAAAGCGAGCACCACCTAATTGCACGATTCACTTAAGCATATCATCTTCTACAATATACTTCATTTTCAGCTCCATCCAATTAAATTTAAAGTCTACTTCAAAGAGCCAAAATTCGCCCATTGAGACCTGCACAGATATTCCAAAATCCTGCACACACACAGAAAAGCCCTGCACATACCGTAAAAATCTTGACTTCAACCTGCTCTAACTAACGCTACAGATCGTTCCAACACTTCTCTATACCAACTAAACCTCCCAGAGCACGTACGAATCTACAGTCCCAATTACAGCTCAAAATCCTTAAAATTGAGCATAACGCCTGTTTTATGACGCCAATTTTATAGTATTGCGTTATTACGGGTTACCTCTAATTATATGATTTTTCCTTTGAATTTATGGGTTAATACATGAAGTTAAAAAAATTATGTCTTCTGCATTCTGCTACAAATTGAGGTCTGAACATAAAGAATAACGACATTAGCTTATTGTACTAATAATACTGCTATATTTTTATTCAAATTAGTTATTAATATTTATATAAACCGAAAATAATAGTGAAAACAATACAAGAGATAGCAAGTCCTCGAAATTCAATACACCAAAATTAGTGAAGAGACTAAGGTATTTAAGAATAATTAATTATTTGAAACACAAGAATGAAATGTGATGAAATCGAAGGGAAATATTGCTTTTGAATCTTTATTAACAAAAGCATATATGGAGTCAATAAATTAATAACACTTCAAACAAAAAAAGGTAAAATCAAAAATGAAAGCAAAGTAAATAAAAATGATCTTTGGATTCTGGATGAAGTGCCTTCAAACATTGGAGCTGTTGATGAAGAAGCAGAGCTACTAGATTCACCGGGGAGTGTACCAGGTGCTTCCAAAGAATCAGTTGCACTACCATTTTCACCGCCAGGAACTGTAGTCTTGGTAGGTAGGATACCGGAATTGGTGTATTCATTGCTCTGGGAGTCGATTCCTACACTAACAAATCCAGTAGCTGTACTGGGGGCTCCAGTAGTATCGGTTGTCACAGTAGTAGTTGTGTAAATACTTCCTTCTTGTTCAATTCCTACGATTGAATTACTTGTATAGGTTTCCCCATTATCCTTAGTAGTAACAATGACTACAATTGTAGAAGTGCAAGGTTCGTCATTTGAATTAGTAGTAATGATAGTAGTTGTGAAGGGACATGATTTATTAGTAGATCGACATTCAGGTTCTCCTTCAGTTGATTGTAATGAAGTACGCTCACCAGAAGAAAACAAGTTAGCTTCAGTCCAGGGTAATGAACTAGCGTCTTCTGAATGTAAAGTGCTGATTTCTTCAGAGAGTAATGAACTATATTCATATGAAGGTGGTGAACTTGGTTCATTGGAAGGTAATGTAATTACGGTACCAGCTTCTTCAGAAGGTGATGTACTAAAATCAGTTGATGGTATTGTACTGGCTTCTTCGGAAGGTAATGAAATATCTTCAGATCCATTGGTAGGTGAACTTGAAGATGCAGATGAAATGGTTTCGTAATAGCTGCAGGTTTCAGTAATAAGATTGCTGACAGTGTGGTAACTGCCCTGATAATCTGAAGTAATGATAACATATTCAACATCTGTACAAACGGAATCAGGATCTTCAAGAGTCACCGTGGTAGTATATTCTGTACCGGTTCTCCCAGGAACAGGAGGAAGCTCACTACATAAAGCACAATTACCTGGTAAACCTGGATTTGGGACTGGTCCTTTGTATGTGACAGCATTAAAAGGAAGAAATACCCCACTAGTAACAGCACTCCAATCTGTTGTGACTTCAAAACCATTTTCGTTATACCCTGTACCTATATTGAAAATCTGTAAACCGGGTAAACTATAAAGTGTTAAATGTCCATTTTGGGCATTATAAGAGAATGCTCTAGTTACTCCTAGAAGATCAGGAAGTAATGTACTACTTAAGGAAACCATATTTCCGTTTCCAAACCCTGCAATGTTAATTGGGTGTCCGGAAAGAACCGGATTTGCAATGACAGAAGATCGAGAATCAGCTAAATAGATAGTTTGATCAGCTATGTAAGCGAAAGGATTTTTAATAAAGACAGTGGAGTTTTCCTGTGAAGTAATACAACCTGAACCCTTAATATGAGAGAGTTGTTCATACAATTCATTGTACAAACAAATCTGACCATTGTTGTCAATTCCATTTAATAAATTTGTTCCACCTAAAATAACTTTACCACCAAAATTTTCTGATTGATAGAATACCATTAAACCATTATTAGTAACAACTGGTGAATTGATAGTGAAAACACCGGGAACCATAGCTCCATTTGAGCCCATATAGACACTACCATCATTAATAAAATTTTCCATAGTAGTGAAGATATAAGTGCTTGGAAGAATCGATTCTAAGGAATTGAAAGAAATAATTCCTTTGTTATTTACATCACCAGCTTGCATGCTGATATGTAAACCGATAACGTCACTAAAGCTACTGATATAGAAGCCACCTCCCTCTCCAACATGAAGGTCACCAACAATCTCTGTAATGGCGTTGTCGATGATTGAATAATCAACGTTTGGTGCAATATTTATATCACCTACCTCATAATAGCTGATACCATAATCGGTTTGATCTTGTTTAATTTCATAAGCTAAAGTTGATATGAACAGTAAAGCAAATGCAAAATACAAGCTAGGTACTTTCATTTTAATATTTGAGATACAAGAACTAGGAATAGTTTGCTGATCAAGAAAAGGAATGGGAAATTTCACACACAAGGTATAGCTCGAGCCTTTTATACAATTGGAGAAACTAGTGGGGATAGTAACGCTTTATTTAGCTGCTAAAAATTAGGTTCTTTACGCAAAAGAATATATTTTTTATTATGCAACCTAAATTATCGTCTAAATATCTAAATTTGTGGTTTCAAAATTTAAGAACTAACAGTATCAATAAAACATGGATTCGTGTATCTCTTGGTATGTGTGGTGTTTCCAGTATTCTACTCGAGTATTTGGACTTGTATTATGTTTTTCTACTAGGGTATTATAAATCAACTTAGAAAGAATGTGAGATGAATGATAACGACATAGTAACTTCTATATTCGGTAAACCATATCAGCTATATCAGATTTATTGCAAATACGAACTTAACTTTGGTTCGAAAATACTTTATATGCTTAAAGTTCAACTTTAGCCTCTAGCACTTCTCTGGAATGCATGGTAATTTGAAAATTAGTCTTTTCTTCAGTCTCCTCATTATTACTCAAAATGGTTAAATAGCATTTTCACATGGATGCTACTCGGAGTCAACGATTTGATTTGGCAGAAATCAATGTCTTAATCAATTTATATAGAATGATTCTACCACTTGAAATGGTTTCAGGTTAGCTAAAAAAATCACTTCATTGGCATATTTCCTTTATTATCATGTCACGCCCATTAAATATGAAAAGTCCGAGTTAAAATTATAATACTTAATATTGAAAATATATTGAAGACTAATTTAATTTTTCTTCAGCTTAATTATTCTCTATTTGTCAAAATTAAAAATTAATAATTTTAGCGTCCTATTCTTAACTTAGAAGCTAATTTGAGAAACCTGACAGTTTTTTATTTTTATGGATATGTTAACGAATTCTTGAAGTCTTATTCTATCAACTTTTAGGATATTGACCGATTTGTAATCAATTCTTTTTCAACGAAGAGAAACTTATTGATCGGAAATTGCTCCGGTTATAACCATAATTGATCAATGCTACGTAATTGCTATGTTTGCTGATTCCATTTCCCTCGGTTATTATTTAAATTTTAGTATATTCTTTACTCTAGGATATATAGGATTGTCGTCATGTCATCCTTAATATTTTTTTATAATATTCCTGACCAAATGTAACTTCTTGCTAATTATAAGAATATATAGCTGTCTTTAATTTTCAACTAATACATGAACCATTCAAGCTTATATTGTGAGAATTTAATAATATATCAGATCAGTAAACTAAACTATTTATTAAACTATATTTTTTGGCTTTCTATAAATCTAAGCTCCTCCTTATCTTTGAACTAGATTCCCAATCTTAAGATCACTCCAGGTCCATGGTTATATCTTCACATCACAGTAAGAATTCAAAATTGATTAAAACAACATGGCTAAGAAATCTTACAACTATTGCTATTAAAAAAGTAAAAATATATTATAGAACAGAAAATAAACAATATATTTTAGAGCGAAAATGATACAAGTATAAATGAAAGTTGCAAACCCATCCAATTCAAATTTGAATTTAATAGATACGTAATAATAATAACTTTTAAGTAACGAAAGTGTTAAACTTCATGAGATAGTTTAAACGAAAATAAGGAGAATTAATGAAGCAAGAAGTGGAGTAACAACCTTCCAATTAATTGATACTGCTCCACTATCTTCAAATGCGACGACAAATGTAGGGTTCACTGAAGTCGAAGCAGAAGAAGAAGCAATAACATCAGTGCTAGAATGATAATTCAGTGTAGTGCTAATATGGGTTTCAGTATTGTTTAAAGTACTTAATTCTGCATTTAAGTGAAGATTGGTTGCAGTAGTAGATTCACTGTTTGTTTGAGCATTGCTTACAAAATTAGATTCAACATTTCCACTTATGCTCGTGGAATTAACCCTTTCTGATATATTACTGCCAGTTCCACTACTTACTTCATAAATCTTTTCAGTGTTAATGACTGGGGAAGAAGAAATATCCGCAGAACCAGAGTAATATGTGGTTGTGAGTGTATGAATAACTATGACAGTACTTATTGAGCTCAAATGACAATTTGAATCAGTTTCTGGACAATCAATAATTTTAATGACTTCATTGGAGATATAGCTTGTAGTTATCGAAGAACGAGTGGCAGTAGTAGAAGGCTCCGATGTAGTTTCTGAGCAATAGGTAGTTGTTAGTGTATGTACGAGTGTAACAGTTCTGATGGAACTCAAAGGACAATCAGTGACAGCCTCTGGACAATCTGTGATTGTAATGACTTCATTAGAGGTATAGATAGTAGTAATTGTAGATCCTGTGGCAATAGGAGAAGGCTCTGCAATAATTTCTGCTGAAGCTAATGCTGTTCCAGTATTACATGCACTTGCTACATAAGCAATAGTTGCACCTTCTGCGATAGAGGTAGGTACGTCTTCAAGCACATGTAACTCACCCACAAAACAGTTACAATCAACCAGAGAAAGTTGCAAAGGAAGTGCGATCTCTGGACAGATATAAAATTCAGTCCCAAATCCTTCCAAAGACAATATTGGATCACCAACTATCAGCCATCCTCCGAAAGGAGTATCACCTAAGAATACACCATTGGTTTCGTTTGCTTCAAGGTATAAGCCATCTATAGTAATGTAACCTCCTGTCATCTCAAATATTGGTCCATCTAACACATCTAAGCCAACATTATTCTCATTCAATTCTACATACCCTCTATAATCAATTGGCGGTTTAGCAACCGCGGTAATCTGAAACGTCACCGCAGCATCACTAGTTAACTCATTTACCAGCACCGTAACAGATGTTCCAAACAGTTCAACATTTTTCTCTACACCTGCTGTAGATGAAAAAGGATAAGTATCAACACTTGTTGCCGTAACTGAAGTTGATATAGTCAAACCGACATGACTTGAAAAGGTCAGATCTATTAAATCGATCTCCGTTCTGTCTGAATTACTTGTTGGCAACGAGATATCAAAACTAGTATATATGCTAAATGGATCACTTGAAGCAGGGAACAACGAGGTTGTGGTAGTCAAGGATCCATCGGTATCTGAGGTGACAACAACAACACCAGAGTCAGTAGCAACTACTCCATCGGATTCGGTGGTGGTATAAGTGGTGGTGTACGTGGTAAATGGATCACTTGGAGCAGGGAGCAACGAGGTTGTGGTAGTCAAGGATCCATCAGTGTCTGTGGTGACAACAACAACACCAGAGTCAGTAGCAACTACTCCATCGGATTCGGTGGTGGTATAAGTGGTGGTGTACGTGGTAAATGGATCACTTGGAGCAGGGAACAACGAGGTTGTGGTAGTCAAGGATCCATCGCTAGCAGAAGTCACAACAACAACACCAGAGTCAGTAGCAACTACTCCATCGGATTCGGTGGTGGTATAAGTGGTGGTGTACGTGGTAAATGGATCACTTGGAGCAGGGAACAACGAAGTTGTCGTAGTCAAGGATCCATCAGTGTCTGTGGTGACAACAACTACACCAGAGTCAGTGGCAACTACTCCATCGGATTCGGTGGTGGTATAAGTGGTGGTGTACGTGGTAAATGGATCACTTGGAGCAGGGAACAACGAGGTTGTGGTAGTCAAGGATCCATCAGTGTCTGTGGTGACAACAACTACTCCAGAGTCAGTGGCAACTACTCCATCGGATTCGGTGGTGGTATAAGTGGTGGTGTACGTGGTAAATGGATCACTTGGAGCAGGGAACAACGAGGTTGTGGTAGTCAAGGATCCATCAGTGTCTGAGGTGACAACAACTACACCAGAGTCAGTGGCAACTACTCCATCGGATTCGGTGGTGGTATAAGTGGTGGTGTACGTGGTAAATGGATCACTTGGAGCAGGGAGCAACGAGGTTGTGGTAGTCAAGGATCCATCGCTAGCAGAAGTCACAACAACAACACCAGAGTCAGTAGCAACTACTCCATCGGATTCGGTGGTGGTATAAGTGGTGGTGTACGTGGTAAATGGATCACTTGGAGCAGGGAACAACGAAGTTGTCGTAGTCAAGGATCCATCAGTGTCTGTGGTGACAACAACTACACCAGAGTCAGTGGCAACTACTCCATCGGATTCGGTGGTGGTATAAGTGGTGGTGTACGTGGTAAATGGATCACTTGGAGCAGGGAACAACGAGGTTGTGGTAGTCAAGGATCCATCAGTGTCTGTGGTGACAACAACTACACCAGAGTCAGTAGCAACTACTCCATCGGATTCGGTGGTGGTATAAGTGGTGGTGTACGTGGTAAATGGATCACTTGGAGCAGGGAACAACGAGGTTGTGGTAGTCAAGGATCCATCAGTGTCTGAGGTGACAACAACTACACCAGAGTCAGTGGCAACTACTCCATCGGATTCGGTGGTGGTATAAGTGGTGGTGTACGTGGTAAATGGATCACTTGGAGCAGGGAACAACGAGGTTGTGGTAGTCAAGGATCCATCAGTGTCTGAGGTGACAACAACAACACCAGAGTCAGTAGCAACTACTCCATCGGATTCGGTGGTGGTATAAGTGGTGGTGTACGTGGTAAATGGATCACTTGGAGCAGGGAACAACGAGGTTGTGGTAGTCAAGGATCCATCGCTAGCAGAAGTCACAACAACTACACCATAGTCAGTGGCAACTACTCCATCGGATTCGGTGGTGGTATAAGTGGTGGTGTACGTGGTAAATGGATCACTTGGAGCAGGGAACAACGAGGTTGTGGTAGTCAAGGATCCATCGCTAGCAGAAGTCACAACAACAACACCAGAGTCAGTAGCAACTACTCCATCGGATTCGGTGGTGGTATAAGTGGTGGTGTACGTGGTAAATGGATCACTTGGAGCAGGGAACAACGAAGTTGTCGTAGTCAAGGATCCATCAGTGTCTGTGGTGACAACAACTACACCAGAGTCAGTGGCAACTACTCCATCGGATTCGGTGGTGGTATAAGTGGTGGTGTACGTGGTAAATGGATCACTTGGAGCAGGGAACAACGAGGTTGTGGTAGTCAAGGATCCATCAGTGTCTGTGGTGACAACAACAACTCCAGAGTCAGTGGCAACAACGCCAGAGTCAGTGGCAACTACTCCATCGGATTCGGTGGTGGTATAAGTGGTGGTGTACGTGGTAAATGGATCACTTGGAGCAGGGAACAACGAGGTTGTCGTAGTCAAGGATCCATCAGTGTCTGTGGTGACAACAACTACACCAGAGTCAGTAGCAACTACTCCATCGGATTCGGTGGTGGTATAAGTGGTGGTGTACGTGGTAAATGGATCACTTGGAGCAGGGAACAACGAGGTTGTGGTAGTCAAGGATCCATCAGTGTCTGTGGTGACAACAACTACACCAGAGTCAGTGGCAACTACTCCATCGGATTCGGTGGTGGTATAAGTGGTGGTGTACGTGGTAAATGGATCACTTGGAGCAGGGAGCAACGAGGTTGTGGTAGTCAACGATCCATCGCTGGCAGAAGTCACAACAACAACACCAGAGTCAGTGGCAACTACGCCATCGGATTCGGTGGTGGTATAAGTGGTGGTGTACGTGGTAAATGGATCACTTGGAGCAGGGAACAACGAGGTTGTGGTAGTCAAGGACCCGTCGCTGGCAGAAGTCACAACAACAACACCAGAGTCAGTAGCAACTACTCCATCGGATTCGGTGGTGGTATAAGTGGTGGTGTACGTGGTAAATGGATCACTTGGAGCAGGGAACAACGAGGTTGTGGTAGTCAAGGACCCGTCGCTGGCAGAAGTCACAACAACAACACCAGAGTCAGTAGCAACTACTCCATCGGATTCGGTGGTGGTATAAGTGGTGGTGTACGTGGTAAATGGATCACTTGGAGCAGGGAACAACGAGGTTGTGGTAGTCAAGGATCCATCAGTGTCTGTGGTGACAACAACAACTCCAGAGTCAGTGGCAACTACTCCATCGGATTCGGTGGTGGTATAAGTGGTGGTGTACGTGGTAAATGGATCACTTGGAGCAGGGAGCAACGAGGTTGTGGTAGTCAAGGATCCATCAGTGTCTGTGGTGACAACAACTACACCAGAGTCAGTGGCAACTACTCCATCGGATTCGGTGGTGGTATAAGTGGTGGTGTACGTGGTAAATGGATCACTTGGAGCAGGGAACAACGAGGTTGTCGTAGTCAAGGATCCATCAGTGTCTGTGGTGACAACAACAACTCCAGAGTCAGTAGCAACTACTCCATCGGATTCAATGGCGGTGTAGGTAGGGAGAGTAGTATTCGATTCATTGAGTAGGTTAGGAACCCCAATTGGACATGCTTGGCAGACTGTCGGTCTCACAGAATCTGGGGAAGGACCTGCATATTGGAATCGAGCCCTGCCCCAATTTTCATTGTTGCCCGTTTTCCCGTAGGACCAATCTATTAAAGAGCTGTTGTATCCTTCACCAATAATAAATTGATATGTTTTCGAACCAGCAGTAACATTTAAAATATTTCCATCATAATTCCAAGTTGGTTTTGCAGTATTCAAGGCAATGGTATTATTGTTACCCCAACCTCTTACTAGTATTTGTGATACAGGTTCTTTGATATTATAAATATCTAATACTGAAGTATTACTACTAAGATAAATTGTCTGTAAGTTTCCATCTATTCCATATAACTGTGAACATAAAAGGGCAAATGTACTTTGTTCACCCACATCTATACATCCATTACCGGCATATCTAGACATTTGAAATAAAGCATTATTGTTCACTAAACAAAATGTACCATTATTGATTGTCGTGGGAGCACCGGTGTCACAACCAGACCGAGATCCAAAATAGGTACTTGGTGGATTAAATGTGGTCATATAATATTGAACATATGAGATGACTCCTTTATTCACAAAAGATCCTGTAGGCTTAATTTGAAAGGTAGCGCCGTCGCATATTTGACTACCTGCGAAAGTAATATTACCCTCGTTATAGAAATCTTTACTAGCCCAATAGTAAGAAGGAGGACTACAAGTAGTAGTATTATCATTGATAACAATTGTACCATAATTATCGATCGAGTATTTGCTATCACCATTATTAATATTAAACGTCATACCAGTTTTGTGACCAGGAGCATAATTCGGCCAAGTTCCTATATTCCTAACGTAAAATATACCCTTATTGAGAAAGTTACCATGCATATTAAAGTCGAAACCATTGAATAAGAATGTCACGTCTTCTTCAATAGTCAAATCAGCTTTGAAAGTACAGGCATATCCACCATCTAAAGAAGTGATATTTAATTCTGCATCCTCGGTGATATCTAAATTTGTTTTCCATGAGTATATGGGCTGCAAAAATAGTGAAACAAAAACAATGGCTTCGAAAAGAGAGAACTTCATCATTGTTGTTTTTACAGCATCGAGATTCAAATTAAACATTTATGGGCATGATGCTATCCATTTTATATTCAAATTATTTGAATGTCTGTAGTTCCAAAATCCTCTAATCTATAATATTTGTTGGCTGCTAAATTTTCCTGTTCGAGAACAGGATCTACAAAATAAGCAAAATAGTAAATTTTAAGTTTTTGGGCAGTGTAAATTCCGTTAAAACCTTCAATTGGCTTGGCATTTGCAACTCATTGTGAAAATGGTTTAAGCTAACCATGTTTTTGACACAGGTTTAAGTATAATGCAGTGATTAAATGATGACGTGAAGTAATTAGTTTCTTTGCCAACTTGACCTGCCATTCCTACTTAAAAAGGCCTTAGTTTTGAATCAAAGAAAACATACTTCAAACATATTTATCAATATCAAATTAATATTATTGGTCAAAAACCTTTTATTTGAAAATTATATAGTGAAAAAATCGGTACCTCCGGAGTTAGTAAGAGCCATGTTTTCAAATAGAATTTCCTTCTAGAAAGCTTGTTTGCTTCTTACCCCAGAGGAATCTCGTCTAATTCTTATTGTAACAATAACTGCAGGGACCCTAAAATCTAATCATTTTTATATGCAATACTACGTTTTCTTAGATTTTTTCTTTTTATTGCCAAGATTGCAAAAACTCGTATAAATGAAAATCTTTTCAGTCAACGAACGAAGAAGTTAAGCCTTCCATAAGAACAACATTGGCGCGTACACAGACGTGCAGCGTTGCCTTTATTCGTCTATATATCTTGAAAGTAGAACGATTAATCTATTGTACAATACAAATACAAAGTCATTATTCTTATGCATGTCGAAGTACGATAATTCTATAACACAAGATATTGAACAGGAGATAAAGTATTCATAGAACGTCTGCCAGGGAAAGACTCTGATTTTACTTAAACCTTTGATATGATTAAGTGTTGATGTATTTGGTCATATTATATAAAAAATGCATTGATAAGATAAATACTTAAAGAGGAGGAAATAATGGTTTACATCCCTTCCTTTACAGGATTCTAAACAAATTAGATAAAAGAGATGTTTGATTGGTAAGTCTATTAGGTAACCGTTCTCGGCCGGCTGGGTTGTACCGAGGAGATACTTTATGAAGTGATCCGAGGTTTTGAGCGATGTATATATCTTGCTTGTATTTGCGTATAATTCCGCCTTAAATAGAGTATGAAAATACGCATTAAACTATAAAATATAAAATCAGAACGCAAGTGTTATAAGGGAAAGAAGAAGTCTAGAATATGATGATCTGTGGATATATTAGACGAGGGAATGTCTAATAACCGTCTACTACCAGCTTAGTAAGCTTAGTAAGATTTATGACTATGATCATATATTCTCTATAGCTAATTACTTTATTACAAAATCATAAGAAGTTATTATTACAAAACAATGTTCAAAAAGGCGTCCAGTTTCTGTAATTTATGATTTTTGTCGATAAATGGTCCAATCTTTTTGCTCTTGCAAGAGGTTGAATAGACCGCATGATTATAAATAGTTTTGATTAATGAAACGAGTTATAACAATCAAGGTGCTAAACAAATAAAAAGAAATTTCAATCTAGAGGCAAAAAGTCACAGAATTAAAAATAATTAATATAAATCCTCTAACTGACTGAGTAAATATATCTAAATTCTGAAAGAGTAATATAATGCTGCTGATGGGAGCAATTTAAACGTAGTATTTACCGCTATGTTTAGTATACTCTTGCACCATATACGAATCTTTAATTCAACAAAGTATATATTATTTATTAACCTATGAATTCACTTCCAGTAAAAGCCTTTCTTCATGTTCTCCAGATTTCGCATCTCTATCTTAAAAAGTACAGGTTTTTTTTTCTTTTTACTCTTTTCATTTAGTTTCACACACCGTTATACACCACATTTCTCTTAGCGCTTTATACGTTTGTCTGGATCTAATAGCATCCTTCACTTGATCAGTTTTCAGAATCAATTTAATGTCATTTCTGTGAAGTCAATAAGAATTGAAGTCGAATTGATGAGTGAACTTACTTAGTACAAGAATTTATCATGCTTCGTTCATGCACTAATTTATAATATTTCATTTTAAATGGAACTTCCTGTAGCATAATACAGGGGCAAACATACCATTGTGATTCACATATTCGAGCTCTACACTTAGCTGAATTTTTAATCTCAACAAATACGTATATATCAGAGAAACGGTATCTATATTGGGGATCGGAATTTCATTCCAATATTTACACTGTAAACGATAATGCAAATGTATACAATAGTAATCCGTATAAACAAAACTTTTCTCTAAACTAAACAGAAACTTAATAAAACGAATGTTGGATGACTGTTATAGGGTTGGAAGTGGTGTAGTGGCTGTTTATAGTGACTGATATCAGAGTACCTGTGTCAATCACATAGTCTAGTGATACCTGCCCGACTTTACACAGTCACCTGTGACCGACTATGATTGTTATTTCCGGTTGTGGTTAGGAAAAAGGATAGACGATAAATACATCTGATTATATGTCTTGGAGGTATTTTCCAGTATGGGATTAAAGCAATCTGAAGTATTTTAGTGTGATGACTTTGGGAGGTGGTTATGATGGCAGAAATGGTGCCGAATACTCTACCGGAGTGATATTTGGTCGATTGATATTTCTTATGAGGCGAAGTGTAGCTGCATCTAGCTTGACGGTATGTTTACGCATGGGATGAGCTTCGCCACATGTGTTACAGTACTTGATCGATCTAGTGGTGGACCGTCTTCTGCGACGCTTATTGTGGTTACTAATATTGGCATGGGTATAGGGATTAGTGATAGCAGTTGCATTGGGTTGGATTTGTCTGATGGTGAATTTCTGCTGATTGGAGGGTATGAACAGATGCGGGTGTGTAAGGTATGTGAGTGGGCTTGTGGGACTATGAGTTTCATGAATGGAAGTGAGTTGGCCGATAATTTCAGCAAGCTCATGGAGCGTGAGCTTGAATTTGTTTCTTTGAAGGTGAAGATGAATAGCTGAAGAAAGTTCATAGTCGAAATCAGACGTCGTGTTGTAGTTGATGATGTGTTGCAGGAGAAAAGCGAGAGACTGGTATGTTTCTGCGATATCTCTGGTGGGTACCCCGAGGATACGGGCTAGGACGTTGAAGTGGTAGTCATAGGTTTTCAATCGAGTAGATAAGGATGAATTATTAAAAGTTTTGGGATTGAGACAAATAGAGAGGTATTCAATAGCAAAAGATGGTCTCTGCAAGCATACGCCATACTCCTGCCAGACGGAATAGCTGCTGGAGTAGGATTTCCAGAAAGGAACTAAGGTTTGGAAGATGGTTGATGTAAGTAATCTTTCAACTCGTTTATCAAGTAATTCATAGTAATCATAAGAGTAGTCTTGGTTAAAAGGTGAACGTTTGTATTTCTGTTGAAGTGCAGCGGAGGTGTTGTATTCCTCCTTGGTTGGTAGATAGTTTTCCAAGATAAGTTTGATATCGGGATCCAGGTCGAGAATCCAGCGAAAGGTATCAATGTAGGGAATCAAATCTTCAGTCGCAGTGCTTCGCAAAGGTTTGACTCTTTTCAAGAAGTTAATATGTCTCATAGTGTAGTCGACCTTTTTGTCGATATAATACTCGATATCATCCTCATATAGATCAATGTTGGTAGTCATAGTGGATACAGTTGGAGCTTCCGAATATCGGTGGGGTACTGTTGCAGTAATGAGGGCATTGCAATTCAATTGTCCTTTCACATCGGAATCGATATCCTCGAGATAAGTCAAAGGAGAATATGCAGAAGCTGTTTCAGCATTTGACGCATGATTTGTTTCAGGATTTGATTGTGTTGGCTTAAATGAGTTAACTGAATCAGTTAAGTTCATGCCATCGAGAGAGGACATAACGAAAAAATGATTTGTTTCAGGTCTGTGGTATCTCGCTGCAAAAAAGGCGAGTGACAAGTAACCTGCTAGTGATAAGTTGGGATAACGTGGGTAGAAAGCAGGAACTGCTTTTCTCTTCTATCTTTGGGAAGTGAAGCGGTGTATAACTCTGTTATACGGGTAATTTTGTGTATTCTCTTTTACCATACTAAATATCTATTTAGAGAGGAGCATTTATGTGATTTATATACCTTTTTTAACCAGATTCTGAAACATTTTATGAAACATGTGCATTATACCTGTAACACGAGTACTTTATCTTTAAAATTTTAAGTGACAATTTGTGTGCTCACTTTCATATCTAATCAGTAACCATTAGAAAAGGAGCTTTAAATAGATTTATAACATTTATACGACAAATAGACTATATACAAATTGCAAATCGTCATCAAGAATTTCATATATTGGAACCATCGTAGACCAAAGCTTGTTTCTACATGTTAAGTACTTGTACTCTCAGGTAAAAGGAATTGGCTGAATTAAAGAAATATAAAAATAATTCAACTGCCACACTGGTTTCAGTTTCTAAATATATGTGTAAGAAATATCTTCAATTTTATATTTAAATTGGGTTATTTTATCATAGATTCCTTAGGGTCTAACCTTCGATATAGTTGTACATGAAGAAAAGTCCACTCAGTTCGGTTTTCATGTACTGTTAGCATAATATTCATTTAAATATAGATTATCTACTAACATTTCTAGTTAAAAGCATCTATATACCTGTATTAACATTAAACTATCATTATTTTACGACTGGGAAATATTTTGTAGCTTCCATTTATTGTCCATAATAGCACGACTCCAATATAAGCTCAACTAAAAGCAATATAATGTAAAACACGATCTATGTCTTGGAGGAGTATGTTCACAAATATATTCTACTGTTCTCTTAATCAGAATGAAATTATATTCTCATTGACATTGTACTTCCGTTGACCAACCAATTCCAAAGAGTCTTTCTTCAAATTAAACAACAATTGAATATCTCATAAACTTATCATCCAGAACCACTATCAGGATCAAACCAGTGCTGAAGTTCAAACTGCTATGATTTATTTTACTTTACTTGCTTGCTCTGTGTCCTTTGTGAATATATTTCAGTGAAATTTATATAATATTTTAATTGCGATTTAATTTCGTAGATAATCTTTGCAAAAGTGACGATATGGCATAAAATTATGTATATGTAAATATAAAAATAAATTAATAAGAGAGGATATCACAAATGATCCTTTATTATATCCCTGAATATGGCACTGGTAAGTTTCTGAAAAGTCAAGAAACAACAGTTATACTTCGGAGATTGGAGATCAACCCAAATAGGCAATGGAGATTAGCCAAATTCCGCAAAACAGGGCCGAGCAACAAAAAAAGATTGCAACCATTGAACCTATAAATAGAATTATTTTAGCACATAATGTTAAAAATTCTAGTTTGTAATTTAAAAACTACAAGTAATTGACATGACTACAACTTCAGTTTTCATTTCAGGTGGTTCAGGATTTATTGCACAACACATAATCTCTCAACTTCTTTCAAAGGGGTATAAAGTCATTGGGTCAGTGAGATCCGTTGACAAAGGTGAAAATTTATTGAATATTTTTAACAATAATAACTTCTCCTATGAAGTTGTTCCTATTCTTGAAATAGAGGGTTCATTTGATGAATCATTAAAGAAGCACCCTGAAGTGACTGTATTTTTACATACTGCTTCACCAGTTGCATATTACGCTGAAGATAATGAAAGAGATATCTTGATTCCTGCTATTGAGGGAACCAAAAATGTGCTTAAATCAATTAAAGAGTTTGCTCCACAAATTACTAAACTAGTATATACTAGTTCTGTTGTTGCTTGCGGTACTGCTGAAGAACTTGGTAATCCAAACTTTAAAGGTGGGGAGCATAGTTGGAATTCAAATAGTTACGAGAATTCTAAACGATCAGGTATAGAAGCCTATTTTGGTTCTAAAACATTTGCCGAACAAGCCGCTTGAAATTTTATTGAGACTGCTAAACCAAATTTTACCCTTACAATAATCAATCCAGTTTATGTATTTGGACCACAATACTATATGCCATCTAATAAGAAATTGAATCTTTCAGCTACACTTATTTCTGATGTATTAAATTTAACTTTAGAATCTCCAGTTCCTTCAATTAAAGGTAGATTTATTGATGTTAGAGATGTTGCAAGGGCTCATATCGAGGCATTTGAGACAGAAGAAGCTCAAGGAAGAAGGTTTGTTCTCTCTAATACTCACTTTGATGGACAGTTAGTTTTAGATATAATTCATAAGAATTTTCCTGAATTAAACAATAAACTTCCTAAAGGACATCCTGGTGATTATAGTGTTACCGTTGGAAGAGGGTCTATAAATGATTCAAATGCTAGAAGTATTTTTAATATTGAGTATATTAATTTCGAAAGAACCATTATTGATTCTGTGAAACAAATTATCGATATTTAAAATATGTAGTATATTTTAGTCTGAATTTATATCTATTTAAATTTATAAGTGTGTAATAATCAAGTTGAGCACATACATGTAACGTACTTTACTAATTTTATTACAGTTTATGAATGTATGCAGGTTCATAGGTGGGATTTGATCATTCTCCGGTAGAATGAAGTTTAATATGAAACAGATGCGATAAAAAATGCAAGTTGAGTATATCAACTCATCGCTCCATTATCAGGGGATAGAGATAACGCACTTAAAAATCAGGTACAAAGAAGTTAATTGAAATTGTCAAATGAAATATGTATGTAAGTTTTGGATATTAGCTCATGAGAAGAGGTCGTGTAAAAAGCACCAAATAATCGTTTGTGATTTCCCAATCGAGATAGATGTCTAATTATTCTTGCATGTAATTAATATTTTTATACAGTCTTGACAGAAATTTCGCTAATATTACTGGTTGAATTATTCAGTTAGTTGGTTGAGAATATACCGAACAAGAATAAGTTTAAGTTTTACAGATGAGAATATGCGTAGTTTCACCTCTACTTCGAGTTGTAATTATATAAATTTATATATGTTCTTATTAACTATAAACTTAAAGCATAAGTAACGGATAGTGAAGCCGAATTAGTGAAAAACTGTCGGACATTAATGTCGTCATTCGCGACATGTATCCACTTACCCGGCGTTTGAAATCATTAATATTACTTGACGATCATGTAGAAAGACATACGAAACACATTATACATTATAAATACTACGTTTATAACATACATATACCTTTAAAGTTAGTAAAATATACTCTATGTTAATAGATATATGTTTTAGGAATAAATAACTACAATTATATTGTAAGAATCCTAGTGAAATATTTGTCATCGTTTGACTATTTTCTTTTTTTTTGTCCCACTTAAATTTAAACGGATACGACATTTCGCTATGTTCATATTCTATCCCTTGTTCTGTCTCTGTATATATTTATTTTCCATACATAGTTACTATTAGTGATTTACTTATTGACTGTTTGTATATATTGCAGTTGAACGAGTAATAGGATACGACCAAATCATTTGACGATATCCTCGTAGTCGTAGTATAACTATAACTAATTTGACTTAGAGTTGTCATCAGTTAAGTAGACTACATTATTAATAATTATCAACTAATTTTATTCAAGTATATTTGGTTGTATTCATTCATTAAAGACTTATCATCATACCGAGTCATTCAATACATCTAATCACAATAATTTTTCACTTATTGGTTAAGAACGTTATATAGAGTTCTGCCTCATAGTTAAAAAGTGTTATTATTTCATTACCCGAAGGCCGAAAAATCATATCAGCAACTGCTATATTTATTACTAATAGTTGTGAAATATTACCCTTCAATCACTATATAATCATCAAATCATATATATTATTCATCTAAGTATATTCAACCAGTCATATTATATCTTAACCAGTTGATTCATACTGATAAGTAAATTTATTTATTTCCTTATTTATTTCCTTAAAACCTTAATATCTCGGTAATAACCACATTTTAAATCACACATATTCATATATCATTTTACATCAATCAATCAATCAAACAAACCAATCACAAATGTTTAATACTAAAATATTTGACGGAACAACGCCGCCGAGCTCATCTGCTATAAATATACCCATAACAAATTCAACTTCATCAGATAATTCATCAGGTATTGGAATAGGACTTGGTGGCAATAATAATAATTCTCAACCAATAGATATAACTTATCAACGACAACAATCTATTTTTAATAATTCTAGATTCCGAAGAGAATCTATAGCTCATTCTCATGGAATGGGTGGTGTATCTTGGGGGTCGGTAACCATTGGTTCTTGGTTAAAAGATGAAGTTATGACTTCCAATAATTCCGGGAACTTTAATAATGCAACTAATTTCCAACAAAGTAATTCTGGTGGTAGTGGAAGTACTACTCAATTTTTATCAATAACTTCAAATCAACCAAATTTAATTAATCCTAGAAGAGGTTCTTTCCGTCATGCCATTAATAATAATAGTAATAATAATCATCTAACAAGTATATCTATGTCACCTCCTTTACAAACTTCATCTTATTTACCAGAATTAGAAGCAGATTATTGTAAAGATTATAGTTGTTGTGGTGAATTATTACCTACTTTGCATGACCTTTTAAGACATTATGAAGAAGCTCATATAAGTCCTTCACCTCCTCCTGATCAAAGTCTTAATAATAGAAATAGAACTAATTTTAATAATATTCATAATGTTTTAGAAACAGTTTCTACAACGGATGTATTTTTAAATAATAGTCATCATCATATTAATAATAATAATCCAACTACCCTATCTAATACCAATAATAATAATAATAATACTTCAAATTCATCAACCAATTCTCATCATCAAACTAATAATGTTCAAAATCAACTTCATAGTCCTCAAGCTCAACAAATTTCCAATCCTAGCTTAAATTTACATAATAATCATTATAATATTCAACCACAAGCTTTAAATGCAAGTAATTTAACTCATTCAAATGGATTAAATAATTCTAATCATAATAACAATTCAAATAATAATATTTCTACTAATACAGTTACTACAAATCCAAATCATTTACATCAGCATCATTCTCAACAACAATCACCAATTGGAAATTCTCCAAGTTCTGCAACTCCAATGGAAGAAGAAGATGCTATGTATATTGATGATCCAGCTCGTCATCTTTATGTAGTAGAAAATGATGAAAATAAACCATTTAGATGTCCAGTTATTGGATGTGATAAGAATTATAAAAATCAAAATGGTTTAAAATATCATCGTTTACATGGACATCAAGGTCAAACTTTAAAAGAAAATCCCGATGGAACCATATCAGTAATTGATCCTGAATCTAATGCGCCATATCTTGATAGTGCTGCTTTAGAAAAGGATAAACCTTATCGATGTGAAGTTTGTGGTAAAAGATATAAAAATCTTAATGGATTAAAATATCATAGAGGCCACACAACTCATTAATTAAATTAAATTAAATTAAATTAAATTAAATTAAATTAAATTAAATTAAATTAAATTAAATTAAATTAAATTAAATTAAATTAAATTAAATTAAATTAAATTATATTAAATTAAATTATATTAAATTACAAGATGGTTATTTAATTTTGCATTATTTTACTTTACACACTTTTATTTTTCAATCATTCACTGTATTATTTGATTATTATTATTGTTATTATAAACTATTATTTATTATATTCTTTTTATACGGTTTGGGAGGTCTTACATTTATTATATTCAACTGTTTCTATTAGTATTTCTCTTATATTACTCTTTTTGTATTATTCTCCTTGTCAATTAATTCTCTTCTTTTCTATTACGTTTGTCTCTGTACTGAATGTAAATCTGTTGTTTAATTAATTGTAGTAGTAGTACAACTATTTCTATGCAAAGTGCGCATACATGCACATGCCTGTATTGTTTACTTACTCCATCTCCACTATAATTTACCTGTGATACTCACTAGTATATGATCTTTTTTTTGTTTACATATACGTTAATATATTACATATACTAATTATATTATATCTATTGTGTATACACTACTTCATCAAACTATCTATTAATGGTTGCTATAACAGCCCTATTGGCTAAATATCTACAAGTAAGTAATATCCGATCATACTTAATTAAATATCTTCGATTATTTGGTATAACAGTTCCAATAACTGTACTTCGAAATGTATTATTTGGTCTGACATTCTTTATTACTTATGTATTTATTTTATTACCATTATCAACATTAACATATGTTAAATTTTATAATACTTTAATTCCAAATACTGGTCCAAGTATCCCAATTCATTATCAATCATTTAATTCTAATAATAACCATTCATTGATTGGATTTAATAGTGATTGGATAATTTTACAGGAGAATTTACCCCGTAAATTCAAATTTGATCCATTATTACAATATCAAATTAATGTAAAATTTGATGTTCTTTGTGATTCAACTAAAAGGGGAGATGTTTATAAGAATTCTTATTCAATTATATCAGAAAATGATAAAGTATTAGTATCTCATGAATTTTATATTGATTGTGATGCTCGATATATTTATAATAATAATAATTGGTTAATTCCATATAATTTAAGATTTTGGTCTCCACCACCATTAGTTAATATTAAAAGAAGTATAGGATTTAATCTTGCTCATTTAAGATTAACTGGGAATCAATTACCTAAAGAATTTAAAAATTTTACTATAGTTTTAGAAAATCCTTTTATAGTTATACAAGATACTTCAAAATTAGAATTTGAAATTATTTATACTGGATTTAGATATTACTTAGTAAAACATTATTATAAATGTTTTGTGGTTGGAGTAGTATTCTTTTGGTATATATCATGTGTTTCTAGTTTTATAACATCAGTATATCTTCTGTCTCAGCAGAAACAACAACAAACACAACAGAAACAACAACAAACACAACAGAAACAGAAACAGAAACAGAAACAGAAACAAGAAGATGATGATACAGGAGAAACAGAGACTGAGAGTGAAGATCATGAACTGGTTTCAGGATTTTCATCATCTACATAGTATATTAATGTATCCATATATTAAATAAATAACTAATTAATATCAATAAGGAGAAATAAATAAATAAATAAATAAATAATAGTATTAACTGGCATTCAATAATTTCAATTCATTAGAACTATCAACTGATAAGAATGGTATAATCTTTTTAAAATAAATGAATTCATTAATGGTAGAAATATCTTGATTAAATTGATCAATCTCTATTCTCTTATTTAAGAATAATTTAAATTCTTCAATAAGTAAATTTAACTCATTAAGACTTTTACCTAAATTAACTAATTTTATAAATTTAGAATTATCGGAATATTGGAAATAATTAAATAATTCATCAAATTCTTGTTCTTGTTCTTGTTCTATAAAATTCCATTTATTATTATCAGTTTCATTATTTCCTCCAACAAGATTTTCAATAAATAATTCTTCTTCATCGTTAATAAAGAATTTAGATCCATAATTATCATTATTCATAAATATTGAAATTAATGGAATACGAGGACATAATGGGAAATAACTAATTCTTCCACCTGTATGTAATCTACCATTACCATTACCATTACCATTACTATTATATTGATTATGAATAAAATTAAATTTCTCATTCATAGAATCATGATCAACGATAATATCAAATTTATAAATTGGTCGAACAATTTCTGGTGGCATTCTTGATAATTCCGGTGGTTGAGTATTATAAAAGGTTGATTTGGATGATTTAGATGAAGCCTTAGATTGAATATCAAGTGTTTGAATACTTGAAGATATTGATTCATTATCAAAATCTTTTATTGAAGATGAAGTAGAATCAGTAATTGAAGTAGGAGTTGAAACAAAGGACATTAAACTTGGACTTGAAGATCTTGATTTTAATGATGAGAATGATGTTGATAATGAAGTTAAAGAAGCAGAATTTCTAGTAACTGGTGGTTCACCATTTCCATTTCCATTTCCATTTTCTTCTTGTTTATTCTTTACATTAGAATTACTCTTGGATTGTTCATTTTCATCAATCGATAAGATCTTAAATAATTTCCCAATAGAACTTACAAGAGAATTATTCTTTGTTGATGATTTTAATGAACTTATTGAAGTTGATGATGATGAAGCAGATAATGAAGTTGAAGATTTGGATTTAGATTTAGATTTAGATTTATCATTAGTTATATCATCAGTTAAGGTAGAACAAGTATAAATAGCTTCATCTAATACTTCATAAGCATGAGTTTTTCTTAATTCACTTGATTTAAATGGTGTAGCAGTCATAATATCTGAATTCATAGAATTCATTATTGGAGTTGAAGGAGTTATTTCATCTTGAATTGATAAATAATAATCATTCTTACCATTAATTGGTAAAATTCCAAACTTTCTATTAACTAAAGGATTATCAGATTTATAATTTAATTCAAATTTTAATTTATCCGAATCAATATTTTGATAATTTATAGTAAATTGATGTAAAATTTCATAACATCTAGTTAATTTCTTTTGTACTCTTTTAGTAGTTTGAATCATAATAGATGATTGATAATTATTAATTCCAATAATTCTCCAAGTTAATAATCGAAGATAATAAGATCTTATAATAGGATTCCAATGAGTTATAAATCTAATAAAATTCTTATTAGATATTAAATAATTCATAAAATTATATTTAAAACTTTCATTTAATTCAGTTAACCAATTATAATGATTTGGTCTGTTTCCAATAGTTCCATCTTCAAAGGCAAATTTCGATAATGATTCAGGAATCATATCCCAAATATTAAATAAAAATGACATATTCTTTAATAATACTTGAATATGATCAGTATTTTCAATCATCATATAATTACAACTTAACCAAAATTCCCAATCAATTAATCGTTTAAAATTTAAAATATCTATATTACCATTATTAGTTCCATCTAATTGAATTTTATCAGTATTATTAGTTATATGATTAATAAATTCATAAACTATTGTGAGGATTAATCCATTTTTATTACAATCATAAATAGTTGTTTCTTGAGCAATGGTAACCAATACCTTATCAAAATATTTAATTAATCCAATAGTAATTAAATCATCACTTTTACTAGTATAGGTAACATCTCTTAAGGTTTTAAATATCTTAATGATTGAATTATAGTAGACATCTGTTTGTTTCATAGGAATTGTACCTGAAGGTGGTGGAGGTGGAGGACCATTAGAACTAGAACTAGAACTAGAGCTTGAGCTTGAGCTTGAGTTAGAATTGGAATTGGAATTTGAATTGGATCGATTTTGTCCAGAAAGTGGTGGAGATAATCGAACACCCAGTTTTGATGAATTCAGACCTGAAGATAAACCAGAAGACATTGAAGCTTGAACTTGAAATTTCGAACTATTATTAAAATTAGAATTATTATTGGATATTCTGGTAATACCCATTTGAAATAAATGAAATACATGACTCATTATAATATTAAACCCAGGACAATATAATAATACTTGATAAGATAAATCTTGATGAATACTTGAAGATTTATCAATTTCAATCTGTAATATACTAATATAATGTCTAAAGAATGAATTAAAAACATTAGAATCACAACTACACCATCTTCTAACCCAATTTCCATTAGGTTCCTTTATACCATTAACTGGATGTTTTGGAGGTGGAGTACAATTCATAAAGAATTTTTGTCCCTTAGTTGTTAAAGTATTTATTCCTTGAAAATTAATTAAATAATGTAAATGTTTTGGAAATATATTATATAATTGTTCCATAGTATGACTATCATGTTTAACTCCTAATAAATGACTGGTATTTTCAAATGTTATTTGTTTAACATTTAAAAGAAATAATAATGCTGTACTAACATTTGGTAATTTAAAAAAACTAAAAGCAAATATTTTCCCAATAAATGCTGATACTGATAATGATAAAGTTTTTAAATTAGTCATTCTATCAATACAATAATCTAATGTTATAACTAATAAATTCTCATATTCTTTATAAATATCAGAATCACTAAAATTCCATTCATCACGACTTAATATTCTTGATATACATTCTAAATATGCATTTCTATCACTGGCCGGAATTGAAGAATATAATACAGGATATGGATCAATTGAAGAAGTTGATGATGATTGTGAATTATTTGATGGTTGAGAATTAGAATTATTATTTGAATTATTATTAGTAGATTTTGAAGTAGTATTTAAATTCCCAATTAATGAATACCACCATTTGATTAATATTGAAGTTATAACCGTATTTAAACTCTTATAAATTTGAGAATTCCTTGGGAAATAAATATCAAGATTATTATTGGATCTAAGAAATGGTAATAAAGATGTTCGTAATATATTACCCTTTAATGAAGGACTAGCAGTTGAATGATTATATTTCTTTGAATTAAATTTATTTAATTCATTTTCGAGTTTTTTAAATTGTTTTAATAATGCTTTAATTAATTTATCACTATCAGGATTATTAGTATTATTATATTGATATTGTTGATATTGATTATGATGATTATGCAAAAGATTTAATGAAGATGAAGATGAAGGTACAGATGGTGACCTACCTATTGGCAGAGGTGTACTTACTGATCTCATTGTAGATGGAGGAGGTGGAGTCAGCAGAGCAAATCTTGTATTACCATTTGAATTAGAATTTGAATTTGAGAATGGTGGAGTAGGACTTCTTAAATTAGCATACTGATTGGTGGAATTATTTTTATCTATTGATGATGACGATGAATGTATCTTATGGTTTAGACTAGATGCTTTAGCTAATACTTTAGACATAATGAAGTTAAAATAAGAAAAATAAAATGAAAATTAAAATTAAGTATAAAGTACAAACTTAAAGTATAATGGGATGATTTTAATAGTTAATTAATGAATATTAATGAAATAAAAATGAAAATAAACTTGATGAAGTAAATAAAACCGAATGGAATTGAATATAATATGATAAAATGACTTGACCCTTGATAATTTAAAACCTAGTTAACACAACTGACGCAGGCACACAAACACAAACTAATATGAAACAACAACCAGTACGAACAATTTCTCTATAAATACGAGAATATTGAATCAACTATGGTTGGGTGAGTAAGTTGGGAGATACAAATGAATCTAGTACCACTCAAGATACATATATATATCTATATATAACGAATGTAAATGATATTTAAATCTAGTAAACACAACAAATTAGCAATAATCCCTTTGGTAGAGATGCCCCAAAGTATTCGAGCTCGGCCCTAAAATTAAAACCGATGGGTGAAATTTTTCCAAAGGTTTATGATGATATTGATGTAGTGGTTTAGAACAAGTGATAAGTGGAAATGTATAAACAATTCCAATAGCAGGTGCTCAAAATACAAAATGGGTTGGGGTGAGTAAGTTGCTGTGGTACGTTAAGTTTGGTTGTCTTAAAATAGAATCTCGGCCTTTCTTTGTTTACCGATAAACTTTTGTTTGTGTGTTGTTATTTAAGATGTGCGAAGTTTACTAATGAAATTTTAGTATTGAACGGGGGAATAGATCAAACAAACAGATGAAATAAATAAAGAAAGAAATTATCAAATATCAAATAGCAAATAGCAAATAGCAATCTTATATATTATTAAATGAGAAATTTATTATGTTAATTAAATAAACCTACAAGTGTTTGACGAAGAAATATTCAACATATATATGCTCATGTATATATGACATATAAAGAATGTAGGGCATCTACAATAATGTAATGGTTTTGTGAACATAATCTAAGCATAACAAAAAACTTGATTAAATATTAGAGAAGAGCTAAGAAATTTGTGCATGACGAATCGAATCTATTGTACATCTTCTTTGATGAAATAGTTAAACAATGGACATCATAATACATAATTCAAAATACTTATCCACAAATTATTCACCTCACCTCACTTCACACAAAATTTACACACAAGGGGCAATCTATTCACTTCAAAAATATCTGCTAACTTACCAGTAAATGTAACAACAATAAACTTTTCAATAACTTGACAACCGATACACACATATATATATGACTCGTAACATTTACAATATTTTTACTCTTAATCTTACTTTTACGTTTACTTTTACTTCTTTTTACCTTATCTCTTACGCATCTAATCTACTTGTCTATAACTTACAATGTACATTGCCTCCCTATCAGCATTATGTACGTTCCAAATTTCATATTAATCTCTATAAAAACTAAATATCTTTCTACTACTTTATCTATTAGCACTTTTACTTTTCCTACTGCAAAAGTTGTCTTATTTCTTTTTTCTAAAAGTGCACTCTCGCTGGTTGTGGTAATTTCCTAGTTGGCAAATTCTATTACCTTATCGGTCAGGGTTCATCTCACCGCTCTTCTGTGCACAGCAAAGTAAACAAAAAAAATCATTTTTCCTCACCCCTGAAAGAATACAATATAGAATCCACCAGGAGATGACTACACGAAGGGGTCCTTGTCGGAACTAAAGGATATTAAGTAGCATACTGTAGTAAAGAGATGTCTAGACCATTACGAGATCCTTATAACACATTAACTTCATAAGCATCATTGACATCTCATCGCATCGTAAAATCAAGCCTCTTCGTCTAATTTGTGGTTGGTGATTTGCCCTCGTGTAAGATTCAGTAGTAGTAGCAAAACTATTTTCCATTTCGTTTCAAAATCTGTACAAATATGCATCCACTAATTACAGATACAGTAGTTTTTTTCGGACCGGAATTGGTTAAAACCACCGGAAAAGAGTTTATTGAGCAGAAATTTCGTAGTATCTCTCTAATGATTTTAGCATAAAATATGGGAAATGTTACACTGTTTTCACTTTTGAATAAGGTATACTTGTTACCTTAAGCCATTTATGAAAATATGGAGAAGCGAATATCTGACACATATAAAACATACGATGTTATAGTTAATAAGGAGATAAATATTGACACGTGACTTGTTATAAGCAATTACACAGAGACCCGTTCTTATTGATATATTATCAAAGCTCGACTGTGATATCATCCTTACCTACTTTAGGAATTGCTCAAGAAGTCCACTAAACATAATATGTTACTTGTAAATCCAAGGTTAAGAAATTGTAATTCAAAAAAGTCTATATTTATTGGAAAAAGCATATTAGTGGATGAATGAGCTCATTCCCATCCACGGCATGATTATCAATAAAATAACTTGTTATACTCTATGTTATTGAATCAACGATGCTTTTAAGACTATTACAATTATTATTGAATTAAATAAAAAATGCACTAATGTATTTTGGCTGATGCTTCTATTTTATAGTAAGATGTAAATAAGAGTTTTCGATTTAATAAAACAACAATGGCAGAAATCAATCCAAATATGCATGGTATAGTTGTCAATATTTTAACTAATATAGTACTATCAGCATATTCATAATACCATCCATGTAATGCATCAATAAATTGTGATTGTATCAAGAATGATGGTAAAATATAATCGAAAGCAGTATTTAATCTTGTATTTGAAATTCTATTAGTACGATGATACCAAATACGGACTATAAGGGCTGCCCATACCGAAATACTTGTCAGTGATAACGACCCTCCCAATTGATTAATTTTGAATGGAACTAGGATATAGGAATAGAGAGCCTTAAAGCTTATGACTGCTAGAGCAAAGCAAACAACGAATCTAACTTCAATAGGGATCATATCTATGATATAAGTTTCTGCAAAAGTACTGGTGAAGATTTTGTCTATCTAGTAGAATGAAGATGAATGAAAAGGGATCATTAGATGATAATTATAACTCTGATGTCATGAAATACTTGTATTGGTATGGTTGGGGGACGACCCAGATGTTTGATGGTGCCTCATTTCGCAACTATGATATGTATTTTACACAAAACTGAGCAGAGCGAAACTTTGAAAGCCGGCGGTTTTTGACCCCCTTTTGGTTTCCGCACTTCCTTTCTATCCATATTTCAATCTTGCTACAAGTTGTGGTTTTGCAGCAATTCTAATAGTCAGTAGCCTTGGTAAAATTGTTTACTCCACTTGGTAAGATTCAATAATCAATTGAGCCATTGCTAGCAGTCAGACACCAGTTCTGATTTGGAATTTTGTCATTATTAATGATATGCTGAAGTCCAACCAACTTGAAGAATATAGAATTAAGTATGAATAACAAGATCCTACAGGGAACTAGCAAATAATTAACTACGTCTTGATGACAAATATGCAGACTATATCAGTTATGTACCAACAAATAGGTCCCACATATTAGCATGTGAGTAGCTGATCTTCTACTATTAGTACAGAGGATTGATGATCTCATTATCTCAAATGGGTATGTTCTATTCTAAACGCTGTAATTAAATGAAATTTATGATTTCTTGTATAATTTGTACTATGCTAAATTTATTAAATGTATACAATATATATATACTTCAGTCTATACTTAATTCAGAAGGTGGAGATGTTGTAGAAGATTTATTCTTATCATCATCATCTATATTTAAATGATTAAATTTACTAAATCCATCACTATTCTGTTGTAATTGTTTCTCAAGAATTTCTTGAACTTGTCCAAATTTCGAGATTGTTTCATCTTTCTCTTCAATTTCTTTAATTAATTCTTCTTTCTTTTCAAATAAATCATGAATCTTTTTATCCTTCAGTTCATTTTCAGTCTTAACTTTAATTAAATCTTGCTTAACTTGATTTAAAGTATTCTTTACTTCTTCAGCTTCCTTTTCTTGATCAATTAATTTCTTTTCAAAATCATAATATTTGTTCTTAATACTGTCAATATTATTAGAAAACTCATTAAATAGTTCTTCTTGTTCTTTAATTTCTCCCTCATTGTCACTCTTTTTACCATTAATTTGAATAATTTGCTTAAATAATTCATTAACTTTATCTTTGGTAGCGGTTTGAATCTTTTCAATTTGTAAACTTTTATCTTTGATTTCTTCTTTCAAACTTTTGATTTCTTCCTTTAAAGATTCAATCTCCTTATCCTTTTTGATGAGATCTTCAGTATTTTTTGGAGGTATCTTTGACTTTTCTTCTTCCTTTGATTTATAACTCATTAATTCTTCTTCGAGTTCAATTAAAGTTTGCAGTTTCAATTCTAAATCCTTCTTGGAATCTTCAATTGCAGTAGTTAACGAAGATATTTCCTTATTCTTCGCGGTTTCTTTATTTACTAATTTATCAATTTGAGACTTCAATGATGATATTGTTTCATTATTAGCAGTCTCCATGATAACGAAGCTAACATTTTGAGCTTCTAACTTGGAGATTTCTTGATTTTTGATGACTATTTGTTCTTTGGATGTTTCATATTCCTTTTTGATCTTGACTAATTCTTCATCTCTTTTCTTTATCAAATCTTGAGCTACTTTAGATTCATCATCATATTTTTCCTTCAATGATTTGATGGTCAGACTCAATATATCAACTTGTTTAGTGTATCTGATCTTTGAAGAATTCAACTCTTCTTCGATGTTTTGAATTTGTTCTTTCAAAACAGAAATCTCAGAATTTTTCTGTTTCTCTAATTCTTCTAACTCGGTTTGTTTGGCTTTTGTCAAATTCTCTAATTCAGTTTCTTTTTGAAGTCTCAATTCATCCAACTTGGCATTCTTTTCAATTAATTCTTTAATATCTTCTTTTAATTCGACAATTTCTTCCAATTTATCTTGATATTCTTGTTTATCAATTGTTGCTGAAAGAGAATTAACATTCGCATGAAAGTCATTAAATTTCTTATGTGCTTCAATTAACTCATTTTGAAGCATATTGATCTTATCATTACCTTCTTGACGAACTTGAGATCTAACAAATCTAATTTCTTCTTTGTATTTTCTTGAAGATACTTTTAATGATTCTTCTAACTCTTCTACTTTAGTGAGCAATTGATTTATTTCAGTAGTTGATTTTTCTTCAACTTCTTGCTTTGCTTTAAGAAGATCTGCAAGTTTTTCTGCATGTATTTTAGTCAACTTTTCAGTACTACTTATACTTTCGAGCTTAAACGCAGATAATTCATCCTCAACCAATTGTTTTGCTTTCTTTGTATCTTCAAGTTCTTTATTTTTGGCATCAAACTTTTCCTTTGAAAGTTCATTTTCATTGAAAGTCTTTAATTGTGTAATCTCTGTATTTAAAACTGAAATCTTATCCTCTAAGCTTTTAATAATACTTTCTTTTTCTTTAATTATTGCTTCGTGGTCTTTAATGGTTTTCTTCAATTTCTCTTCTAATTCGGCATATTTGGTATTAGATTTAACCAACTCGTTGTCTTTAGCTTCAAGATTCTTAGAATGTTCATTTTTGATCGAATTCAATTCCTTGATGTGAGATTCTACCAATTTATTATTATTATTATTGATGGATGCTAATTGTGATTCTTTATCTTTGATTATGGTATCTTTTTCATTTAAATCTTTCTTCAATTGATCTATTTGATCCTTTGATTTACGTAAATCTTCTTTAACATCTTTAATATCACCATTCAACTTACTGACTTCTTCCTTTTCTTTATCAATCTTCTTTTGAGATTCTTCAAGTTTTTTCTCATATTCTGCAGATTTATCTAACAATTCTAGATCGCGTTTCTTGACTTGAATGATATATTTTTCATTTTCTCCAGTTAATGAAAGGTTTTCCAGCTCTAAATCGATGATTTTATCATTTTGAACAGCAAGTGATTTTTCAAACGATTTTATTTCATCCTGTAATTGGTGTATAAACTTTTCAGATTTCAAAGCTTCTCCTTTGAATTTTTCACTTTCTTCATCAAACTTTTTGTTAATAGCTTCAATTTGAGTTTGTTGATTCGAGATAGTCAAATCCTTTTCAGCAATAAACCTCTCGATTTCTCGATTTAATTTATACTCGAATTCCTTTTCTAATTTATCTTTGTAATCAGAATCATCATGAAATTGACCTTTTAAACTTTTGATCTCCTCTTGTAAGGCTTGAAGTTGATTTTTCAAATCAGTAGTAGTCTGTTGAAGAGTAGCATTCTCCGTTTCAAGTGACTCTCTGGCTGACACCAAGTCATCAACAGATTTCTTCAGTTTTTCATTTTGCTCTCTTTGTGACTTTTGGATGGCTTTCACGTATTCATAGGATTCTTGATATTTTTTATTGGACTCTTGGGCTTCTTTCACAGCTTGTTCATATTTACTTGTCTTTTCCTTTAATTGTATGGATTGTGCCTGTATTTCCAATAGCTTTGCACTATTCAAATAGTAGTAAATTGTGGCTACTGCTATGGCTACTAGAGATATATAAATAGATATCCCCATCGTATAGTAGTCGCTATTCTGGATATATTTGATCTATATATGCTATATTTACTTCTTTGTATAATTTTTTTTTTCACTGCGATTGTTCGTCTATGATGCAAAATTTCTAACTCCTGCGAAAGTGTAAGTTTCCAAATAAAGAATTAGGAGATTTGGGACTTACCTGAATTAAATTACTAGGTGATTTAACAAAGGAGTAATAGCTTTCGATGTCATCGTTATCGCTGCCTTCCAGTTGCTCATGAGCTGAAAATAGTTGTTGATCAATTGCGTTATGTTGACTTCCAACTCGTGGCAGTAATCCTCCACTATATAGATTATGTAAATCATAATGAGAAAATGGTATTTCCTCAGGCTCAAGTACTCTATTCTTTAAAGAAGATTGTACTCTAGGACTATTAATGTGCATGGGAGAATGTGAAGCAATTGAAACTTGATCATTATCTTCCATAATAATGTAATCACTGGCATTCAAATTTGGATGTATAATAGAGTTGGCATATTCTAAAGGATTGTCATTAGTTCTGAATTCTGCATGAACGGGCGGGATTATTATACTGTTTATTGGAGATACAGAATTTGTAGTAGCACTTGTTGCTTGAATCATCATGGCTGTAGGTGATAAAGGTGGTAACATTTTTCTTTTAGTCAATTTCAGTTTACTATTTACACTTCTCAGTTCTATATGAAATCTTGTCTTTAATTTTGAATTTGGAGAATCTTGTTTAATCTTTATTGTTGATCTTCTGGTTGGATACAAAGTATCTAAATATTGAGATGAAGTTTCAGATATGATGGAAATAGTAGGATATATTGATCTCATATCAATAATAGAAGATGTTGAGGAGCCTGGAATAGGATCTGTTGATAATCTCCTGATTATAGGTTTAATTGGAACTTGTTTCACTTTCCTAATTGTAAACTTCTTTAATAGATTTCTTATTATATTTCTTCTTTTTGGTATTTCTATGGTTTGTTTAGAAGCTGTTTTCTTCCCTTCAATAATTTCGTCATGAAAACTTTCAGAAGCAGTATGTAATAGGAAAGGAATTGGAGTTAAACTTCTAGATGTTGGATATTTTTCCAGTAAACCAATTGCAATGTCATTATCCAGATTTGAATCAAGAGATTGATTTCGGCGTTTAATTAATGATATTAAGTGAGGTTTTCTTTTATATAAAGGAGGATATCGATTGATATAGTTAGGATCTCTGATTTCTTCTAATGTACCTAAATCTATTGTATGCGGTTCAAGTTTAGTAAACATTTCATGGTGTAACAATTATAATATTTACTAATCAACCTTAAGTTCCAAACTAATTGTATTACAAAAATATTGCAACCAAACTGGATAAGGAATTTTCTTGAGTACGTATCACATGACCTGAGAACCAGCCAATAAAATTTGCCATAGGCACCCGAAAATATTGCAGAGAAAAAATTAAGTATGGTGAAAAATTAAGAAATCGTTGGAGAATTTGATCAACTATAACTATTCCTATAATATAACTAAGAATAAACATGGGTGCTGCATACACTATCTTAGGTAGAACCTATCAACCACATCAATTAGCTCTTGCTACTTTAGGAGCTGTTGTTTTTGTTCTTTTACCAAAGCCATGGGCTCCAGCTCCACCAAAGCATCCATCTATTAATGCTAGTTCTCCAGAAGAAGAAAAGTTCGTTAAAGAATGGTTAGCTAAGAATTCTCCAGCTGAAGAACACTAGATCCATTAAATTAGGCTAAAATTGTCAGATTTCATGTATATTTAAGTCAACCCCCATTTCAATATTCATATTTGCATGTACATTATTCATTTTCATGAAGGTTCAATCTTCATTTAGCAAGTTTTAGAAGGTATGAATTCCATTGTATAAATCAAAAGAAAAGGATATGCTATGAGTTTCCATAAATTTCATGTCTATTTCAGCTGTCCATAATTTCATATTTTCAAATATTAAAATTTTAGAATGCCAAAAGGTCATTGTTTTGAAGTCAATTTCTTTTCTTTTATATATGCATTAGATTAATATACCATGTTGATTGCTTTCATTATTCAAAATATACACATATTGTAAGAAGAATTGTATGGTGATATCAACTCTATTCTAATTATTTTGTATTCATTAAACTGTTTTGTTTCGTTCATTGTTTTGATAGATCGATCGTAACGAAGTCCCTGAAATACTCATAAAATTACCACATATTACATTACTGACAAAGCCAACGGTGCTATTTACATCACATATACCTGATCCTTATTTGTAACGCAATCCCTGAAATGTCAAAATTCGGCATTTCCTATTACTCTTATTTTTCAGCTATCACTCTTATTTCTTAGTCAAAATTCTAAGTTTTGAATCATGGGCATTATGATTTTGCTAGCAATGAATTACGTAGATCCATCCATTTAAATACCATCTGAATATTCGGGTATCGTCTATAACAATTTCCAGGATATGATATATCGCATTACCAACTTTTTCTGTTCTTTTCCAACAAATTGTAATAAAGCGACTTTAATAGCTATTGTTAATTCTAATATTACAAAATCGTTTTGTATGTTGAATAAAAGTTCAAATTCTCATTATTACTATCAATTGCTTTAGCATTGATGATGTGCTCCTGATGGGTTAAATCCATTATTATTATAGGGCAAAAGCTGAGTAATTTAAACATACAAGTTTTTATATGATGCTATACATAGAGCTGATTATCCTATTTTAGAAAGAAAAGAGAATGGTATGGATTATTTTGTTGCTTTCTTTTGACTGATGTGTTAAAGTACATAATCTTGTATTATATTGTGAATTATATTGTTAGGTAGAAAATCTTGAATTAGATCGCAGAAACTAAATAACAAAAGTAAGACAGGCTAAATGTCTAGAAACATTTCACCCCATGAACTGGGCTAACCAAACAGTTGATATATGATCTTTCCATTACAGTATACTATAAGTATACGAAGAGGTAATAAATAGCTGCAAACATTTGTCAGTGACAAGCGAAAACTGCAAATTATAACTAGTAGAATTGATCCGGGTAAAATCTGAATACATAAAAATAATTATAGAAGAACATCCATGACGCAACGCTTAAAGATCAAGCACATAGTAGAAAAAAAATTTAAGATGAGTTGAAAAATATATGGAGCAGAGCTAATACATACTAGATATTATACCAAATAGATAAAGTTAGAGATGTCAGCTATTTATAAGGCATTACAATCCAAAAGTTCGAAGGAAACTTCCGAAAAGACTAAGCATATAAATAGACAAAGATTGTTAGTGATATCATCCAGAGGTGTTACTTATAGACATCGTCATTTAATTAATGATTTAGTTGCTTTATTACCACATGCTAGAAAAGAACCTAAATTTGATTCTAAAAAGAACTTATATCAATTGAATGAAGTTGCTGAATTATATAATTGTAATAATATCTTCTTTTTTGAAGCTAGAAAACATCAAGATTTATATTTATGGATTTCTAAACCACCAAATGGTCCAACCTTAAAATTTCATGTACAAAATTTACATACTTTAGATGAATTGAATTTCATTGGGAATTGTTTAAAGGGATCTAGACCTATTTTGAGTTTTGATAAATCATTTTTAGAAAATGATCATTATAAATTAATTAAAGAATTATTAACTCATTGTTTTGGAGTTCCACCAAATGCTAGAAAATCTAAACCATTTATTGATCATGTCATGACTTTTTCCATTGTTGATAATAAGATATGGATTAGAAATTATCAAATCAATGAATCCAAGGATGTTAAAGATGCTGCAGAAAATGGTGATGAAGGTAAGAGTGAAGAATTAAATTTAGTTGAATGTGGTCCTAGATTTGTTTTAACTTTAATAACTATCTTGGAAGGTTCCTTTGGAGGTCCAAAAGTTTATGAAAATAAACAGTATGTTTCACCTAATTTTGTTAGAGCTCAAGTAAAACAAAAAGCTGCTGATCAAGCTAAATCTAGAGCTGAAGCTGCACTTGATAGAAAATTAAAGAAGAGAAGTAATGTATTGAAAATCGATCCATTATCCAACGATGCTTTATTCAAGTGATTTTGGAAGAGGTTGTATATCTCAGTTTGTATCATAGAATAAATATAATTTGCATAATATATAGTAACACAATCTAGTAGATAAAAAGGAAGTTGCCATCGTAATCTAAGTTATGAGCCCGTGACCACTGGGCTTGGGTGTGCAGTTTGAAAGATAAATAGAGTTGATAAAATATATAATATAAATATATCAGAAACTTTCTAACTAGTCTAATATATTGAATATCCGTTAGTGCTAAGCGAGTGTTGCAAAAAGACAATAAAAAAAACATGCGACATTTAACGTTTCTATCTTGACGATTTGTTTCAGAATAAAATTTTAGTTTTTGGAGCTACAGAGCATCATTATACATATAGTGGGGAAGTTAACAGTTATAAAAACAGGCTTATTTAAATTGTACCTGATGCAAGAATAGGTTAAAGTATTTCTTTATTAATTCTTCACAGCTTATTGGATCGCGTGGTTCCAGTATATAATTAAAATTAATATTAACTGACTTCATTACTACTTAAATTAATGATAATGTGTATATATATTATATATCAATAATATATAATAATAGTATTAGTAGTAGTAGTAGTCGTCGTAATAGATTTGCCACGTTCATATGTCGGAATAAAATCTTTCTAACCCATCTCTCACAGTATGAGTCGTTCGATATCGTGTCTTGGCTCGCGTGTTCCTGATTGATCTATTTTTATTGTATTATGTAAGTTGTAAGGAGGTTTAATACCTTTGTGAAACAGTTACCAAAAAAAGAAAATAGTAGGAAGTTTTTTTTTTTAAATGCATTAGTTGATTTAGTGCTTAATACTTAGCCAAGTAGTGAGTTAAAAGTAGCTGAGAGCAACCGAACTCGGCCACTAAATTTCCTACTCCTCAGGTCAAATATTCAAATTATACAACTTACTCCTTCTTTCTATCATAATATCAGTTTCATAACTTTCGCTAATAGTCCTTTCCCATCTTTGTATATTAAAATTTAAAAATCAGGTACACAAGTTTACTTTCGTTCCGCCATATATGAACTCATAATAACTAATAATGTTTAATAATAATAATAATAATAATAATAATAAAAGGAATCAGGATAAGCAAGAGCTGTATCCTACTTCAAAGAATTTACGGAGTGAGTTCTTACTGAATTCTCATCAATACGCTCCTTCACCTCCTAATCCTAATTATACTTACAGTACTGCTACCACTACTACTAATAATAATAATAATAATAATAATAGTGATGAGAATTTTTACTTCAATGATAACGTGAATACCCTTCAACCTCATGCTGTAATATACCCGCATTCAGTTATCAATAATGCAGTTAATCCTTATACAAGACAATTATCTCCTGGTGAAGTTCGAAATAATTCAACTTCTTATTATAACAAAGAATTACCTTCAACAAATGAATTTGAATTAAATAATTTATCCAACTCAGATGATGAATTATTACAAAATCAAATGACAAATAATACAGATAATCCATCTAGTAAAAATCGACTCCCTAATACTGCTCATTATAATTTAATGCCATTACCTTCACTACCTCATCAAAGTCCCTTTGAAGAATTAGATTTAAATAATAATAATTCTCATAATAATAATAATAACATTAATGCAAATCCATTCCTTACTCCTAAAAATGACTATTCCTATAATGATAACGATAATATTGATTCTCCAGCTTCAGTAGAACAGAAAATGGATTATTATGAAAAGGAAAGATTAAGAATATTAAGAAAAACTCCTCGCTTTCATTATACAAATTTACCATACTTTACAATACTTGTAACAATGATTCAAATTATTGTATTCATTGTAGAATTAGCAAAAATGTCTATTTTAACTGGTTCAGCATTTCAAACAAAACCATATTTCAATCCAATGTTGGGTCCTTCAACTTACCTTTTAATTAATATGGGTGCTAGATATGTTCCTTGTATGCAACAAATTGAAACAGTAACTGATGATCCTACTTTACAATTCCCATGTCCAAATTCAACATCTGTTGCTACAAATGTTTGTTCATTACCTCAATTATGTGGATTAACAAATATTCCATTTATTGATAATAAATTTATACCTGATCAATGGTTCAGAATTATAACTCCAATATTTCTTCATGCTGGTTTCTTACATATTATATTTAATTTATTACTTCAAATAACTATGGGACCATCAATTGAAAGAAGTATAGGAACTATTAAATTTGCATTAATTTATCTTGCTAGTGGTATTTCAGGATTTTTATTAGGAGCAAATTTTACTCCAATTGGAATTGCTTCAACTGGTGCTTCAGGAGCATTATTTGGAATTTTAGCTACAAATATTTTATTATTTATTTATTGTGGTAAAAAAAATACTAATATTTATAATACTAAGCATTATGGTCTTTTCATATTAATTATGGTGGGAGAAATTCTTGTTTCTCTTGTATTAGGTTTATTACCAGGAATGGATAATTTTAGTCATATTGGAGGTTTTGCTATTGGGATTTTAATGAGTATATTATTGGTTAATGATCCATTCTTTGTATATGAAGATGGAATTATTCCATATGATAGTCATTTATCAGCTTTACAACATTTTCAAAATCAATGGAATCCATTCGCATTTTGGTCTAATAAAATCCCAATAAATTTTGCTATTTGGGCAACCGTTAGAGTTATTTCATTAATATTAGTTATTGTTTATTTTGTCTTATTAGCCAAAAATTTCTTTACTAATAAAGATGGACCAGGAAGTAGTTCAAATTGTCATTGGTGTAAATATATTAATTGTATACCAGTGAATGGATGGTGTGATATTGGTCAAATATCAATTACTACATCTTCATTATCAAGTCCTTCTACTTCTGCTTCACCAACTACAAATACAAATACAAATACAAATACAATGGCTAATCCAAGTGCAAGTCATACTAATGCAAATGAAGTAATAGTAACTAGTACTTTACCTGTTAGTATTGTAAATACTGAATCACCAGACCCAAATTCTCAAAATAAATTTAAAATTAGAGATAGTAAAGATAGAGATATATTAGAACAGTTTGGAATTTTTGAAGATCAACAACAAGGCCAAACCCAGCAACAATTAGATCAAACTGCGAATCATGGATTTGTGGAACATCAAAATATTGGGCTTGCATTTTATGGACTCTTTTTCATATTGACGATTTCTTTCCTTAAAAGAAAGAAGATCTTGTAATATATTCAGTCTTAGCATTTAAATATACGAATTTCTACGAATTATTATGTAAATCATTTAAATTAGTAACTTATTAATTACTGCTAAATCTATGTAGTAGATCAAAATAGTCGTGGGTTATTTCCGGGTAACCTGTTCTTTTTTTTTTTTGGTTAACAAAATTTTTCAAAATTCTCAAGTATCTGAGTACTAGATATACTTAACCCATTTAGTATAGAACCATAACCATGTTCAAATTCTCATCACATGTTGTAAGGAGGACACAGATAAGGACAATATCCACCAGTCGTGCCAGTTTCTTTTTTGAAAATGTCTTTGGTACTCGTAAGAATGAAGAAATTGTTGCTAAACAAGATGAACTCGCCAAGATTGAACCAGATGCAAAGATAGAAATCTTAAATGAACAGAATAGTCCTGATTATGTTCCATTTATTCCTGCTAGTAATATGCCTAATTTCAAAATTGAACAATGGAAATCAAAGATTGTTAGTCCTAAAGATATAGAAGCTACATATTCAAAATCTGATATAATAACTATAATTAATGATACTTTTAAACAAGTTCAAAATAAAGATATTAATCAAGAACAATATAAAGAAATAAACTTACATGATTTATCATTCAGATTCCAATTCTTTAAACAATTACAACTGAATTTAGGTTTTGATATTAATGACTTTATCATTACTCAATCACATGATTTAAAACAAGTTGAAGATAATTTAACCCAAATAATTAATAAAAGATGGACTTATGAAAGAAATCCAAATGCTATTGTATTAAGAGAAGAAGATTTTAAATCTCAAAATATCTATTTGAATCAAGAATTAGATGACTACCATCAACAAATCAAATTTGATGAACTTGTAAAAAAAGCAAATGAATCTCAAGAAGTTCAAGCTTAATCATTCCTACCAACTTGTAAATATAAATATACAATAAACAATTCACCGAAATAAAGAAATACCATCCGTAATGGATGTTGTAAATATAGAAGTAAAAAGAACCTAAGAAATCCTAAAAAGGGATATAATCATAAAACAATATATACTTAACATTAGTTGATCGAGCCAATGAAATCCTAAAAGGATATAATCATAAAACAAAATAAAATTAACCTAACCTAACCTGACGCAGATTGACTGAAGCATATGGAGGATGTTTAGGTAATTGTTTCAAGAGATTAATCTTGATATCTAAATCATCTTCATTCTTAGCTCCCATAATCGATAATGCTTCTAATTGAAGGGTACGATAATAACTCCATTTAAGTAAAATTGATGTCATGGCAAAGAATTTAAATTCTGGCCAAAGAGTATCAACAAATTCAATAGTTGAATTATAATTAGATTGCCAGAGTAAAAAATCACTTAATCTAGTATGACCACTAGTTCTAATTAAAATATCTAATGGTGGAGTATCAGGACCAAAATAGAAATTATCAGCAATAATTTTTGAATCAATTTTATCTTTAGATTCAATTTCTCCATTATTAACTTTATTAATAATTGATTTAATAGAATAAACTATTTCATCACGAGTTGTATAAGGGAAACAAACATTGAGAGTTTTCTTACTAGTTGCATTTTTAGTAGTTTCTTCAATTGATTCTAAATCTTGTAAAATATCGGTGGGAATATATGATTTATTCCCAATAATTCTTACTCTAATTTTATTAAATCTAGCATAAGAATCTTCATGTTCACTAATCATTTTAAGTTTATCTCTTAATAAACTAAAGAGAGTATCGACTTCTTCTTTAGATCGATTAAAATTTTCAATTGAAAATGCATAAATAGTTACATGTTCAACTCCTGTTCTAAAACAAACATCAAGAACCTATAATTTAGTTAGTTTATAAATTATACTGATCAACAGTAACAAGGGGTAAGGGGTAAATCTTACATTTACTAAAGCTTCAGCTCCAGCAGTATGGCCATCTTTTAAAGCAAGATTGTTTTGTTTGGCATATCTTCTATTCCCATCCATAATTATGGCTATATGTTTAGGTATTGGACCAGTATTTAATACTCCAATAATAAAATCTTGTAAGAAACTAATCACATAGGTTAATAGAGGGAAATTGCTTAATACGTTAAATATCGAATTGATAGAGAATGTATCTCTATTATCAAATGCCCCTTGCATGATTGATGTGAATAAATTTTGACCGTCAATTTGATTCAGGGGGGGCAGGCGGATTAAGGGTGACTTATATAATATGTTGCAAATGGCGCGCTACCATGTGGCTATTTTACTGACAATATTTAATTTAATTGTCAATATTTAATATATTACTAATTAATTAATTTTTATATATAATAGTCTAAGCAAATCTAAGCAAGCTTGACTGATTTTATAATCTTTTTAACCTCGGGCTTTTTCCTTTCTCTAATTCTAGCCTCTTCAATTTTATTTAAGTATCCCATATACACCACAACTTCTGCCACTAAAATTAATAATCCAAAGAATATACATAATAATACTCTATAACTATCTGGAAGGTTCCATGAACTTTTTGTCCAATACCATATGGCATATACTACACTTGCCACACTAACAAATATATTAACTATAGTTGTTAATTGACTCTTTAATTCTTTATGAGCTCTTGCAGGAGATATATATTCTTTATTAGATAAATCTTGTTCATATAATGTAGAATATTCAGGAGATGGATTAACTAATCGTTGATATTCTTCTTCCTTAGCCTTTAACCGTAATAATTCCATTGATTTAATAAATTCAGGAGTTTTGATGATATTTTCTTCTACAGGATTCTTATTGGGTATATATAATGAAGTTTTACTTAGTAGTTGTAATAAATTTGTGGTAGGTTGATATGCTTTATAAATATTAATTAGATTGCCTTTTGATATATATGGTTTTGTAAGTAATTCTATTACTACTGGATCTATATTATCGATATTCGCTATACATTCCTTCAACTGCGGCGTTATGATATATTGCGACATGATACTATAAAATGTAAAGATCAACAAGTACAGTTTATATTATGTGTAGTGTATAATATGTAGTGGTATAGTATGTGTACAACTGTACATAATAATCGTAACATGGTGAATCGGTACACGCACACTACATTATGGCGAACATTCTGTCTGTCTGTCTGTCTGTCTGTCAAATGTCAAATGTCGCACATTCGTTCGATGTCTCAATTTGTCCCTTTGTGGAGAGACTTTCTTTTCTCAGTCAGGTTAGTGGTCCGATAAGTTTAACTAGAAATATATAAATCATAAGAGTTTTGACAAAATTTTATAATTCGTAACCGTTTGATAATTTATTCAATATTTACCTACTCTACGTATTTGACTAGTCTCAAATCATTTTCTTTTAACTCTCATCTATAAATAAATCTTTTCATATTCATTTATATTTGGCTGGTCCTGCATAGACCCCCCCTCCTCAACCCCCAGAAATTCAATTTAACCTAATTGGGATACTTTGTTTACCTTTTCCTAAAAGCAGTTAACTACCTTCAATAAATTTTTAAAACTTTTTTTTAAAATTATCATGAATGATAAAGAAAAGGTAACAGTCTACCACTTGAAAGATCCAGGTTTGAAGAGGGCTAATTCGATCCTAAAGTTTAAGGAGATGTTTAAAGTTCAAGGAGGATCTACCAATAATGGTAGTAATTTAAATAATCAACCAATTCCAAGTTTTGATTCTAGAAAGAGACAAACTAAGAAAGATGACGCTATTAGAAGAAAGATTGAAAATGATTTAAGTAAGAAGAAGAAATCTGGTACTAAATCAACTAAACATAAAAGAGTAAATCCTGGTACAGTATATTCATTAAAACCAAGTGATCCAATTATTTGTAAACCAACTTCAACAGTTTATGAAGTATCACAATTAATGTCTGCTAAAAGAGAAAATTGTGTATTAGTTGTTAATGATAAAGGAGAATTATTAGGAATTTTTACTGCAAAAGATTTAGCATTTAGAGTTGTTGGATCAAATTTAAATGCTTCAATTATTACAATTGATAAAATTATGACACCAAATCCTTTATGTGCAAATGCATCAGCTCCTGCTCTGGAAGCTTTAACTTTAATGGTTGAAAGAGGTTTTAGACATTTACCAGTTTTAGATGAAGATAATCTTATTGTAGGAGTTTTAGATATTACAAAATGTTATGCTCAACAAATGGAAAAATTAGAAAGAATGCATGCTTCATCTAAAAAATTATATGAAGCTTTAGATTCTGTTCATTCTGAAATTGGAGTTACTGAACAACCTTTACAAGTTTTCCAATATTTTGAAGATTTAAGAAATAAAATGAATGGTCCAACTTTAGAATCAGTATTAGATTCTTCATCTGTTCCAGTTTATGCTGATGTTAAAACTACAGTTTATGATGCAACTGTTTTAATGAAAGAAAATAAAACTACTGCAGTTTTAGTTAAAGATAGTCATGATGATGTTACTGGTATTTTTACTTCAAAAGATGTAGTATTAAGAGTTATTGCTGCTGGATTAAATCCAAAAAAATGTTCAATTGTTAGAGTTATGACTCCTCAACCTGATGTTGCAAAAGTTACTTTACCAATTCAACAAGCTTTAAGACAAATGTTTGATGGACATTATTTAAATTTACCAGTAGTTGGTGAACATCATGAAATTATTGGTATTGTTGAAGTTTTAAAATTAACTTATGCTACATTAAATCAAATTAAAGAAATTGAAATTCCTGATACAACTCCAACTAAACAAACCATTACTCCTTCTCAATCAAATTCTCTTCAATCAGAATCTACTGGAGGACAACAACATCGTGAAGGTCCTGCTTGGAATAAATTTTGGAGTTCATTAGGTCATGATGATACTGAATCAATTCATACTGATTCTATTACTGGTAGTGTTCCTGAAGATATTATTCATGATGGTAGTATTCCTGAAGGTAGTATTATTCCTGAAGGTAGTGTTCCTGATGTAACACCATCTGAATTTCAATCATTTAATGTGGATATTAAACCTTCTGATTCTATTTCTCATAGTGGATCACCATCTAAATCAAGTCAAAGAATTTCTAATAGTTCATCACTTAAAGAAGATATTGATTTACCATTTACATTTAAATTTAAAGCTCCAGCAATTGAAGGTAGAGTTCATAGAATTTCTTTAAAACCAAGTGAAGGTTTAAAGAAATTAAGAGATTTAATTAATGATAAATTAAGTGATAAAGATCTTGAAGTTTTAAGAGTTAAAAAATCTCATGAAGAAGGTGATATTTATGCTGTAAGTTATATTGATGATGAAGGTGATATAGTTTCAATTACATCTGATAATGATTTAGTTGAATGTGTAACTATTAATCAAAAAGTTGAAAATGATAAAGCCGATTTATTCCTTCATAATCCTCATGAACATGCACCAGTTGATGATATTAAACGTCTTCCAAGTGAAAGAAATTCTAAATCCAAATTAAAATCAAAATCTTCGTCAGAGGACACTACCATAATTAGTGGAGTCCCAAATGCAGTACTTATTCCAGGAGCTATTGCTTTCTTAGCTTCTTCAATTATAGTTGGTGTTACATTAAGTAGACACAGGTGAAAAATCAAATTGGTGGTATTATTATTATTTATTATTTATTTCTATATATATTCATTCATTCAATTTCCTCTAGTTAACTCTGTTATGTGTTATATACCTCTCAATATATTCGTGTTATTATATGTATTATATGAGAGCGCGTGATCAGCAGTCGCGTGACCCCAGAGATAAGAAGTTTGAAAAAGTCTGAAAATCTAAAAATTCGAATTTCGATTACAAATATCAATCCTGTCATAGGTCCAAAAGGGGGAACTGCTAATATCATACAATGACAGCCGTATCTACTTCTACTTCTACTATAGTAGGAGCATTAGCATGTCAAAGAAATTCATATTTGAAAACTTTTAAAACTACAGTAGTGTCAAGTTACGAATTTGTTCCACCTCCAACTGCTAAAGACAAGCAAAATAAGAATAAGAAATCTAAAGAACCTGAATTACCTAAAGAAGTTCAATATGCAGTAGAATTACATGATACAATTCTATTTCCTGAAGGTGGTGGACAACCATTTGATACAGGATCTATAATATTACCCGATGAAAAATCTATTACAGTAAAATCTGTTTTAAGAGATAAACTTAAAGCATTACATTTAACTGATTCACCAATTGAACCAGGTACTGAAGTTACATTAAAATTAGATTGGTCAAGACGTATTGATTTAATGCAACAACATACTGGTCAACATTTATTATCTGCAGTATTTGATACTTATAATTTAGAAACATTAAGTTGGTCAATGGGAGATTTAATTAATTATATTGAATTACCAGAAAAAGTTAATGAAGAAATTGTTAATGAAGTTAATATTAAAGTTAATAATTTAATATTAGAAAATGTTCCAATTCATGTAGTTACACCAGATGAACATGGAGAAGAAATTGATGTATCACATATTCCTGATGATTATGATTTATCCAAGGGAATTATTAGAATTGTTAAAATTGGTGAATTAGATTCTAATCCATGTTGTGGAACTCATTTATCTTCAACTTCTCAAATTCAAGCTATTTCTTTATTACATCAAACAAGTGTAAGAGGTGGACATTCTCGATTATATTTTATTTGTGGTTCAAGAGTATATCAATATTTAAGAAAACAAAATGAATTATTAAAGGATGTATCAGGAAATCAATTATCATGTCAAATTGATGAAGTTTCTGAAAAAGTGGCTTTATTAAATTCAAATTATAGAAAGGCCCTTTCTCGTGAATCTTCATTATTAAAAGAAATTGCTAATGTTGAAGCTGTAAAACTTTTTAATAAATTTAAAAATAATCAATTAGTTGATTATGTTTATCGTAATGATAATAATCCTGAATATTTAACATTAATTCAAAAGGAAATCACTACATTAATCAATGGTGATAAACTGAAAGATGTTAATTTATCTGATAAACATACGCTTATACTTATTAATGGAGATTATCCTTCAGGTACTGGAGGTATGGTTAAAATTCTTGGACCAAAGGCTGAAGAAATTCAAGTTGAATTAAAACAAAGATTATCTAATATTAAAGGTGGAGGTAAAGGATCATCATTTCAAGCAAAAATCTCTAAATATGAAAAGGGAGAAATTGAATCAGTTTTAAATTATTTAGATACATTTCGTGATTAATTAATTAGTTGCTTATGTACATGGAACTATATAAATATATATGTATAGAAGTAGAAGTAGAGGTAGAAATACAATACAATAGAATATAAATATAAATATAAATATAAATATAAAGTATATCTAACGTTTAACCCAAGTAGGAGATTTTCTGGATTTGACTTTACCAGGTTTCTTTCTTTCAACATTTCTACTATCACTCTTCATTAAACCAGCTTTTGATAATCTTGGTTTAAGTAATGGATTAAAAATAATTAAAGCTTTAGATACAGCATACATTATAGCTTCAGTTTGACCAGAAATACCACCACCAGATACTTTAGCAAAAATATTATATTTACCTTCTTGATTAATTACTTGAAATGGATAAGCAATCTTTTTACGATCAGTATCTTTAGTAAAATATTCAACAAATGATTTACCATTAATAAGAATTTGTCCATCACCTTTAACTAAATAAATTTCTGCTCGACTTGTTTTTCTTTTTGCTTTAGCAAAGGCTCTACCAAATTCATCTAAAGTTTTAATTGATTTATTTGAATTAGTTATAAGAGCAGATTTTGCCCAATATTTTGATAATATTTCATTAACATCTTTTGGCATTAATTCAACATCAATACTTCTTAATCGATTTAATACATATAATAATTCTTTATGATGTTTATCTTTAAGTCTTGTACCAGATTGAATTCTATTTCTATAAGTTTCAACTGAAATAAATTTATTATTACGAAGTTCTTCATCACTTATACTTCTAGTTGGTAAATTTATATACTTTCTTAATATGGCATTTAATTGATTCATATTTTCATCATGAAGGGGATTTCCTCCATAAAACGTCTTCAATGCAGGAACAATTCTAAGTCTTTCATATTCTAATTGATTTATTTGTTCATTTCTTATACTGGTTGGTATAAATACTTTATGTCTAGATTCTTGAATTCGTTGTTTTAAATCTTCAGGTATTAATGGTCTACTTTGTTCTTGTAACCTTACTGAAGCTTGAGCCAATCCTCGTCTCGTGACTCGAAGGAATCCCAACTGTTTGAACATCCTGTTGACTCCTTAACTATGGTTAAGTATATGTATTATGATTTATGGGTGTTAGTTTAGTCGAAAGTGAAAAATTTCTGAATAAAATTTTGGGAGAGTAGTACACGACTTTTTTTCGATTAAGTGTACACGACTATCTCCAAATTAATTGGGCACATGCGCACTACCACATAAAAGTAATTATACATTCTAAGTAATATAATACAGATATATATAGAAATAAATTAGATATTAATACGTTACTAGGTCATTATTAAGGGGTGGGATCCGAAAGTAAACTGGCAATCCCATTTCTTTTCACTCCATTATTGTTGTTGTTGTTAGGAGCAGGAGGATTATAGTTGGAAGACGTTTCCGACGAAGGAGAATTAAGTATGTCATGAAGACTATTTTTTCTCATGTGGATTACTTGAGGGACTATGGGTTCTGATTTGACTGGACTTGAATCGGAATTCAATAAGCTCATAATTGAAGCTCGTTGAATGGGGTGAGGTTGAGGCTGAGGTTGAGGTTGAGGCTGAGGTTGAGGTTGAAGTTGAGGTTGAGGATTGAATGGCGGTGGTTGTATTTGCAGTTGTGGTTGAGGTTGTGGTTGTGGTTGTATATAAGTGGGGATATTTATTGGTCGTGGTTGTTCGGTTGATGCTTGAGCAGGGGTATCATCAGATAAAAGTGAACTAATTGAAGGTCCAGTATTAAATTTCGCTATTGGAGGTGGAGCTATATGTTGAAAAGTCCCCATTGGTATAAATGTTGATGTCGAAGGTCCAGTTTCAGGATAAGTACTTTTAGCCTCAATAATTTCTGGATGAGTAATTCCGGGAGTATTTAATACAGCCGCAAATTTAGCTTCTAATCTTGCATCAGCTTCAATGGCTATAATATTCCAACCATTCTTTTCAGCATTTCTTTGGAAATAATTCCTAACCATAGTGGCGGTTTTAGTCTTTAATGCATCTGCTATAGTGGTCCATTTTGTACCATGTTCACTTAATAAATGAGGAAATAAAGTAGCTTCTGTTATACTCCAATAACTAGAAATAGTTCTTCTACGATCTTTAGAATCTGCATTAGGAGGTGTTGAAGGTAATGAACCATCTGGAGGTGGAATTTCATTTAATTCATCTTTTGGAAGAATAGGTAATGCATTTGAATTTAAATTTGTATCTATATTTGCATCTGGATTTGGATTTGGATTTCGATTTGCAACAGAATCTGGATTTGAATTTGGATTTGAATTTGAATTTGAATTTGAATTTGCAATTGCATCAGTATCTGTTGCTTTATTTTCAACATTAACTTCTTCTTCTTTCAGAGATCCATCAGTAGCAGTTTCTGCCGATTCAGATTCTTCTTTCTTCTTTCTTTGCTTTTTCTTAGATGGGCCTGATTCAATTCCTGTATCATCACTTTGAATTGTATCTGATTTTTTAGTTCCTTCAAATACTGGAGCCGCTGCTCGTTTTCTTCTCCCAGTTTCAGTAAATAATTCTTCTGTATGAGGTTCAATTGGAGGTTGAATTATATTCGATATAATTTCAGTAACTGGTTCAGGTAATGAAACTTCTGAAGGAGTTGAAACTGGAGTTTGAGATTGAGATTGAGGTTGAGATTGTGATTGTGATTGTGATACATTTCTAGATTTAATTTGTTTACCCCGACGACCCTTTTTTGAACTCTTTTTCTTAAATTGAATTAATAATTGTTTATAATTCACAGCCTTTTTAGTAATATAATAATGAACTACACAATCAGAAGGAGTTCTTAACCCTCCCATATGTTTAGAAATTGAACCAAATCGTTTAGGAAATAAACAAAATCCTTCACAAAATAATTCATGCTCCTTGGTAGAGAAATTACTAATAAAATCAGTTTTAACTCGAGTTGCCCAATTTAATTTATCCTTAACAATATTATTTGAATCCATAAAATTCATATTGTCTCGTTTAATTGGATCTAAAATTAAATCTGGAATAGGAGCAGAAACTCTTTGAGCTTTTATAATCGGATCTTCATCTTGTTCACGTTCTAAAGATTTAAGAATTTCTTGAAATTCTGCTTCGGTAGTAACTAAATCTCCATGTCTTCTTGATCGACGTCCATGAGCAATATCATTACCGGAATTATTATCATTATCATTACCAGAATTATTATTATTATTATTAGTATTATTATTATTATTATGATTATTATTATTATTATATTGTTGTTGATATAATTTCCGATTATCACTGGCATCAATTTCTCGTCTCATTTCATCATCAGGTGGATGAATTATCAGTAATTGTTGTTCCATTTTTGCTCGTTCAATTTCCCATGATTTCATACCTTCAGTATATTCATTCCATAATGTTATCTTTTTACGATGTAATTGTTGATTTTGTTGTTTTAAATTATCTATAAGTCCACCTTTCCGTTTAATAAATATTTGGAAATTCTTCATAAAGAATTTATAATCTTTAAAATCAATTATAGGTTTGGCTAAACTATATTTAAGATAATTTAATCCATCTTCTTGTTTAGTTTCTGATTGGAATTGTGATTGTAATTTTTCAAATTCATATTCTAAACGATTTAATGGATATTTACATCCATCAGGATAACAAACTTCATTTGATACATCAATTTTAATAGAGACTGGAACTTTTTCTTCAATAATATCTTTGTTTTCTTGTTGTATTTCAACTTGTACTGGTGGTTTCTCTTCCTCTACTATAGTCTTCTCCGTGGGGATGGTTTCAATTTCAATATCATTTTCACTTTTATCCAATTGTGATACTTCTTCCTCTTCTTCATCTTCTTCTTCATCGTCTTCATCCTCTTGTTCCTGTTTCGGTTGTGTTTCCTGTTCTTGTTCTTGTTCTTGTGCTTGTTCTTGTTCTTGTTCTAATGCTTCTTCTAGTTCTCGATCTTCTGCTTCTTCATTCTCTTCTCTCGTAGTCTTTCTCGATAATTCTGCATGACTATCATCTTCCTCTTCTTCTTCATTCTCTTCATCTTCAGATAATTTACTATCATCATCAGGACCAGGAGACAGGGAATACTCTTCACTAGGATCCTTTTTAATATGTGACACTCTATCATGACCCTTAGAAGAAATGTAATCCTTTCCATGATGATTATTTGGTTGTTTGAGTTTAACATAATCTAAAGAATGAGTTAATCTTCCACTTTTTAAAGAAGAATATCGATCAATTAACTTTGGATTTGAAATTGAATTGGGATTTGAAATTGAATTTGAATTAACTGAATTTAAATTATTATAAGATGAATAGCCTTTACCACTTGAAGGATAATAAGTATCACCACCTCGGTTTAAACTGGTACTATTATAAGATGGGCCTCTATTTCGATCTTTAGAAGAATATCGATTCCCTACTGAGCCAGTTAATGAACGTCTTTTTGATCCATAAGGGATTGAATTAGATGAAGATAATGATGATGAACCATAAGAATCATATTTATTAAATGAAGGTTTATTACTAGTAGTTAATCTTGAATCTCCTGATCTCCAAGTTTCTCGAGAATTATTATAGTCATTTTGAGAGGATATATTCCCATTTTTATTACTATAAGCTCCATAACTGGGATAATAAGATGTATAAGGTTGTTGTTGTTGTTGTTGTTGTTGTTGTTGTTGTAATTGCTGTTGTTGTGGTGGTAATTGTTGTTGTTGTCGAGCTGTACCTTGACTATATGGAGGTCTATCTCTATTTGTCGGTATTGAAGATGAAGAAGATGGTTGAATATCTGCTGAAGAATGGGGATGCTGGTGTTGATGTTGGTTCGGTATTGAACCATTAATATTATTGATATTATTATTATTATTATTATTATCCTTTAAAGAATGAGCTAATGAAGAAGACCCAGGACCTCCTGAACCAGAACTCTTATAATCTCTTCTTGTTGTAGGTATAGTATTGGGAGAATAGAAATTCTTCCTTCGAGATTTCCCATAATCAGTATATTCATTTCTATCACCATACCTAGACGAAGAAGGTGGTTGACCTCCTCCTCGTCCTGATGACATGGTTGATAAAAAGATGTAAAGTTAATGAAATGAAATGAAAAAAGAATAGAAAAGAAAAAAAAGAACTAAATACTGTAACCCTAATTATTCTCTCAGTATATACTCTTCTTCTTAGTTCATTCCCAGTGTATACTACTGTGAATTGTATGGTCAGTAATTATTAAATATTGACTAAGTAGTCTCCCTGTTAGGCTGGTCAATAATTTTTAATTGTGAGGAAAGATTTCTGTTACCTTTTGAAGATTTTTTCTGTGCTTATGTAAGCGCCCGAACCCACCCTACTAATAGTATTATAATACTGTAGTATATAGTATATAGTATATATAGTGTTATGTAAATATATATGGGATGTATGTATGGGATGATATATTAGTAAGTGGATAGTAATTGTGTATAATGTATTATGTATGTAGAATGTGTTGTACTATGTAGTATATTTTATGTATGTATGTATGTATGTATGTATGTATGTATGTATGTATGTATGTACTGTACTATATGGTATTAGTACTATTAGTACTGTATAGTATGAGTACTATGTATACTGTCTGTGTTATGTGATATTATTTGTGATATATTATCTATACTATGTACTATGTACTACTATCTGTGATATTTTATCTATGCTATACTATCTATGATATTATCTATATTCTATACTATCGGACTACCCTCACTTACCATACAAAATTGTCTTCAATACTCCTATATCCCCTATCCCCCTTAATAATACTTGATACGTAATATTAGGCTTAATAGTCTTATTCCCTATATCAGTATTAAATACATTGCATTTCTTAACACTATCAGATAATACAATTACTGAACTCGATTCTAATGCATTAATTACATCAAGAAATTCTCCCTTCTTTAACATTCCAATTAATTTATCAACATTTTGTAATGAATGTTTGACATAATAATCATAAAATTGATTCACATGTAATTCATTACAGGTTAAATTTTCAATTTGATAATTGAATAAACAACATAATACTGCCTTTTGTAAAAGATTTAAATTAATAACTTTTGTATTAGAATTATCTCCAAATGAACTTGAACAAACTTTAGCAATATGTGATATAAGAACTTTTGGACAATTATTAATAGTAAGATTATTTATATCTAATTCTCCGGCTTTTATAATGGATTGTTCAACTAATTCTATACTTTTATAACAAATATCAAATGATTTACGTAAATCTCCTGAGATTGATGCTGATTTCTTACAACATAATTGAATAGATGATGAATTAAATAATGGTATACTATCATCAGTTATGGTGGTGGTTGTAGATAAACTTTTTAATTTATATATTATAACCGATTTAATTTGTTCTGATGTATAAGGTAAAAATTGTAATGTAAATGGATTATACCCATTTCTCTTTAATCGTGGTAAAAATTTATCAGTTAAATCTAAGGCATTTGATATACCTACTAAAATTAATTTTGTATTCATATTATTTGAATTTTGAGGTGATGCATTACTAAATAATTCAAATAATACATGTTGATTTTTTGTTACTAATGAATCTAATTCATCAAGTACTACTACTATAGAATCATATTGACAATTATTCATTAATTGTTGAAATTCTTCATATGACTTCTTCTTTATGAATGTTATAGATAATTGATCAACAATTTGACTATATATTTCATGATAAATATGTTCTGGATTATTAATTGCCATACAATTTATTTTAATTAATTTAATTTTCTTACCTTTAATAATTATATTGGATTTTTTATCATTAAATGGATTACTATATAATGATGAAAGATTATTAAATGTTACTTGTAATTGAGCAGTTTTACCAGTTCCTGGTGGTCCACTAACATATAAACTATTACATTTATCACTAGTTAAATTATTTATAAAGAAATCATGTAAATATTCTCCTTCCTTTTCTCTTCCAATTAGATTTAATCCATTAGGTGATATTATTGTATCTGATGAACCTCTTTGAAATAATGATTTAGCTTGTGAATATATAGATGTCTTTTTGGGTTTAGTAGGAGTAGTTGGTGGTGATGCTGATGCTTGAACAGTTGTAACTCCAAAATCAATTTTGGATTTTACTTGTTCTTGTCTTATGCTATTAATAAAGTTATTTGACTTTATTCTCTTTGAAGGTGATGTCTTGGGTGTTAACAACACATTAGAGATATCTCTTAATCGTTTCTTCGGTGTGTTTGGTATTTCGGACATCCTTAACCCAGTCGACTATATAGTTATATTACAAATTAATTTCATAATCATCTCATCATTATTTATTATACTATACTATACTTTATATATATATATATAGTTAATTACATACACGGTTGAAAAATTTGGTGTACGCGCACAAAATTAATGCTAAAATTGTTTTTTTCCCAATTAGGAAAGGTAATGAAAGATGCTGGTTAATTACCGTTATATTGTACAGTACTGTACCTAATTGTACACATACTAATTGAATCTCATCCCTTGCAACTGTACTGTTTGTTCGCATTAATGTTGTTGTTGTTGACGATTTTTATCCCTTTATATTCTATTGACTGTTATGCCCTAAGTATGTTTAGTTGCTGTGATATTTAATATGCTCGTCTAGTTATTTGATCAACTACTTCATAGATTACCATTCAATTTCTCTTCTAACTCCTTCAAGTAATTGGTAAGAACTTCATTCTTTCGAGTAACCATGTATAAATCACTAGGTTTGATGGTTGACCTCGAAGCATGATGGGCGAAAAGCTCAAGATCTTCCCCTAGACTTGTAATTTGATTAAATACTAATTCCACAAGAGTAGCTATAAAAGTAGGAGTCGCTATTAAGGGATTCTCTTTATATTGATCTGAAGTTTGTAAATCCTTTATTCTATCTTCAACCATTTTAGCTACCATTAAGTATACTGAAGACTTTAATTGGTTGGATATTTCCTCTTTTGTCATGGGTTCAGACATTGTGGATAAGTACTAATCGAATGTTTAATGTTTTAATTCAATTCTACAAACTATAATAAATTGTATATGCTATTAATTACTTTTGTAGTAATAATACTTTTGTAGTATATACACTCACTAAGTATGCACTCACTATAGAGTGCTTATTCCAATGTCGTAGGATGAAAAAAGGGGAAACCCGTGTCGTTTTCCGTTGCCAATAATGTCTCTTGCCTATATTGCCTACGTTGCATGCAGTACCATCTTAAGATTAATTGGCTTCGGGGCCATTTATGGAAATTTCACTAATTGAATTACCATATATTACGATAACTAACGGTTGAATTGATAACGGATTTATAACTAATACATCCTGAGACATTGACATTCATTACTAATTATTTGCTAAAGATTTTTGTCTGAAAATTGGGTGTAAAATTCTCCACATATTGCCCCCACCCCACTATACGGAGCTAATAATAAGCATTTCATGGTCCAGTCGTAGTCTATAGACAATTATATAATACTACACTATACAAAACTATACTACACTACACTATACTACACTATACAAACCATAGCTAGTTATTCTGCTCATCATGGTTAGTGTAACTTCATCAGTTCAACAGAAATCAAATAGCTATGTTCGAACCAAAAAGGGTTTATCATATGTATTAGGTGATACTAATAATTCTGAAAATCATATATTACCGATCAATGCTATTCAATATTCTTCTTATACAAATGATATTTATACAGCCGGAAGAGATGGGACTGTTAAAGTATGGAGTAATAGTAATAATCATAGAAATGATTCAGTAGTATCAAATAAAGATACAGTTGATTCAACAATTGCTTCAAATTCATCATCAAATGATTATGATAATGGTATATTTGAATTTGGTAATGGAGGAGAGAATGAATCCAATCAAATTGGTGATGAATATCAAGATATAGATGAAAAGATATTAAAATTAGAAACATCTATTTCATCAAATCCTGTACCATATAATCTTAAAAGTTCAAATAATTCCAATTCTAATAGTACAATTTCATTATCTAATAGTGTTAATAAATTTACTATTCAAACCAGTTATAATATATATTTTGATTGGATAAATGATTTAAAATTAATTAATAATGATCGAGATTTAGTATCATGTTCATCTGATTTATCTATAAAATTAATTAATTTACCTCATGAAGATGAATTAACTGGAGATTCCAATGGAATAATTCATGAAAGAAGTCATAGTAGTAATAATCGATCAATTACTCATCCTTCTAATATTAATATTAATGCATCAGTTCATAAATTTTCTAATATTCATACTGATTATATTAAGAAATTATCATATTTTAAAGATTCAAATCATTTACTTAGTGGAGGACTCGATGGAAATATTTATATTTGGGATTTATTTAATTTAAAACCTATTCAACAAATTAGTAATTCGACAGGATTTGATACTTCATGTTTAAGATCTTCAATTTATGCCTTGGCTAATAATGAATCTAATTTAATTAGTTGTGGAGGTCCTAATAATACTATTAATTTATTTGATAGAAGATCATCTAATCCTTATGTTCGGAAATTAATTGGTCATCAAGATAATATTCGATGTCTTGTAATGAATGATCATTTTATTCTTAGTGGTTCATCAGATACCAGTATTAAATTATGGGATTTAAGAAATTATAAAGTATATAAAAATTTTGATATTCATGATTTCCCTGTATGGTCATTAGTTACTGAAAGTCCTCATAATTTTAATAAATTTTATAGTGGAGATAAAGCTGGAAATATAGTTAAAACCGATTTAACATATTTATCATCATTTGTTAATGAAAATGAAGATATCTTTCATGGTTATGATACATTTACGGTTAATGATAATTCAATAATTGATGAAAAATTAGGAATTTCTTCGATAATTTCGAAGGGGAATTCACCAATTTTATCATTATGTCATGAATCAAAAGATGATACAATATTTGCATCTAATTATGAAGCATTAAATAGATATATTAATCCCAATATTGATCAAGTATCGAAATATCAATATTTAAGAACTTGTTTAGATTATTCAATTAATCGAGAACAACAATTTAATGATGAAATTGCTAGTGGATTAATGGTTGATGATAATAATAATGCTCCACCTCCACCAGGAGATGCCGATTTAAATTCCGATTTTTATGATTTAATTAGTCATTTATCAATGGATACTTTAACTAATAATTATGATTTACAATCAACATTTTCTCATTCGCATTCTTATCATAATTTATTTGATTCAGGAACTCCACCTACGGATAAATATTTAGATTCCGATAATGATAGTTTAAATTCAAGTCAATCCGATGAAGAATATACTAGTATATTTTTAAATGTTAATGGAGGTCCATCGGATGAATTTATTAATACTTATAAAGATGAACTGGCGTATAATTCCAATACTAATATGCAAAAATTAAATTATGTTCGAACTAGTCCATCACAAGAACCACAAGCATCACAACAATCAGTTGATAAATTTGTAGATGATACTCCTGTGGAAATCTTATTAAATCCTATACCGGCCGATCAAATTACTTTAGTACCATTTAATATTAAACCATTAAATCAAACTAAAATCACTCCTAAATCAATTATATCTAAACGATTCTTTAATAATAAACGAGAAATTCTTGTTTTATATTTAAATGGTGATATAAAGATATGGGATGTATTTATGTGTAAAGAAGTTCGAAGTTTCTTAATTGATCCTCAATTAAATTTACTGATGCTTAATGCTAAAGATCTCGATATACGACAAAAGGAAATGGATAATATCTTTCAAAAATTTCAATCTTCAGATACTCTTAATAATTGGTGTGATGTAGAAATTAAAGCAGGGAAATTATTAGTCACTATAAAGGAAACATCATTTTTAAATGTTGAATTATATTATGATGATTTAATTAAGAGTTATCCATTCTTAGCATTAGATCATCCCGAAAGTAAATTCTATAATTATAAAAGTAAAGTTACTGTTAATTTAGATGATCGATTCTTTGTAGGATCGATATTTCTTAATTCAATTTTATTTCAATATGCTTTACTTGAATGGGAATTTGATAAACAAGTTCGAGAAGAAATGAGACAATTACGGAAAAACAATCGGAATTTAAATAATACTCCTGCTTCAGCTGAAGATATGGCCGAAGCAAGTTCAATATCTAGTTTTAGAAGACTTAAATATTTTGGTAGGAAACCTTCAAAGACAAATTTATCTACTTCATCTCAACAAGCTAGTCCGGCAGCATCTACTAATACAAGTATTAATGAATATTTAGGAAGTCCTGAAAATCCAATGAGTGATTTCTTAAATTTTTCTGAAGAAAATAAGCAAAGTTATGATAATTCAATTATGAAATTATTACAAACTAATAAACGAGTTTATTGGGATAAATATAATCATGTTACTTATAATCAAGCTAAAGCTAAAGTTATAGATTCTGTATTACATGTGGATGCTTTAGATCCCACATTATCAATTGAATCGGCTAATAATCCACTTATATATACTCCACTTATTGATACTGGTCGTTTACCGCCTCATTTATTAATTATTATCTTTGAACATAATCAAGATTTAGGTAATTATCGAGATTTATGTAGTTTCCAATTAAGTGATATTCAAAAACTTGGTCTTAATTCTCCTTTACTTCATGATCTTCGAATGCATTTACCTAAATGGATTGGCAATCCCTTACTTTATAATCGATATCCAGTTAAGGAAACTCCAAAGATTGCCTTTCAATTATTGGAATGTGATTATAGTTTATTACCGGCAAATAAAAAGATTGGAGGTAAAACTCAACGGAAAATTAAGAAATTGCCCGTATTGGAAACTTCTATAAAATTAACTAGTCATAGTATGTTAAGAGTTGGGAAAATTATTATATATTTAACTGAAAAATTCGAATCTAAGACTTCAGAAATGAAAGATAAAAAAATGGTTCCTACTGATTGGTTAGTATTAGAATGTAAAGGTCAAGAATTACCAAATGATATGACTCTTCAAACCATTAAAACAAAAATATGGAAGTCTAGTGCTGATATCGAGTTAAGATTTAGAAGAAAATTTGATCCTTAGTGTATATAATCGTCATAAAAGTCAATAAATTATGCAAACATTCGTCTTATTGGTGTAGCAACGTGACCGCGATCATCTGACCCCATAGTTAACGGAATTTTTTTGATCTTTTTTTTCTCTTCTTAAGGTCGATGAGAAATTGAAAAATTCAAATTGAAACATACACTGTGATCATCGGAGGGAACAAGCAGCATCAACATCAACATGGAAGACAGCGACAACGATAGAAGCGTATCACGTTTGTTCAGAAGTTTCAAGACCGTCAAGGAGATGGTTAGAGACAGAGGATATTACATATCACAAGAAGAAATCGATATGACCTTGGAAGAATTCCGGTCAAAGATATGTGATGCTATGGGAGTTGCACAACGTAAATTAATGTGTTTTCAAGCAAATCCAACGGCTGAATCATTAGAAAAATTCCCTGAATTAGGATCTTTATGGGTTGAATTTTGTGATGAAGCTTCAGTAGGTATTAAAACCATGAGAAATTTTTGTATTCATATTAGTGAAAAGAATTTCCAAACTGGAATATTTATTTATCAATCTAATATGACTCCATCAGCTACAAAATTAATTCCAACTGTTTCACCTGCTATAATTGAAACATTTCCTGAAAGTAATTTAATTGTTAATATAACTCATCATGAATTAGTTCCAAAACATATTAAATTATCAAAGGATGAAAAGAAACAATTATTGGAAAGATATAGATTAAAGGAATCTCAATTACCAAGAATTCAAAGAGATGATCCTGTAGCCAGATACTTGGGATTAAAAAGAGGTGAAGTTGTTAAAATCATTAGAAGATCAGAAACTTCTGGTCGTTATGCATCATACAGAATTTGTTTATGATTCTTTCTTTCTTTATATATATATATATATATATTGTATTATAGTTAATTTTTAAAAAATCCCTATTTGTTGGTTAAGTTATTTATTACTTATTCTGTAGATACTCGTGCACATACTATACTATCTTGAACTCCACTCCACCATTTAATTTGATTAAGATTTACATTAGTATGAGGATGTACACTAACTCCTTGATATCCTAAGAATACAGGGCCAATGGTTATAATTAACAGATTAATTAAATCATCAGACTTTTGTAATGATAATAAATCATTAATTATTTTAGCACCTCCTTCTATCATAACAGATTTTAAACCATGTTCATATAGAGTTGATAGTATGATCTTCCAACTATCAGATCTAGATGTATGAATTAAAGGTCGTTTGATAAATTTTCCTCCTTGATTTTGTAATATAGCTATATCATGGAGAGTAGGATTCACTGAAGTATCAATAATTATATATGGAGCTAGACCTTGTTGAGCTTCACATATAGTGAATAATTGTGAGGAACGGTAATTCCATTTACCATGAGGATCTAAAATTATGGGTCTAGGTGAAGAAATGGAATTTGATGTTGATTCTTTAAATCGACAATTTAGTTTAGGATCATCTGCTAACACTGTACCGATACCTACTAATATAGCATCATGTTTGGAGCGAAGATAATGAGTCATGGTTTTTGTCTCTAAATGAGATATCTTAGTCTGATGGCCCGGTTGGGCTGCGATCTTGGAGTCTAGGGATTGAGCATAGGTTAGGGTAACAAATGTTCTATCGGGCAATTGGGTCGGAAGATAGTCGTGTAGAAATGGTCTTAGGGAGTCGGGTAATGGAATTAGTGACATGGTTAGTGTAGTTGCAAAGATATGTAGATTGTTAATTTAGTGAGGATTTTTCACCAATTCTGTAGAAAAGAGAGTCAGTGATAGAGCAGAGATATTTGGGGCATAGAAACACAGAGTTTAGTTAGTGAGAATAAATTGTAGCGTAGATGTAAGTGTAAGTGTAAGTGTCGGTGTAGGTGTAGGTGTAGGTGTACGTGCTGTGGTGGCAGCTGGGGCACCTGCTGGATAATGACCTTAGTCATATAAGATGAGTCCTGCTATGACTCCGAGTCATTGTTGGGCGCCCAACCTCTACAAATAGGAGTAGCTAAATTTACAATAGGCGCAGTTTAGTTTTGGGAAACTGCGAGACGAGCAAGTACTGAGGAACAATCGGGAATATTTATAGTGAGTCAGTAACATCCATACTGCTACTAGACCAATTTAATGTATTATACACTTATTTGTTAGGGTACTCATTGAAGTATCCACTAATAAGCTCCCTAATAATAATAATTATTATTATACTAACAATACTAAGAGATCCTCGGAACCACTGCCCCACAAAATGTCCACCTGTAAACTGTCATATGTAATTATAAACTCCAAGCAAACTACGCGCTTTTTTTTTTCCGATTGTTTGTTATGGTTCGCACTAATTTCTTTTTTTGTTTGTGCTGAAAATTTTAAATTTTAGCGAAGATCAACAATTCACGGTAAGTTTAGTTAGAGCATTGCTGAACTTTGCTGAACTTATTTGTGGGCTGGCGTATATAGACTAGGGCATTTCTTTCCTGATTCTTTGCTACCATCTGGTTTTAACGGACAATTATATACAAAAACAAAAAAGATAGAAAAGAAAAGAAATGTCATTCCCTTGGCCAACTGTAGAATCTCCCTTTGGAGTTAACTTATGGAGTACATTTGATTATGCTGTAACTAAGGCAAGTAATGGAACTTTTATTCCATCACAATTTGAATTTGTAGTGGGTGAATTACCTTTATCAACTTTCCCACCAGTTGCAGTTGCTATTTCTACTTATTATATAATTATTTTTGGAGGTGATTATATATTTAAAAAATTTGGTATAAAACCTTTAGTATTAAATGGATTATTTCAAATTCATAATTTATTCTTAACAACTTTATCATTTACATTATTCATTCTTATGTTAGAACAATTAATTCCAATTATTATTAAACAAGGATTATTTTTTGCTATTTGTAATCAAAAGGCATGGACTCAACCTTTAGTTACTTTATATTATTTAAATTATTTAACTAAATTTTGTGAATTTATTGATACTTTATTCCTTGTGGTTAAACAAAAAAAATTAACTTTCTTACATACTTATCATCATGGTGCAACTGCTTTATTATGTTATACTCAATTAATTGGTACAACTCCAATTTCTTGGGTACCTATTTTATTAAATTTAGGAGTTCATGTAGTTATGTATTGGTATTATTTCTTAGCTGCAAGAGGTATTAGAGTTTGGTGGAAAGAATGGGTTACAAGATTTCAAATTATTCAATTTGTTTTGGATTTAGGGTTTGTTTATTTTGCAACTTATCAAAAATTCGTCTATAATTATTTCCCAAGTCGTATAGAAACTTTACCATTTATTTGTGGTGATTGTCATGGAACTATGTTAGCTGCTTATAGTGGTTGTGGTATTTTATCATCATATTTAGTATTATTCATTGCTTTCTATATTGATGTTTATAAGAGAAAGTCTTCAAAGAAATCAAAGCTTGTTAAATCAGTTAAAGGTGGTGTAGCAGCTCAAGTTAATGAATATGTCTATGTCAGTGGTAGAGCTTTAAGTCCAACTCCTCAACCTACTGAAAATTTGAGATCTAGAAAGGCTTAAATTTGTTTGTGCTTATTTGTTTGCTTATTTGTTTGCTTTTCATTCCTCTCTCCATATCTTATGTCCTAATGCAACTAGATGATTTCTTCTTTTATATTATTAGTGGCTTTATTCCTATACTTTTTATACTGTCTAATTAGAATTAATATATATAATCTATCTAACTTCTAACTAATCTATAATTGGCTAATAACTTTGTTATACAGAGGTATACTTTCAGCTGCTCCTTTGGATTGTATGGCTAAACTACTAGCAATAGTAGCGAATTTACCAGCTTCAGTTAATGAAACTCCACGAGCTAAATTGGATACTAACCCTCCAAAAAATGTATCACCAGCACCTGTAGTATCCACCACCTTATCAACTTTTACAGCAGGTACAAATTCAGCATTTGGGGTAGACTTATCCTTGAGTAATGAACCTTGACTACCTAAAGTTATAACTACAGTTTGGATATTTCGAGGATTTAATGACTTGAAGAGTCCCTCAGTTAATGATTCATACCCAATATCTCCATTATAATTAAGTCTTTCAGCTATACCTTTAGCCTCAACTTCATTAACTATCAAGAAATCAATTTTCAGTAATACATCCTCAGTAATTAGTTCCGGTTGAAATGGTGATGGGTTATAACATACATTAATATTAGGTCTATGTTTATGAATCCAGTTGATGGTCTTAAGAGTGTCTGGGTATTCATTTTGTAATATAACATACTCAGTAGCCTGTTTGTCCGGGAAATACCCTTCATAGTCAGATTCTGTAGGTTTTAACTCACCATTGGCTCCAGCCACAATCATAATTCTATTCTCTCCACTAGTCTCCACTAAAATAGTGGCAGTCCCACTAGAGATCCCCTTAAGAATTCTCACTTCAGTAGCATCTACATTATGATCCAATAAGACCTGGCGCAACTGTTGACCAAATTGGTCGTCTCCCACATTCCCAATCATACGGACTGGAGTAGGAGTATTGTTTGCCGATAACTTAGCTACAGCTAATGCTTCATTTAAACCTTTCCCTCCTAAATGAGTCTCGAACGCTACGGCCTGGTAAGTTTCTCCTCCCTCGGGGACTTTGTCAGTGAACGTTACCAAGTCGTAGTTCAACGATCCAATTACGGTAATTCTGGTCATTGGTGCGTAACTTGTAGTAAAAGGGTACTTTAGCTACTATTGGTAGTGGTAAGTGAGAGTTGAGAGTTGTGAGTTGAGAGTTGTGAAAAATTTCGTGGGGTCAGACAAAAATGTCTCTCTCGGTATTTGCTACGGCATATGAAATGAAAATAGAAATAGAAATGGATAAAGTCAATACGACAATGTCGCCATATATTAGATACTATACACTTATCTTCTGCCTTCTCTCTTTAACTTCATCTTTTCAGCAAAGGTTAATGGTTTGGCAGGAACAGCAGCGGCAGCGGCTTCGGCAGCAGCAGCTTCAGCCGCAGCTTGTCTCTTTTGTTCAATTTCTTGTTCTCTTTCTCTTTGTCTTTGGAGTTCTTCCTTAAACTTAACCATTTCTGCTTCTCTAGCTAATCTCTTATTTTCTTCTTCAGCAGCCTTTCTTTCTCTTTCCTTTCTGACTTTTAATTCTTCAATTCTTTGAGCTTTAATTCTTTCGATTCTTTCTTTCTTAGCTTGTTCTAAAGCATTAGCAGCTTCCTTTCTTAATTTAGTTAATTTAATAGCATTCTTAGCATCAATTTCTGATCTAATAATATTATAATCAGGAACAATACGTTCAAGTCTTTCATGTAAGGCAATACTTTCTTCATATTCTTTCTTGGCACGAGCAATCTTAGCTTCTTTAGCAATTTCATAAATTTTAAGTTCTTCTTCAGCTTGCTTTTCAGCATCCTTTTCTAAATATTGTAATTCATATCTTCTAAATGCTCTTTCAAGATGATCATTCTTTTTAGATACTCCCTTTAATTTATCTTCTAATTCTTTCTTATCTTTATTTAATTGTTCAATTTGCATAAGTTGTAATTTATTAGTATCAAGATCATCTAAATTATCTAAATCAACTTTAATAATTCCCTTAGCATTAATTTCTTCAGCAATCTTTCTCTTTTCTCTTTGTAAGATTAAAATCTTTTCCTTTTCAAGTTTTTCTTGTTGTCTTCTTTCTTGTTCTTGAGCAATTCTTTCTTGTTCAGCAAGTTGATCAGCAATAAGTTTTTCATGTCTTAATTTGGCGGCTTTTTCTTCTTCTTCACGTTTAATTTGTTCAATAATTCTCTTTCTTTCTTCAATAACTTCTGATCTAGAAGCTAATTCTTGTTGTTCTCTAACTAAATCACTAACAGCTCTTTGTAAGGCAAGATGTTTTCTCTTTTCAACATTGGCCTCATAATTTGGATCAATAATTCTAACTGATGATGATAAAGTTGCAGCTAATCTTGAAATTTGAGTTCTAACAAATTCAGCTGGTGAAACTTGTAATCTATCAATAGTATAATCATCAAAAGATTCTTCAAATGGATTAGATTTAAATGATACAACATCAGCTTCATGATCAATAGTTAAATTTAAATGACCATCTTTAGCAGCATTAACAATTAAATCTTCAACTTCTAATGGACTTAAACCAGTTTCAAGACCTTCAAAAACTCCTAAAGAAATTAAAAAATCTAATTTAACAGTTTCATAAACTTGAGAAACTTGTTGATAAACTCTAATTAAAATAACTTCAGTTAATGTTGAAGTATAATGTTTATAATCTTTATCAGATTCAATAAATTTAAATACTTGAGTAATTTTATCTTTAATGGCTAATGGATGGAAATCTCCTCCTTCTAAAAGTTTAAATAATTGTTTAATTGGTTCATCAACATATGATAAAATTGATTTATTAACAATGGCTCTAATTAATCCTTCTTTATTTGGTACTTGATTTAAATTTAATAATGAAGTTAATTTAGAATTTTTAATTCTATGTTCATCAACCACAGTTTCATTAGTATTTAAAGCCTTTTGAGGAATAGCTAATGTAGATAATACAAGAATTGAAGCATAATGTTTTAATTCTTCATCAGTTGCATTAGGAGATTGAGAATATAAATTAAAGAATTTATTCCAAGCAGCAGCATGAAATAAAGCATTATCGGAAACAGCAAAGATTCTAGCTAAATTTTCATAATAATTAGCCATCATTGTAGCTTTTGGAGCCTTTTTAGATGCGGTAATTAATGTATGAACATCATCAACTGAACGGAAAGATTCTTGCCATAATTCTAATTTAACTGAGATATTCAATTGAGAGAATCTTTGTTCTAAATAACGTTGAATGGTTTCAGTATCAGATAAATCAATAGCATTATTAGTTGAAGATTTAGTTTGTGTAGTAACAGATTGAATATGAGCTCTTAATAATTCACATAATCTTCTAAATTCAGCCTTTCTACCGAAATTTAAACAAAATTTAAAGGCTTGATTAGCAATAACAGCATAAGTAACTTCTAATTTAGAATTATTTCTTAAAATATCTAATACAGCTCTAAATGCTTCCCATAAGAATCTTAACCATGGAGTAACTAATTCTCTTTCAGTTCTATCAGCTGCATCAGTATTAGATACAGCTGATAATAAAATACTTTCTGGACTTTGAGCAGTATCTAAATCATCATCTTCTTCTTGATCAATCTTAATATCGGCTTTAGCTTGAGCTTCATCTAATTTCTTTTCAGCTAATTCAATAAATTTACGTACAATTACTTGAACAGATTCTAAACCATTTTCAGATAATTGAACATTTTTCTTATATTGATGTAAGGCATCCTTGGCTAATTTACCCTTTCTTAAATCAACAGCTAATTCAATAAGTAATAATCCAATAGGTTCTAAATCTTCAACTTGTAAATAACGAATTCTCTTTGAAGTAATTAATTCATACAAGGTGTCTAAAGCAGCTTCTCTTTGGCCTACAGCAATTAAATCTTCGGCACGTTTTAACACATTTTCCGGACGGAAGTTATGGTGGTGTTTATGAGGTGGAGCCATGGTTTATTAGGGGTAAAACGATGGATCTTCCGGTGGGGTTAGGTTGATTTCCATAGTTAAGAAGGATCTCAAAAAAATTTTTCAGTTGGAAGTGTCACTGGACCGCGAGGTCACGTGCAAAGGACTGGTAAAAAAAAACAGAGGCTCGTTTAGGGATTTTCCTCCCTCTCCTCGCGCACTATTTTTGCAGCAGCATTGGCGCGAATGGTTGATACTCTTCTTTCATTAACTCTTTAGGATTTTACCGTTATCTTTTGGTTGTGCTTCAACTGGTTGTTCCTTGTTGGATAAAGAACTTTTTGTTGATTATTTTTTTGTTTGTTGATTATCGTTGATTTTGTAAGTGATTATCAAGCGTCTAGTTCAAACAGTTTGAACGTACTGTTATTAGTATATTGTGCGTCGTTATACTATATGCTATTGCTACTATGTGAAAGGAGTCGCTTATATGGTATCCTTTGTTGTTGTCGGTTGCCTACATTCCCATGAGTTAATTAGATCAATCAAGCGATCTATCGTCAATCATTAATCAATATCCTAATAATAGTACTGTTTCATCCCCGTATACTAATATACTTCCAAAGATTCATCACTAACATTAACTTTCTAGAACTTTTTGTCTTTATATTTAGGTACTTATTAACTTCATTTCTTTAGAGACATTTTATAATACCCAGAGTAAGGAAAGTAATTGTACTTGTTGAAATATCATACATAAAATACTGATAGAGTCAATTACATAGAAGTATATAGATATACTAACTATTTTCTTATAGAGACAAGTGCCATTATCGTTTGTATTATTTACAGCAGCACCATCCGTTTACTGGACACCTTCATTGCAGTTTGAGGTACGTATCTCTTACTTTTAGTTAGTGGACGGTTATAATATATGTCCTTTATATATATATCTCACGATTAGTGTAGACTAACTTAAACAATATATCGAAGTATATGATCAGAAAGGAGGAAACTTCTCAACCAAAACTGGTACAGAAGCATCCAATTGGTCCTTATTAAACTTAATTTAGGATAGGGATCTTTGTATATGGTAGCGTGCCCTTTTTCTCACTCCTCCCCTCTCTCCCCTCTCTCCCCTCTCCCCCTCTCGCCTCTCACCCCCCTCCTCATTCAGACTATTTTTGCAACACCCCTGGCGAGAATGGTTGACACTCTTCTTCTATTAACTCTTTAGCATTTCACCTTTCACCGGTTCTGCTGGTTCTCTAATTGGTCTGTTATTTGTACTAATAGATCAAAGCATAACTTCACCATTGAGGACGAAACCTATTTGGGAATGGCAACTATACATTTGGTATAGGCACTGGTTCATGAGCATCCGATCAGGAGGAGCATTTGATCAGGAGGAGCATTTGATCAGGAGTGTGTTCGGTGAGCTCTAAGTTCGTCGTTTGCTCTAAGTTCGTCGTTTCATTTGTAAGTGATTATCAAGCATATAGTTCAAACAACTTACTGTTATTAGTATATTGTGAGTCATCATAGTATATGTTTAGATATGGTTGTAATACTAATTTCATAAAGGAGTCACTTATATGGTCTCCTTTCCTATTGTTTCATTTGTCGTTGTCGTCGTTGTTGGATGTCTACATTCCTCACTAGTTTAATAGGATCAAAAAGTGATCTATCATCAATCAATCACCAATCAATATTCTACTAACAGTACTGTTTCAACTCTATATACTAGTATACTTCTAAATACTTCTAAAGATTCATCACTAACATTAACTTTCTAGAACCTTTCGTTTTCATATTTAGGTACTTATTAACATCATTTCCTTTTAGGCATTATTTGACTATAAATTATCTTTGGGATCTATCAACGTTTTCTTCCTATTTTCTATTTACTAACACTTCTCTAGTCTTTATGTATTAACTCTTTTTAGGGATACGTTGCAGTTACTTTCGACTCTCTATAGTATTTTTCCTAGGTTAGTTGTTATAGAGCATCTACGGACGGTTATAATATATGTCCTTTATATATATAAATCTCAAGAGTAATGTAGACTAACCTAACATAATATACATCGAAGTAGAGGATTAGAAAGGAGGAAACTTTTCAGCCAAAACAGGTACAGAAGCAGCCAATTGGTCCTTATCAAGAAAGATTAAACTTAATTTAGGATCTATACCATAATCAGTAAATACTCTTCTTGAATCAGTATCTTGTCTAACATTAGTATAATCATATATACCTTTATATTTAGCATTTTCTTCAAATACAATATCTTCATAATGGAAATAGTCCATTTCTACTTGAGCCTCGTCTGCCACAGTACTCTTCTTCTTCTTCTTTGATTTCTTATCTTCATCATCGTCTTGAATATTAGCACCTACTAATTTGTATACTTTAGATATAATTAAAAAGTAATCAAATTCATACTTCTCACGAGCATCTTCAGCCTTTTGCATCTCTTCTAGAAGCATCTTATACATAGGAGGTACAACTTCCACTGGCATATTAATCATTCTTTCACTAATAATTAATCCCACTTTTAATTGTTTATTGGAGTTTTTAGTAGTTTGACCATTGGACAATAATTTCTTAAGAAAGATATTAAATTCCAATTGAGATTTGGTCTTATCAAATACATAATCTAATACGGATTTAATAGATGGTTTAGTTATATTATCATTTAAATTAATTACAGAAAGTAAAGCAAATGGATCACTCTCTATTCCATCAGTTTTAATAGTAGTTCCTACACTACCTTTAGTAAGAATAAGATCTGCTAATCCGGAGATATCGATCTTAGCTTCATCATCTCCAAATAATTGTCGAAGAAATGTCTTGGTGGCATGGAAGTCTACTTCAGGATTTAAGTCGAAATAGTCAAAATCTACATTAACTATTTCTTCTTCTCCATCTTCATCTCCTTCTTCGCCGTCCAATGGTTGTTCTTCATTTTCAGACTCACTCGAACTAATGTCGATATCTGAATCTTCTTCTTCTTCCACTCTTCTTTTACTCATGGCGGTGTTGGTGTTGGTGGTAATGGTGCTTTGATTAGTGGTAGTGGTAGTGGTAGTGGTGATGTTGATGGTGATGCTTAATTTTTCAGCCGGCCGCTATTTTTTTTTAGCCTGCGATGGCCGGCGTTAACCGCGCTTCGGTTAGTACTAAGTATACCCAATTAGTTAGGTTATGTACACCAATGTCTATCGTTCAGGGTTATAGTTCTAGTGAAGATGATGATACTGGAGAGACTGTTCTGGGACAACTTCCCGTATACGAATTGGAGGTCTATAGCGATCTCCAGCCCCAAACTAAGACTTCCACTAACATTCAGCGAGTTGTGGGTGGGACCATTCAACAGTCGTACTTAGACGTAGCGACGTTAAAGAAGTCAAGCCGAACATCAGCAGAGTCGAAGCAGCTTCAAAGGGAGCTAAAGAAGAAGAGAAAACTACAGAAAGACGGGGAGTGGTCATCGCCATGGGCCGAGTATGATGATGAAGAGACGGCTAAGGAAGTAGTTGAACAACAACAAGAAGAAGAACAAGAAGAAGAACAAGAGGAAGAGGAACAGGAACAAGAACAGGTAGAAGAAGAAGACACAGACCTGCTGGCTGAGTTCAAACCCCACTCAGAATTCGTAGGTTCCTCCCAGTACGATTACTTGGGTAGATCATATATGCACATTCCTCGGGATTTGGGTATAGACTTGACCAGGTCGACAAGTCAGCATGAATGTTATGTACCTAAAACAATATTGCATACATTCGATGGACATGATAAGGGAGTTACCAAATTGGAATATTTCCCGCAATCAGGACACTTGTTATTATCTGCTGGTAATGATGGACTTATAAAACTCTGGGATCTCTACCATAAACGAGAATTACTCCGAGTATATACTGGCCATACCCATTCGGTTAGAGATGTATCATTTAATAAATCCGGATCCGAATTCATTCTGTGTGGATTCGATAAACAAATACATATCTGGAATACTGAAACAGGACAAATCCGTAAGACGATAAGGGTCAAGGCACTTCCTAATACGGTAAGGTTCCATCCTCAAAATCAGAATGAATTTATTGTGGGATTAAGTAATCATAAGATTGAACATTATGATATGGATACTTTACATTATCAGGTACCCATCCAATCATATGATCATCATTTAGGATCCATCAATTCATTAACAATAATCGATGAAGGGAATCGATTTATGTCAACGGCCGATGATAAGACAGTTCGATTTTGGGATTGGCAGGTCAATATTCCTGTCAAGTTCATATCTGATCCGTCACAACATGCATTGAATGCTCCTGTAGTATACCCTGGAGGTAATTATATTGCATTTCAAAGTGCCGATAACTCTATAAGAGTCATTCAAGGGTATGGTAAATATAGGTTTAATAAGAAGAAATTGTTTAAAGGTCATTTAGTGGCAGGGTATAATATTGGGATTGATATATCTCCTGATGGTAAAATCATCTGTAGTGGAGATAGTCAAGGTCAAGTCTACTTTTGGGATTGGAAATCTGGTAAACTTATCAATAGTATTAAAGTTAGTAAAAGGCCAATTAATGGAATAAAATTCCATCCCCAAGAGCCCAGTAAAGTGGTGGCCGCAGGGTTATCGGGAGAGATATATTACTGTGACTGAATGAATGTATGTATTATATAAATGTGTCTATAATATGCATTAGTAGTAGTATTAATAGAGCTAGGTGATTGTACATTTATCCTTCTTGTATTCTTCTCTCTTATGGTTGCGATGGAACACATGATGGTGATGAGACTTGTCCTTTTCCTTTTTGGAACTAGTCTTAGTATCTTTCGATTCCTTAGTAGCTTTGGTAGTCTTAGCATCCTTTTTAGGCAGGAATGGTGCCTCCTTCTTGGAGCTTGTCTTCTTAGGCTTATCGTCCGATATGGTGGTGCTCTTCACTTTCTCAGTAACTTCATGAGTGAAATCATGATTAATATTAGAGGACATTAAGCTATTGATACTGCTGATATTGGATTTCAAACTCCATTGACTATTGCGACGGAATTGGGGACTTAAAGTCACAGACCCATCATTAGATCCGTCCTTGGCTACACTGGGTAATTCCTTATAGTAATTCTTATCCTTATCCACTACATACCAATAGTATCTATGCCTTATATCCATAGATCTTGAATCAGTAGGTAGTATATCTGGTATAGGTATACTTGAAGTAGTACTTACTGCACTTTCAAGCTTTTGAAGTGGTAACTCTTCTTCAGTATTGGATGCAGAAATGATGGGACTCAAAGTATCTTCTGCCCAGTATTTGGGTTTAGAGCCATGAGGAGGCATTACCGGACTTGATTTGTCGGTAGAAGTAGGTGTATCCTCAAGTGTCACTAATCGATAGAATAACATATAGGGCCATTCGGAGTTAAAGATCTCGGCAAAGGTCTTTTCTACAATTCGAGATTTCTTCTTCATATCATCATAGAGGTACCATTTGGCTGTATGACCTTCATCTTCCGACATATTGACATTATCGGAATCCCGTCTTACTACCGATATAAAGTGGCCCAGATTAATGGAACTGCCTCGATGACAGACTGCACTTTCAAGGATTAATCGATAATTCCCCGGGGTAACTTCATCTACATCATCCGCTACAAATTGAGGAAGATCTATGAAGGGAGGAATGATGATTCTCTGCTTCGATCGTGAAGCTTGTGAGCTAGAAGAATCATACGAGTACCGTTTCAAACAGATGGGTAAGATGGGTCTTCTATCTACAAACTCTTTAGAATTCCGAGCTATACTTTCAGGACCTACCATATCATTATTATCAGTATAGAATGGTAAGAGTCTTAAGAACATCCAGGCCGGTAAGCTTACTTCTCGAGATTTGGTAGGATCATTATCATTCATCGACCATAAGGAGATCGTAGATGATCTTGTTCTTGTAACATATCTTGTTTGAGAGCCTTTATAACTGTCGGAACGATGTCTGACTCCAGCAGGAGGTGGTGACAGTTCTTTGAGACTGATAGATTCTTCTAAATCCAATTGGTTTATGCCTGAATTGCGATTACTGGATGAGGGGAATGAGGTTACACTATTGTTTTCTGGGATTTCTCCGTAGTAGAACACTGTACCTCCAGCACCACCAGCACCAGCACCACCAGAAACTGCTGCTGCGGCATTAGCGGCATTAGCAACTTCTCTGACACTCTCAAGCGTAGCCCGTCTCTCTAGTTCTCGTTTCACATTAATGGAGTTATTGAAGTAATGTTCAAGACACTCTTCGAGCAACACTCCATCGTGAGAACTGGTGCTGGACTCCGACTCGAGTCCCTCATCTGGAATACTGACAAAGAGAATTCTTTCCTTTGATATCTTTTCATCATCCTCCTTACTGAACTTACCTCCATGTTTGATGTCGATCTTAAATGTCAAAAGTGGCATGGAAAGGGTTTCAGTTAAGAAATCAAAGATGGCTGCAGAATCCTGTTGTTTATGAGACATGGCTTCTTTGAATCCTAATTTCTCAAGTACTTCACATATTCTCATGGTAATATCGGTAGTTATAAGATTACCTGATCTTAACATATTAACATAGAGCCGTATTAATGCCGCTAATTGATCTACTAAATGATTCGGAGTTTGATTGGATACAAATAAAATTGGTTCAAAGCTCTCCAAGTTGGCAAACATAGAGAACAATAATGCATCGAGATAACACATGACATTTTCCCAATTCTCGGCTCCTACATAATGAATGAGACCTCCTAACTTATCAGATCGTGAATTAGTTAAAAAGAGTCCATCAGAACTTAGTTGAAAGAATCGTATAAGATGGAACGTTTTCACAAGGTCTCCCTGAGTGAATGGAGATTTAAGTAATGCAATGACTTGATGAGCAGATGGTACTACGATTCCCAACTGATCAAAATACTTTTGGACAGTTACTACCGAACTAGAAGCAGCATAGTATTTTTGTTTATTTAGTGGTAAAGGATCACCCAATGGATTTACGGGCCACCGACTATAACTATCAACATACCAATGCCAGAAATGACTATCGAACACTTCTTTTGGTTTGCTGTCTCTGCCAAACATTCCGGTATTAATGCTGTACCGGTTTCAGAACCAGTGGTTCAATTTAAATAAGGTTGTTGTTGATAATCCTAAATTACGAGGGTGGGGTGCGGCTACCTTACCCAATTAGGATACAGATGTACCATGCACAAATGGTAAGCGAATTTGGCAGATTTTCCGAAATATACATAACATTAACATTAACACTAAACACTAAACACTATAAAATAAAATAGAATACTATACTATACTATCATAACAATTTAAGCTCCAGTAATATTCAATTCTCTCATTTTCCCAAGTATATCATCTAATCTCTTATCGAGGTTCCCATTGGTGGCAGCCTCACGTGTTCGAGAGTCTAACTTTTTCTGAAGAGTATCGAGTTGAGAATAATTCTCATTAAAGAATCGAAGTTGAATCTTAACAAATGCTTCAAATGATGGATCTAAGAAGGGTATACGTAAGTTTATCAATTTTGGGATTTCTGATTTCAATTGCAGATTTATCTGTTGGTATACATTCTCTAATTCGGTTAATTCGGTTTGGTAATTAGCTAATTTGGTTTCATAATCTCCATTAGCTGGAGGCTTTTCAATGAGTTTCTTAACTTTACTCTTCATAGCATCGTAGTCTAATTGTTTGTTGGCTCGCTTTTTTATGGCCTCATTAATTTCAATGTAGTAGGAATTGAATCGAGCTATAGGATTTAGTACTGTTTGGTTGTAAGGATGTTCTAATTCAGCTAAACTTTGTTCACCTAATGTCTTCATTGTTGCATAGTACTCTTGTGATAAAGAATTGAATTTCTCTTTTGGTGCCGCATTAGCAGCCAGTTCAGGGTCTTGAGTATTATTATGATTATTACTTAGTGAAGGCGTAAGACTTGAAGGTAAAGCTCCATAATAAGTACTGAGACTTTCTCCAATATTGACCTGACTATTAGTAAGCATTCGAAGTGATTCTAAGTAGTGTCTCAATTCCTTCTGAAGTTTATTAGACGATATCTCCATGGTCCGATACCGCTTCTCTTCAAATTCAAACTCCTTATCGACCGTCTGGTCCATTTGTCCTGTCTTGACAAGCACCTGAGTACCGGCCCGGTTGATGGCCTTCTTTAGCCCTGTCCACGACATACTGCTGGTGAATCTGGATGACTTTGAATTGAACCGCCGAGAGTCCTTATATATATAGTAGACCAAAAGTTATAGAATTGTTTCATATTTGTCTTAGTAGGGGCCGATGGACCCGATTAGGCAAGACAGCCGTGCCGCAGTACAACCCTCTACTAGTCGGAATTCGGTGCGCTACCATATGAATTTTTCCATAACTTATACTATATTTATCTATATATCTAATCTACATAATGTTACAATCCTATCATTGGGGGAAGTAGTTGTTCCAGTTGATGTCCAAGTACTCAAAGTTCAAGAAGTTGTTGAACATTTCTGTGTCGTTCAAGCCAGCGATACTGATGTTCTGGTGAGGAGGTTTGGCTCGGCGTTGTTTCTTAGAGCCCTCTGGCTGTAGTGGTTGTCGTGCCTGTGGAGCTGCTTGAGGAGCTTGAGGTGCTTGAGGTGCTTGAGGTGCTTGAGGTGCTTGAGGTGCTTGTTGAGCAATAAACGGAGGAGCAGGCGGCTGGAACACAGGCACTTGCGGCTGGAATGCAGGCAGGAACGGTTCTATGTTGTCATGGCTCTGTTGATTGAATAACGAGTCTATCATATTCTTAAATGGCTGGATATTCTCCGGATGAGGCTGGATCATGGCTGGTGGTGGAGGATGCACCAAATTCTCTATGATGGGAGTCGTAGGCGATCTCTTATCATACGGTTGATGTTGTCGATTTCTTTCGTCACTAATCAACCGATCCATTCTAGCCGATAACACTTCGATAGGAGTCTTAACTACTATCCAAGTATTAGCATCAAACTTCTTTAGAGCTCCTATAAAGTATTGGATTTGTCCTATAAGCCTGGCTCTATCATCGACTGATTGGAATTGATTCAAGATAGCAAAGAGGGTATTGGCCATAAGGATAATAGTATAGATGGAGATGACACTTTGATGGCTATCAAAGTCTTTGAATTGACGTAGTATCAATTCAAACTCATCAATACAATTGGTGATAAGCGACAAGTCGGAATTCTTGGTGATGTTTAAGAAGGGTTTATTGAGAATAAGGATTACCACATAGAACACTAAGGGTAATCCGAAATCCTTCTGACCTGTTTGAGCCGCCTGATGGATGATCTCCATATCCCAATAATACTCAGGGTCCAAGTTGCGTCGCCAATTGAGTAATTGAGAATTGAACTGTTTGACCTTATCGAACTTTTGGAGAAAGTTGCGCTTGGAGTCTTCAAAGTTGAGGAACGGCATGGAATGGTATATGACTGGGAACATCTGTTCACAAAACACACAGACATCGACTATTCTAGCCAAATTCTTATTGTTGACATCGTTCCGGAACACCGGATAGTCTCTCTGGAAGGTCATCATCTTATTGCGGCCATAGATTATGCCAAGGAATGCATCGATGATAAAGCATCCCCAGTATAACTTATTCTTTAGTTTACCAAGTTCTTCATTATCTAGCACCTTAAAGGAATTATCAAAGCCTACATCCGAGCCCATTCGAAATGCTAGGCCAGTCAATTGCCAAGAGGTGGTCAAATTCCCCTTCCCTAAATCATGAATAGCAAGGATGACTAGGGATTGGATCCGGGGAAAAGATGAGGCTTCAAAGGAGAATTTATACCCTATTAATGAATCATTGGATGATGAAGATACGGGAGAGGCCGGAGAGTTATTGGCCATAGGTATACCTATCAGATACGAGTCACAGAAACAAAGTTTCTTCAGTAATTCATAGTAATAATTGGCTTCATTAACACTGTTTAAGATCGTAGCACCAAAGAGACAAAAGCCATAGATTAATTCCGGAGATATGAACTGATTGGTGGGGTACGAGTATAACACGCTATTGAACTTATCAAAGGACTTTTCCGAATGCCAGATATGACACAAGCGTCTATACACTTCGTAAGATTTGGAGTCGTAGATGATGAATGAGAGGAATCGCATATCGAGGAACTTGAACGATGTGGCGATGAGTTCTTGAACTCGCGACGATGTGAGCACTTGCGGATGAAGGGGGTTGGGTTCTGAGTTGGTTGATGGAGAATTGAGCGACGACGGAGATGACGAAGTAGTGGTGGCTGCTGTGTTGGAGGAGGTTAGTGATAGCGATTCGTTATAGATACTGCTGGGGCCATACACACTAACAAGACTAGCACCGGTACTTGTTGGCTGTGGATGTGGTGGTGGTGGAACTACTGAAGCTGAAGCAGAAGCTGAAGCTGATGCCGCTGCCTCAGTCTTAACGGCTATCAAGTCCGACAACTCATTCAACCGACTGGCTACCGTCACAAGATCTCCTCGGTTATCTACAAGATCCTGAAGCGTATCTCGGTACCGTTTATAGCCGTCTTCTAACGTCTGAATGTATTCAGTTGAATACCGATTGCGACGCTTATCTACCGATGGATATATGCATTGTTTCAGTTTCCTAATACAGTTGGAACAGGGAGATTTACCATCACATTTCCGTTTAATGGTTCGACATAAATTACACGAGATCGGTTGTCGTTGTCGTTGTTTGGAGATTTTGGAGATTTTGGAGCTGTCGTCTATGGGCTCCTGTTTTATGGATTTCATGAGAGGGAGGAATTCTGCAGGGGGTGGATCATTGGGGGTCAAACAGGACAGTACGGCTGAACAGTCAGTCAGTAGTTGGTGGAGTTTAACGTTGGGTTAAGCCAGGTGTGGGGGATTGGGGAGTAAAAAGGCTTTTGAATCAGGAAAACTTCTGGTTGGAGCACTGGTTCCTGATTAGGACAGGTCTTTAACAGCTATAGTTATTATCAAGAAAGATTTGTCAGTTATTTAATGACAATTATATGGAATTAAGTGAAATTAAAGCTGGTGATAGCAAATAATGTCGCAGATTTACGATACTGGTACAAAAAGGAATTTTGACGTTGGAGTGCATGAAACACGACAAGCACCGAGTGAAGTTGGACGACATTTCATTACTCATATGAATTTGTAGGTAACTTGAGGTCTGGACCCATGCCGCAGTAATTGGAGAGACCCCGGTCCCCAACATCACCCCACAGAGTAGTACCCCTCGCCCACATTGCCCGTACAATGTTAGTATGTGTAGACGAGAAGGAAATTCCGGCATGATGTAATGGTGTGTTAACTATGGCATTGTGTATGAGTTAACTATGGGGCGTATTAACTATGAGTGTGTTAACTATGTATTATGGTTATGTATGTGTAGTATTAAGTATGTGTAGTTATCAGTAGTATTTTTTTCTAGTTGCTATTTATCCGTAGTCCCTTACCAGTAATCATTAACTAAGTATTAGTTTAGCGAATAGTGATTGTCGTGTGTCACTAAATTCACGTTACCCCAGTCTAGTCATCCATATGCTTAAGAGCCCATAGATTCCCACCATTAATACCTTAACCATTTACCATATCCATTACCATCACTAATTGTTTCACCATGGGTAATGCTACTTCAGCCACTAGTCGGAAATCTACCGCTACAGAATCATATAGAAAGTCAACCGCTCACACTAATCATAATGATCTTGATGAAGAGTTCAGTGATTTGATATTACATCAAGTTAAATCTGAACCTATTCCATCATCCACTAACACCAACAATTCTACTAACAATTCTACTAACTATACATATCATAATGATAACGATGATTCAGCTCATGCCATACAAGAAGAGTATCCCGTGCCATACAATCAATTCTCTAATGACTTAATAGAAGATGAATATAATGAATTGAATGATGGGATTCTCGATTCTGATGCTCAAGAAGTGTCAAGGAATATCTTACCCAATGAAGGAGAAGATGATGATGATGATGATGATCATAACCATAACCATAAAGAAGATGCTATGGATGTTGATGAAACATTTAATCCTTCTCATCGTCAACATACTCATACTCCTACACCAGATTTATCTAAAGTAGATTTTACTAAGATAACTCCTGTCATTGATCCTTCAACTAATGCTGCTAATGTTGAAGTTAAAATTGATGAATCATATGTTCATAATAATTTTAATGATTCATCAATAATTCCTATACAAAATTTATTAATCCCTGTTGAAATTAAATGGGTTAATTCAACCAAAGAACCCATTAATAAAATTTCAATTATTGGATCATTTTCAAATTGGAGAGATGTTATAAAACTTAATAATTCAACAATTCATCCTAATGAATATATTACTACCATTAAATTACCTCTTGGAGTTCATAAATTACTTTATATCATTAATAATGAATATCGAGTAAGTGATCAATTACCAACAGCTACTGATCAAGAAGGGATCTTTTTTAATTGGTTTGAAGTTATTGATGAATGTCATTTATTTAATCATTCATTAAATCAACCTAATCATATTGGAGCATCTTCTGATTATGATGCTAATATAATTAGTAGAAATATTCATCATCAACAACAACAACAACAACAACAACAACAACAACCATTATCTGCATCTATGTCAGCTGCTAGTTCTACATCGATAGTGGCTGGGAAATCAGAAGTAGAGAGAATTAATAAGAAATCAACGAGTTTTCTTACTAAGATTTCTAAAGAGATGTCTAATTTTGAACATGTAGAATATGCTGAAGATGAAGATATGAAGGAAGTTAAATTACATGAAGAATTACAGAAACATTCTCAGAATTATCCTTATGGACCTCCACCACAAGAACAACAACATCATCATCATCATCTACCACCACAACCACAACCACCTCAAACAATATCTACATCATCGGTGGGTGATTCATCTAAATATTTACCTTATGAAAGTGGATTATTAACTACTTCAACATCTTCACTTCATATTCAACATGTTAAACCTCCACTTGAATATTCTAATGATATTCCTGATATGTTTGTTAATTATGAATTCTTTAAGAATAAAACTAATTATGAATTACCTGAACCTCCTCAATTACCTGCACATTTAAATAATGTTTTATTAAATAAAATTAGTAATTCAACTAATTCTCAATCGAATTCAAATTTACCTTCAACTATACCTTTTCAATTACCTACAGTTGGACAAATTAATAATATTCATCATCATAAACGTCCACCATTAAGACGAGCTGATAGTTCATATTATGCATCTAATCGTGAAGCTTCTCATCTTTCAATACCAAATCATGTCATATTGAATCATTTAATGACCACATCAATTCGTAATGATGTATTAACTGTGGCATGTATCACTAGATATTCAGGAAAATTTGTCACTCAAATAATGCATTCACCTGCTGATAAGTAGAACTTTTATCTATCCAATATACAATCTATACCATACCCATAAATAATACCTAAACCTAAACCTAATACCTATAAACCCAAAACAATACCTATACCCATAAAACAATACCTACCTATAAAATCCAAACCTTTACATAAACCCATTAACTATTTAATCATTCTATTTAATCATTAATCTCCTTTCTTTCCTTAATCTAGTTTGCATTAAACTATAAGCTCCTCGTCTAACAATTACTTCTAAATCAAATTTATTCAATTCCGGATAAAAAGTTCTCGATAATTTATATAATGTATCAATTACTCCTTCTCGATATTCTCTTGTTGTACCTCTAATCCATGTTTGATAACCTAATTTAAACAGACAATAATTCTTAAACATATCTAAAATATTAATTTCAACTTCTTTAGTTAATATAATATTAAATTGATCAAGTCCTAAGATTTTCGATAACTCATAAATATTTAATCGACTGAAATATCTATCACTGTGAAACTGTAAAGATTTACTATCAGCAGATTCAAATGATTTAGGGACTGTTGTTTGTAGTTTCTTTTGTTGTTTATTCATTGATTTAACTTCTCGAATATCTAATTCATGAATATTAGGATTTACATTATAAAATGAAGGATCATGAAACAGTTTTGTTTCTTTAGTATGGGCGAAATTACTCTTTTTATCTTTTGATAAAGCATATCTTGCATCTAACTTTCTTACATGTAATGGAATAAATCTAGTAAATTTTAAATCATAAAATTCAGGACTAAATGGTGGTGGTAATGCCGTTCCTCCTCTTAATATATGATTAGTTTTAATTTCAATATCTTCTCCAATTGGTCCATTTAATTCATTATTTAACAATCTAGGACTCTTAATAATATGATTAATTATTTCTTGATATTCTTGTCGTTTTCCAAAGAATTTAAATTTAATTATGTTTTTCCTTCTTGTTACATTTGGCCTTGGTTTATTATTTGAATCAGGTTTCCTACTTCTTAGTTTATTAATTGGAATTTTAGGAATACTGGGAGTAGGACTTAAATTCGAAGTTAGAGGATGTAATTGACATTCATTAGATTCATCATTTATGGTTGGAATAAGTAATTTAGATCGATTATGGATATATGGTCTTGAAGTTGATTTGGGAAAATCTGCAGCTAATGCTAAGAATTTAAGTTCATTTACACATTTTCTTATTGGCTTTCGAGGTTTTGAAGGTGTTCTTCTAATTGGTTTACGTTTTCTCTTACTCCTACTTTTCTTAATGTGAGGAGATCCTGTTACGATATCTGATTGGTAAATATGAGGAATTTTAATTATAATTGAAGTTTCTTCTTTAGCTTGGGGTGATGGCAATGGATCTTCTTTAACCTGAGTTAATGGCAATGGAATTTCTTCGATTTGTGGTGATGATGGAGTTTCTTCTCCAACTGGAGGAGATGGCAAAGATTCTTCTTCATCTATAACCGTTGCTAAGGATTCTTTACTTATAGTAGAACTTCTAGATATTACTATATCAAATGGATCATAAGTAGTAATTGATTTATAACCTAAGGTTATGTCGGATGGAGCTTCTAATTGTTTTAATAAATCTAAATTAAGACTTAACTCTTTAACTTTTAAATCTAATTCTAATTCTTCTAATTCTTCAACAATTGATTCATCAATTGATTCATTATCACTATCAATAATAGTTGATTCCAAAAATATATCTGAACTTGGATTATCAATATCATAAGAGCATTTAATTGATTCACTAATTTCTGGTTTACTTAAGAATCCACAAGGATCAAAATTTGGGAAACTAGTCGAATTACTTCGAGATGATTTAGTTGACCAAACTGATTCAATATCAATTGTTGGTGGTAATGGTCCTAATAATGATGGATTTAAAGTATTCAGGTGTTGTTTCCTTTCTAACAGTAAGAAATTATCTAATACAACAGTTAAACTTGATAATACTCCTGGTTTAACTACAGAATCAATCAAACTATTTACGGATGTTTTAGTGGTAGATACAGACATGGGAGTAGACATTAATGACATTACGTCATCCATATGGTAATCTTCTTCCTCCTCTTCCTCTTCCATCTCTAAGTGTTCTTCTTCCTCCTTCTTCTCATGTCTAAATGCTTCTAACTCCAGATCAGAACATGAAGAAAGTGGTGGAGATGATGGTATGGGGAGAGAGTGCTGGAATTGTATATCCGGCGAGGTATCTCCTTTGTCATCCATATTTCTTAGTTAATTAAAAATTTGGAAACCAGGGGAATTCTAGAGGATTTGTAGGTCTTTATATAGTAGTGATATGGGGTGCGGAAGGAGGAGAGGTTATTAAAGGGAGACATTTCTGTTGGTATATTATATGTAATAGTAAATATTTTTTATGGTGGGGCTGATAGGATGCAAAATAAAAAAATAAACTTTATTCCGTTTACTTGATCGAGATTTATTTTTTAGGGTGAAAAATAAGAAAAAGAAAATTAAAAAAAATAATAAAAAAATTAAAAAAAATTAAAGAAAAAAAATTAAAGAAAAAAAATATGAAATATAGTTAGATCTGGAGAATTAAACGAGTCTGTACTAGTGATTGTCATAAATCAATTAGAGTACTTAATTGTGCTAGTGGACTCGAAATTTATATTCAGCGTAAGTTGATTCATTGCTTAATCTTTTGATTCGAAAAATAATTGCCATGTAATATAATTGAACTCAACTATTACTACATGAACATTTCGTAATTGATCTTATCTAATCATTCAGTTGCATATGGTAACTCTACATAATAGAATTGATTCGTAATATGTTACCCACACTGCGAGGGGTTTTCCTTAGCTATCTCCACAATCCATTAATTGTGATATCTCTCCCTAAAAAATATCATTTCTCTAATTTTCTTCCTGTGCAAAGTTAAGATTTCCGTTAATATTTATTAACTTTATTAATTCGCCATACATCAGGTATCTATAAAATATCATATGTTCCTTGAATTATCAAAAGAGTATCTGAAATTCTTATTTGGTTTAATCGATCACAGTTCCCTCCTTAGTTCGCTAAACTCAGAACTTATCGCTCGTTTCAACCCCCCTATTGACACATTACTAAAAATAATTACTTCTCCGCTGATCTACAAATATTTAATCAATGTGATATTAACTTCAGTTTATATAACCTGTATATTATTTTATTAAGTGTATTAAAGTATATTGGGAAATTTAAGATGACATAATCATATCTATTCTTAAATTTGATTAAGTTTGGGTACTAAATTAAGTACCACATCATCAACACTATAATCATCTGTATTATTAACCATTAATTCATCAATTAATTTCTTTACTCCAATATTAATTTCATAAGAAGAAATTTGATTCAAAATTTCTTTTCTTTCCGATGAAGATTTAAAGGAAATTTTATCCATAATCTTACTAACTTCTTCAATAGATTTGATTGGAGGAATTGCAATTAAATCAGTAAATGCTTCAACTAAATTCATTCTCTCTAATACTGTATATTGACTGGTAGTACCAATAATCAATAAACGACGACCCTTTGGTGGAATCTTAGTTAAATAAACTAAGATTAATTGTAAAATATCATTTGAAAATCTAGGACCAATAGATACGTAATTAATTAATGTCTCTATCTTATCAATCACCAATACATTTAATGGAGATTTATAAACATCTCTAAAAACTGTATCAATATATTGAATCTTTTGACCTTCACTTCTACCGACAATACTTTCAGCAGATAACATCTTTACAAATGGAAAATCTGAATTTAAAGCTAAAGTACTGGCAATAGCTGTCTTACCCACTCCACTAGGTCCAAATAATAATATAGATCTTAAAGTTTCAGTTTCATTTGATTTAACTAAATTAATAATTGATCTACCCTTATCAAATATATTAGAAATACTCTCATTGAATTGAATAATACCATGTCTAGCTGCTAAATTCAAATCTTCTTCATCAGTACCAAATGCTGGTTTAATTTCATTTAATGCTAATAAGAAATCATTTCTAGTTATTTTCATATCAGAAATAGTTTTATCATCAATCTTAGCAATCGCACCTGATTTAGTATGTCTACTAATAGCAAATGATTTTGCTGAATTACATAACCCTTCAATTTCAGCCCCTGTGAAATTTTTAGTTAATGCACTCAATTCATCAAAATCAACATCAGATGTTAATATCTTATTCTCTCTTAATTTAGCAGTATGAATTAAAAATATATCTCTTCTACCCTTTTCATCAGGTAAAGCAATTTCAATTTGAATTTCAAATCTTCCCGGTCTTAACAAGGCCGAATCGATTAAATCTAATCTATTAGTCATACCTATAACTAAAATATTATTTAATTGATCAACACCATCCATTTTAGATAATAATTGATTAACAACATTATCACCAACCCCAGTTCCATCAGATCTAGCTGAACCTCTTTGTTTAAAAACAGAATCTAATTCATCAAAGATAATAACATGTAAATCAGAATCATCACCTTTTTGTCTAAATTCATCTTCAGCTTCTTTAAATAATTTTCTAATATTATTTTCAGATTCACCAACATATTTACTTAACATTTCTGGACCATTAACAATCTTTGGTTCTTTACCATTTAACATTTTACTTAATTTTCTAGCAATTAATGTCTTACCTGTACCAGGTGGTCCAAATAATAATAACCCTTTACAATGTTTAATTTCTAATTTTTCAGCAATTTCAGGTGGTAAAATTCTACTATTGAAAGCTCTTCTAAAAATATCTTTAAATTCATTATCTAACCCTCCAATACCTAAATCTTCTAATTTAAAATCTGGATTTATAATTTGCTTTCTAGCTTTTGGTCTATGATGAGAAACTCCATATTTTAATCCCATTAATGAAGCAGGTTTAACTAAATTAATTAATGAATTTTCATATGGGAAAAATATAACTTCAGTTTGTCTTAAAAGTATTCCTTTAGATGATAAATCAGATGAATCATTAATAGTTGGTAAATTATCCTTTTTACTAATATCAACTATTTGAACAGTATTAACAATAAATTGTAAAATAATTCCTTTAAAATCTAAAACAAATAATTGAGTAGGTTGTAAAATTTGATTTTCACAAATACTTCTGAAAACTTCAACTAATTCTTCATGATTAATATTAATATTTTTTGCTTTACCCTTTGATCTAAAATCAACTAATATTTCTATAGAACCTAAATATTGATTAGCCAGTTTATTTTGGAATATATTATATGATTCAGCTTGAACACTTTGCTTTATAGACCATTTCCCCCATTCTCTACAATGAAATGGTAATCCAATAACTCCTTGGCCAAGTAATTCAGTCTTTTCAATTGTACAAACATAATGGCCATCAAGTAAAATTGGTGAATGATCAGCAAATTGTTGAAAATCAATCGGATTAACAGCAATACAATTGGTTAAGGCTATAGAATTGGTTGGACAATTATCTACAATAAATGATTTCTTGAAATTAACAGGTTGTTGGTTAGGAACTGAACTGGGCAATTGAACATTAGTTGGACGACTATGAGTAATTGAGGGTTGGCCAGCTCCGGAAGGACTGTTACTAACTTTGTGAAATCCAAACTTCTCCATACTCTACTATTTATATCTGATCTTCACGTTGTAGATGCTAAATTTCGGAACTAATGGGTTGAAATCAATTCATAGTTCAAGTTGCTTTGGACTTCTCGAGAGTTTATTATATGGTGTATTATATGCAGTGTGCTTATCTTGTATGCCGGATTGTAGTCTTATATGTAGGAATTTTTCTATTCTCGTGACTTTTCTCACGTGATACAAACGCTCTGCGAGCATGTTAAAATGTTCATCAGCAAGAATTTTGAGGTTAGTAGTGTAGCGGTTATCACGTTTCGTTTACAAGCGCTCAGCAGTAAGCACCGAAAAGGCCCCGAGTTCGAACCTCGGCTAACCTAAAGTTCTATTTTTTTGCATTTCTTACACTTTGAGTTGCGAAGCTAAATGCAGATTATTCTTATGATCTATAATTTTTTTATCAACTACAGTACTAGAAATTTTAGTATTATTGACATTATAACAGCAAATATGTACATTACAAGATCCTGAAAATAGAGTAATCGTGCTTGGATTATCTTAATTTTATAATGTTGCTTCTTCCATTTTTTATAACTATTTCGCAACAATTTCTGAAACATGTTTAATAATCAGCAGATGTTATGAATATTTCTTATACATCAACAATTAGTAAACACAATAATATACACTCTATTTGATATATTATTATTCGATTAAAAGCCAATAATATATACTTGCTTTTTGTCATGACCACCTTACTATAATAATATTTCTACCTACACAGATCCTCTTTTTGCTTTTACCACTGAATTCTGTCTATGCGAGCATTAGATTAGAAGTTTTGCAACATTCTAATTATTTAGGATAATTAATTAAACACGTCATATATAATTTTGATTTATTTGAATAATTGACGAATAGCAATCGCTATATATAAGACAACTCTAAACATCTGGTATTCCAAAATACTCCATCTTAACTTTTATGGCTTTGTTTTATAAATATTCTTTAATGGATTTAATATAACATCTTGAACCTAACTGATAAATTTCACCGTTTACTTTATTTGATCAATAGGTTCTTATATTCTTCATCTTTGGAAGCGTTAGAGTCGAATACCACTGAAGCAAATTTCTTACCATACAGGGCTTCTTTTCCCTAAAGAATTCAGTAAATGACGCCAATGAATATTTAATTAAATATGCCTCTTCTACCAGCCGTAATACACTCTCTATCATTGCTATTATTGGGTGATACCAATTACTCTGGGAGTCATTAAATTTCGATGATATATAAATATATATATATAAGCTTACACGAACGATAAGTTGTACCAGAATTCATTCTTAATATTGATATTGCAAGCATATTGTTAGCAGTACCATTCCCTATGAATTGTTCAAATCTTTCAAATTTGTTGTATCACATGGATATAAACAAGGAGACTAAAAGTAACATCAGAAATGCAGTTCATAAAATATATAATGGTTTAAGATCTTATAAGTGAGAGTGTAATCACAGACCCAGAAGTTGATAGAATCAATAACTTAGTGGTTTCTCGGAGTTATGCAAATACGTTCTGCGGAAATAAGGCATTTATTTTAAGGTATCATTTTCCAATCATACTGAGAAATTCTATTGTATTTCAGAGACGAAATGATGCACCAATATCCAGCAATGTTTTCATAGTATTCCATCAGTCCAAATGTTCCAATTGCTGTAATTTTTATTCTCTTTCCGAGACTCTTAGTCTTCTAAAAGTTAGCCACCACTATGTTCGAATTTTTGCAAGTATATATATATATATATTACAATGATTTAGGGCCACTTTAATTCATCTTATGGTGATGTTGACAAGTAAATCTTCAAGATTTTAGAAAAACTGGCCAGTTCTGTATTATCATTTTTGGTTAATATTTGACTCTAATTTTGGGAATTGGAGGCGGGAAACACCTACCTGTCTTAATTGCTCTCCAAGGAACTCGAAGCCTTACAATTAGTGAGTAATTACAAAGAAATCACAAGAAATAAGTGTACTAACTCTGTATGTAGTTCATTAGCCCCGTATGTAGTATGTTAGTTATTATATTTAATGCATAAATTAGTGTCCAACTAATTTAATTCGCCCATCATAACACAAATAGTCTGCATTCCTAGTATCCACTTGTGAAACTATATCCTCAATATTCAAAAGAGTTCTGAAAGATAAGAAAATCTATTTGTGCATTCCAGCTTAGACAGTGTATTATATATTTTCTCTCAAACGTCAATGAACTCAATTGGTGGTGAGATGCATCACAAAAAAAAAAAGATTATTTTTTTGCAGCAAATGGTGAGGCTGAATCCAAAAGCTCCATGGAAGTTCGAAGATGTTTTTGCTTCTATTTTTGCTTATACATCGATTTAGGCAGACATGAATTGTAGGATCTCTCCCAATCTTTGAAAAAAAGTATATGTAACTTGCATCTACCTAATAAGTAATTTGATTTTTAGAATTGACAGTCTGATAGGCAATTGATTAACTTAAGGGGGTGATAGTCAAGTAATTTCTACTTCCTAAAATACTAGAATTAACCTGAATTATCTCCTTTTTGTAAATCCTTTCACAGAATTAAACAATAGAAATCAATAAATCAACTTTTATGGTAAATTCAATTTAGTGTTCGAAGTTAGTTATATGTCCGTAAATTCTCAGTGAGCCAGCTTGTATCTCATTCGCACTTCAACACCTACACCACCCATTTTTTAAATGCCACGTTGAAATTATATGTAATTTGAACCTTCTATTAGCTTCTAAGACATTCTATAGATTCACTTTAGATCAACCAAAGGCCCACATATCTAATTCTTATTGTTAGTAATCAATAATAATATACAGGTGCGCCACTATAAATTAAGCTCATCTATTGCTCTTATCCTTAACTCCTACAAATGCGGCGTTAACAATTCAGTGCACATAATGGAGATAGTGCGCCATTCGATAAAATGCTGCAAAGTTTGATTTACGAGTCACAAAATGGTGTTAAATTCTGTATAACAAGAGACTGTTATTTCCGTTCTTGTCTATGAAATTTCGTATATAACTACTAAGAATCGTTATATAATTGATAGTAATAAGACTTAAACATCTGAAATCAATTGGTTGGTCACAATAGTTGATTTTTTAATTCAAATTACTATCAACTTTGTTTAAAAGTAAATACTAAAGCGGGATCTCACTCGAACTGTATTTAATACTTTCAAATAGAAGTAAAAGTATCATCTCTAAATATATTTTATTAGTGAGTATTTATAACATATTGCTATGACTTCGAAAGATCTGGAGTTAAAACTGTCCCAAATGAGCGTAGATGGGGACGAACATCTTGTGAGTGACTTTAGAGGAAGGTTTAATGATCGAAATGGTGATTCTTTTGGTGAAGAAGAGGACAGAAATTTAAGATTAATTAAAACTGTTACCAATAATGAAACTGGTGTGTTGGATAGATTAGAATCTTTATCTCGTCAATTGTCTACTCATACGACTAGAGATGGAGATTTTAGAATTGATCCTAATGATTTTGATTTATATAAGATATTAGAAACTTGTATAAAATTATTTGAAAAGGAAGGTATTAAATTGCGACAATCAGGAATTACTTTTGAAGATTTATCTATGAATGGTATTGACATGTCATTTGATATTGTTTCAACCATCGCTGATATCTTTAAAGGTCCCTTTAGATTAGTACAAAAAATCTTTACAAATCATAAAACTTCAACTCATAAAATTATTCAAAATATTAATGGGTTAGCTAAAAGTGGTGAAATGGTTTTGGTATTAGGTAGACCTGGATCTGGATGTTCTACTTTTTTAAAATCTTTAAGTGGTATTGATTTTGATTTATATACTGGAATTGAAGGAGATATAAGATATGATGGTATTTCTCAAAAGGATATGTTGAAGCATTTCCGATCCGATATTATTTATAATCCGGAATTAGATGTTCATTTCCCTCATCTATCAGTAGAGCAAACGTTAAAATTTGCTATTGCATGTAAGACTCCCAATGTTAGAATTAAAGGCGCTACAAGAAATGATTTCATTAATACCTTAATGGAAATTTTAGGAACTGTGTTTGGGTTAAGACATACTTATAAAACCAAAGTTGGTAATGATTTCATTAGAGGCATTTCTGGTGGTGAACGTAAAAGAGTTTCTATTGCTGAAGCTTTAGCTTGTAGAGGTTCAATTTATTGTTGGGATAATGCTACTAGAGGGTTAGATGCTTCTACTGCTTTAGAATATACTAGAGCTATTAGGACTTCTACTAATCTCTTAAATACAACTGCCTTTGTAACCATTTACCAGGCTGGTGAAAGGATTTATGAAACATTTGATAAAGTCACTGTACTTTATAAAGGTAGACAAATCTATTTTGGACCGGTATTGGAAGCTAAAGCTTACTTCGAGAGATTGGGATTTGAAAGTTTATCAAGACAATCTACTGCTGAATTCTTAACTGCAGTTACTGATCCTAATGGTAGATTCCCTAGAAAGGGCTGGGAACATAAAGTCCCTCAAACTGCTGAAGAGTTTGAGGATTGCTGGTTAAACTCCAAAGAATTCGAAACTTTAAAGCAAGAAATAGCTGAATATAACGAGATTATCGATGCTGACAATACCCACAAGATATTCTATGAATCGATTAAACAAGAGAAGATGAAGTATAGTCGTATCGATTCAAGATACACTGTTAATTATTACCAGCAATTGAATTTAACTACGAGAAGAGCCTTTCAAAGAATTTGGAATGATAAGGCTTACACTGGTTCTATGTTATTTGCTGGAATGGCCCAAGGTTTAATTGCCGGATCTCTTTATTACAATACTCCACCAACAGTTAGTGGAGCCTTTTCAAGAGGTGGTTCTATATTCTTTTCAGTACTTACTGTGTCATTAATGTCCTTGGCAGAAATTTCAGCTGCATTTGCTTCCAGACCTATTTTAATGAAACATAAGAACTATTCATTGTATCATCCATCAGCTGAAGCCATTGGTAATTATGCTACTTCAATTCCCTTCAATCTTTTGTTATCTATTATGTTCGTATTGCCCCTTTATTTCCTTACTCATCTTAAGATGGAAGCAGGATCATTCTTCACCACCTTGTTATTTGTTTATTTAACATCAATAACTATGACAGGACTTTTCCAAGCCGTTGCTTCATTAAATAAAACAGTTGCTGGTGCAAATGCATTTGCAGGAACTTTAGTATTGTCAGTTTTAATGTATTCTTCATTCATGATTCAAAGACCTTCCATGCATGATTACTTCAAATGGATCTCCTATATCAATCCTCTCTTATATTCATTTGAAGCTATCATCTCTACTGAATTCCATGGAAGAAAGATGGAATGTGATGGTATGTATTTAACCCCTGGTGGTCCAGGCTATGAGAACTTAGCTAATGGTACTCAAGTTTGTGCTTTCAAAGGTTCTGTCTTGGGACAAACATGGGTTCTGGGAGATGAATATTTGAAGGTTGCCTTCACTTATTCATTCTCTCATGTATGGAGAAATCTTGGTATAATGATTGCATTTTTATTATTCTTTCTTTTTGTTAATGCTTGTGGGTCTGAATTCATTAAGCCAATCATTGGTGGAGGTGATCGTTTATTATATTTAAGAGGTAAAGTACCTCAAAATTTAGTTGGTGATATTGAAAGTAAGGGTAATACCCTTAATGAAGAACAAAAGAATAATTTTGCAGCCGATGATGATCTCAAATCTAAAGATACATTTGTATGGAAGGATGTAACTTATGTTATACCATATGATGGACTGGAACGGACTTTATTGGAGAATGTTTCTGGATATACTGAAGCAGGAACCATTATTGCCCTTATGGGTGAATCAGGGGCTGGTAAGACTACATTATTAAACACATTAGCCCAACGTATAGATATGGGGGTGGTTACTGGAGATATGCTTGTAAATGGGAAACCACTTGATAAATCTTTCAGTCGTCGAACTGGATATGTTCAGCAACAAGATATTCATGTGTCTCAGTCTACAGTAAGAGAGTCTTTACAATTTGCAGCTCGACTCAGACGATCCACATCAGTACCAGATTCTGAAAAGTTGGCATATGTTGAAAAGATAATAGGAGTCTTGAATATGGAAGAGTATGCTGATGCAGTTGTAGGGGAGAGTGGATCTGGATTGAATGTGGAACAAAGAAAGAAGTTATCTATTGGTGTTGAACTTGTAGCCAAACCATCTTTGCTTATGTTCCTTGATGAACCCACTTCTGGTTTAGATTCTCAATCAGCCTGGTCCATTGTTCAATTATTAAGAAATCTTGCTGATGCTGGTCAATCGATTGTGTGTACCATTCATCAACCTTCAGCTACTCTATTCGAACAATTTGATAAATTATTACTTTTACGAAAGGGAGGTCAAACCGTTTATTATGGTGATATTGGTAGCCATCTGGCTACTGTGTTAGACTACTTTGAAAGAAATGGAGCTAGAAAATGTGGAGATGATGAGAACCCTGCTGAATATGTATTAGAAGCCATTGGTGCTGGAGCCACTGCCACTACCGATTATGATTGGTTTGATATTTGGAATAGATCACTAGAGAAGTTGGCTTGTGATAAAAGACTAGATGAAATAGCCGTTGAATCTGCCCATAAGTCAGAATCAGAGTCATCTAATGAAGTTAAACAATTAATCTCCAAGTATGCTACTCCGTACTCATATCAATTTTACCATGTGTTAAAGAGAACCCATGTAATCTTTTGGAGAGATCCACAATACTTTGCAGCTAAACTAATGTTAGTGATCATGAGTGGACTCTTTATTGGATTCACATTCTTTGGACTTAAACATACATTGACAGGAGCTCAGAATGGGATGTTTGCCAGTTTCTTGTCAGTGGTTGTATCTCTTCCAATAATCAATCAGGTTCAAGAAAAGGCCATTAAAGGCCGGGAATTGTACGAAGGAAGAGAAAAGCTCTCCAAAACTTATACTTGGTCACTCATGATCTTGACACAAACCATTCTAGAGATTCCTTACTTGATTTTTGGAGCCACCATGATGTTTGTCTCATTATACTTCCCCACTCAAGCTAATACTTCTGGACCCCATGCTGGAATGTTTTACTTAACTCAGGGAGTATTTCTTCAAACGTTTATAGTATCCTTTGGATTATTAGTGCTCTATATTGCTCCAGATTTACAAACTGCTGCCATCATTGTTTCCTTCTTATACACTTTCATAGTGGCTTTCTCTGGGGTAGTCCAACCCGTCAAACTTATGCCAGGATTCTGGACATTCATGCATAAGATCAGTCCTTACACATACTTTATTCAGAATCTTGTGGCATCCTTCTTACACGGAAGAAAGATCACCTGTTCCGAGGTGGAATTGGCATTCTTTAATCCTCCATCTGGTCAGACCTGTGGGGAATATATGTCCAAGTTTCTTGAAACCAGAACAGGTTATTTGACTGATCCTGAAGCTACTACTCAATGTGGTTATTGTCAGTTTTCAAATGCCGATGAGTACTTGTTGACTATTGGAGCTAAGTACTCATACCGTTGGAGAAATGTCGGATTCTTCTGTGTGTTTTTCCTCTTTAATGTCTCCTTTGTTTTGGTCTTGTATTATATCTTCCGTTACCGCAAGTTTTCCTTTAAGAAGAAGTGATATTACTGAGTCATTTTGCAGCCATTGGCACAATTGGTAGCGCGGATGCTCTATTTAAATAATTATGTATATTGATATATAAGAATAAGATAATAATAATAATGAGAAAATAATAATAAGATAATAATAATAATGAGAAAATAATAATAAGAAAATAATAATATAATAATAATAGTAATATAATAATAATAGTAATATAATAATAATATAATAATAATATAATAATAAGAATTAATAATACTGCGTATGACCAGCCAGAGCAGGAGTGGTTAAATAATACAAAACATAAGGATATAATTTAGTACAAGTTCATTTACATCCAGCCTCCTGGCCCATTACCACCGGTGCTTTCCATAATTGGACCACTGGAGTTATTACCAGGTCCATTTGGATTGAAGTTGGCACTTCCAAAGGAAGGGGTTCTGGCGTTGTAGTAAAAATTGGAGCCAGAACTACTAGCAGGGTTGTTGTACGATGGATATTGGCCGGGACTGGGACGGTTAGGCATGGCTGAAGGAGCCAATTGTTGTTGTTGTTGTTGCTGTTGTTGCTGAAAGACATGCTGCTGTTGAGGTGGCTGCTGCTGCTGCTGTTGTTGATACTGATAGTTCATGGGAGGCGGAGTAGGATATTGGTTGAGATTACCATATGGCTTGGAAGTCGTATAATGAGTCATTGGCTGAGGTTGGTTCATAGAATTGTCCGACAAAGACAACTTGTGTTGATGAATAGAATACGGTTGTTGTTGATGTTGTTGTTGCTGCTGAGAAGCAGGAGGAAACCCAAATGGGAATTCATTGATCATAAAGTCATTACTTGGAGCAACTCCACCATTAGGAGTATTAAATTGTTGTTGAGGAGCTTGATGAACAAACTGTTGATGTTGAGGTGGAGCTTGCTGATGTTTTGGAGTCTCATAGTTATAAATATTGGAAGGCAAAGATAAGTTTCTATTTACGGATGGTTTCAAGGTTCCATCATTAGATAAAGTTCTAAAATTTCTATATTGTTGAGGGGCTTGAGATTGAGCTTGTTGTCCATACTTGACAGAACCATCTAAGGATGAATTCGAAGTGGATCGAGTATTCTTCATAGAAGGAGCTGAGGCCATAGATGTTGTGGAAGTAGAATTAGAATTAGAATTAGCAGAATTTGAATTACTTCCTGATTCACTCACGACATTATTAATCTTGGACTGAATTCTCTTACCAAAGCTCGAGATAATTTTACAGTTCAGAAACCAATACTTAATGATAATAATCTGTAAATCCAAATTGGATAACTTCATATAATCATTACTATCAACAACTGGAGGAGGCAAGAGTTTCTTAACATCTTCAACCAAACTGGAATTATAAAGATAATCCACTTGAGGATGGATCAAGATATCAATTAATGTTTGAATAACATAATTACCATAAGGATCATTAATTAACTTATTCAAATCCTGTCCTAAAATTTGTTGACACAAGTTAAGTTTCAATTTGGAGAATTCCATCAGAAATGCTTCTTGATTATAACAATTCTTTAAAAACTTTTCAATCACATTCGAACTAAACTTCAAGTTACAGAGGTTTTCAATGCCGAACTTTAAAAAGTTACCATAAATCTGTAAATTGATTTCAATAATATTGAGCAGAATCAAATATTGCAAGACATAATTACCAAATTGATCATTAATAAGTGAAGTGAAATTATTGAAGTTAAGTATGGCGGTGGAGAATTGATTCAATTGATTCATATCCACATGATTTAAACATTTTTGTAATACACAACATCCATGTTTATGAGTAGCCACTACATATAAATCATCAATAATTGAATCATAAATAAATTGACAATCTTGAGGATTATATTTATTTAAAATCTTTTGAATCACATGGTTCCCATTCAAATCCTTAATTAATTTAATTATAAATGGTTTTAATCCCTTTATAAGTAAATTCAATTGATAAGGTAATGTCAAATTATCAATAATCTTTTGAAGAGCTCGAGTTCCATGCTGATTAATGGAGATTTGAAACAAGTTAAATTGAAGAATCTCAAGACAAAGATTGAGATTGGTTTGACTACAATATCCAATCAATTTCTGAATAAGATAATTACCAAAAGGATCAATGATCAACTCATACAAATATGGATTGATCTGATCGAAAATAATCTCAAAATTGGCTTGACGAGTTTGCAAATTGGGAATCAAATTCTCATCAATCTTCTTCTGAAGAAATCTACAACCATACTGATCTTTAGATAACTTGAGGATTTCTGATTTGAGCTGAATCAAAGGTACCTTATTGATGGATGCCAAGTACTCCTTATCAATTTTTGAAGGAGCACTGATATTCGTGGAACTGGTGCTGGTAGCAGGAGTTACAACACTGGCAGGTGTTACAGCACTAGCAGGTGTGACGGGAGCAATTGGAGTAGATGATACACTGCTGGTTCCAAGAGTTAAAGGCACAGGAGATGCCGAATTTGAATTAGATGTAGCACCAGTAGAATTCGATCTAGAATTCGTGTTTGTCCGAATCTCTTCACCATTTGAGGCTCGAGATCCGACAGAAGCGTCAATATTAAAGTTGGGTAAATTCAAATTATGGTTCAACTTACTGGCCGAATCCCACAATCCTGGTTTGCCGGAAGTCATTGTCCCATTAGCAGCTGATGTTGTAGGAGTTACAAACGACATAGGAGTTTGGGGAAATAAACCAGACGATGTAATTGAGCCCGAACCGGATTTAGTATGAAAGGGGGTCATGGTGGGATTGTGCATCAGGTGGCCAGGGGTCGGATTTGAATGGATTATGGATGAATTAGTTGCTAAACCGGTGCCGATCGAAGTGACACTAAAGCTTCGGGAGGCCCCATGACCATTGGCACCACCTCCGACACCATTCATATGATTTGGAGGGGTTGTAGGCTCAATGATGGAGCTGATGGAGTTGACTGATAAGTTGTGGTTATGCGACATGACAGTGGACTTTTTTTTTGTCTGCGACAGACACTTTTTAGGCAATGAGTAAGCTGATGAAGCAGTTAGTTCAACAGGAGAAAACGACTGAATAAAATTTTGAAGTAGTGGATGGACTGGACAGACTTGTTATAGATGTAGTCACTCTTTACCAATGACTTATACCTTATGACTGGTAAAATCTGTCTGATTTAGCAAGGATGGACTAATAAGCTCTTTCTGATCCAGACAGTGCACGCGCACAAATTGATCAGTGTCGGGGTTAATGACTAACTTAACAGCGGAGTCAGACGATCTGGCAGCTCTTATGCTATGATAGGGGACTAGTTGAAATGATATATGACGATATCAATACAATCCAGGAAATATTATCGGATAAATTTGTCTATCTATCTATTATCAATTAATTTGTGTCTGAAAGTGTACAACTCCCGATACTAAAAAAAATATATTTAATTGGAGGGGAGGAATGAGGATACTTTTTTGAACGAGTCCACTGCTAGCAATGGAACCTCTATAACTGGGAACTAAAGAAGACAGTAATGATACAATTGTACAGGGAGGATAATACAGGGGGAATTGGTGAGGCCTTAACTTGACTTGACTTTTAGGAATAGGTGGTGTAAGTCGTTTAGGGACTGATCTCTCACAGATTTGGGTGGCAGGTCTGGATAGTGAAGGTAAAGATATCCGGACAGTTAAGTAAAGCAAAATAACAGCTAAGATTAGTGCCTGGCTGCTTTATTAGGGGTGTGAAGGGTTGTCTTAAAGTGAACTTGAGAAAGATGAAGTAGTAAAAGAAGGAGAGAGAAATCGAATTTAAAATATGAGGAAATGTCACTATATATAAATCTATAATAATTACTATACTGTATATACTAATAGTAAAGGTGTGTAGGTACCTTTTAATTTTTCAGTACAGTTTGATCGTGAACTGATCAAATGTCTGTCTTATTTATTTATTTATTTATTTGGATTTTATTTTATTTTATTTTTTTTATTTATATATTTGTCTTGTTTTAATATATTTTACTTTTAGTTTTTTCTTTACTTACTTTTACATGTTTTGTAGGGCATGAGCACCCCTCGAGTCAGTACTCCAAAAACCAAATCATATTCTGCTGTTACCGGTACTATTATTGTTACCATTACTACTGTTATTTTTTTAAATTAATATACTCTAATATTTAATATATGTTTAATGTTTCACATCTCTTAAATCTTATCATCATTACAGACACTTTATACATTACGTTTTTGTTGTAGCTTATATTACCGAAAAAATATCTAACCCTAGCACAACAAAAAATAAGAATAGGAAAAAGAAAAGCAGCACTGTTGTATCAGGACAAGACAAATGAGCACACCCTCTCCGCTCCTCACCACATGCAATTAGAGATATACGAACAGGATCATCAACGAAAGTAGCGATGTACATCAATGTCATATTAATCGGAAGGAGTAGTTAGTGAAATTGGTTAAGAGTATTCCATACATAACGGGGTAAAACAAAGTTCTGGAACGTGACTTTATGTAAATTCTAACTAATTAGCAACTTTGGCTGCCTCGAGCTAATAACATACTCAAAAGAGGAATTTATATATCAAAGTTAAACTTTGACGAACCCACCAGATCTCGTCACACCCAACTATCTTGAAACTTTTTGTTGCTCAGTTCCTTACTGTGACAAGATGCATGGTGTAGGATGTAAGCTGTAAATCGTTCATATCCACTAATTAGATAACTACCCACAATAACCAGATGGTACATTACATCATTCTACAAAGCCAGAGCCAAAGCCAAAACTGTAACAATCGTGCTCATAATATCCGAGCAACCCACTTACAAAGTAATTTTTTGTGCGCAGTAAATAAACGACAACCAGACAGTTGAACTCTGGAGACGATACTATATATAACAGAAAAGGAGTCAATGATAACTACCCCCTATCCCTATATCTTTCTCTATACAATACTATTCTATTATAACATATAAATAAATCAGTTTAAGCCTTGGGACACTAAGATTAGAAAAGAAAACTGCAAGAATTTGTCAACTTGTAAATGACAACCTGAAATAATTTTGCTATAAAATAAAAATTAAATTAAATGAAATGAAATCAGTCAGTCAGTCAGTCAGACACCAGAAAGGAGAGAGATGTCTTCCGTCAATCTGTCTGTGCAGTCGTAGTGAGATTTTTTTTCTTTTCTGTTCTTCTTTGTCTTTTTTTGGCTGCCAATTAAGAGAGGTGTTATTGAGAGTGCACAGAACTTAACTATTTGTTCTCTCCTCAGCTTTTTACATTTTTGATGCAACTTTTTGCAATTTGTTTTGGATTGTTACTAAGCCACTTTTGGATCAAACGGTCACGTGAAAAAAGTCACAACTTTCATGGTCTACTTATTAATAATATATATAACCATTAAACAAATAAATGGGAAACTACGGGTAAATATTATTTACTATTTTTAGAGCTCATGATATAGTATACTACAATTTCGTGCTGTTACTGAACAGACACGAATCATTTAGTAATCAGCTACTGCGACAACTACTGATTCACACCCCCCTTTATGTTTACTTATTTCCACCTCAGTATAAAAGCTATTTTCGCTAAGAGACCAGACAGTGAAAAGAAAGTACAAGTTACAAATGAAAAAAGAAATTTCTTAACCTGTATAGTCTCGAACATTTGTCTTATTTTCTCCCAACAGAAGTACAAACGTATAGGAGGAGTAGGGACACCACAAGGCACGATTACAAGGTACAATTACATGAGGATAAGCCAAGGTATCAATTGACACAGGTAGTGACTGTTAGCAACAGTCACGAACAGCCAATAATCACTAATCTCTAACTGCCAACTAACAAAATATGTATGATCGACATTTTTACAATTTATATCCAGACACACTCCGCTCCGCAGTTCGTTCTTATCGGAGTATCTTTTTCAGCAACCGATTGGCCACCACCGTCAAATGAGGCAATCTCAATTAATTACATAATCATTTTATATATTGCATCTATAACCTAATCTATTTTTATAAACCGTTTAGCTCGAACATACTCATTCAAAATATCAAGACTGAACACAAACTCTCCCACCTGATCGCCATACTTATTGATTTGGAGACATGCTTTAATTCGTCTTTGAATTCGACGGTATTGTCGATTATTTATAATGTCTCGTCTTCGGACTTGTTCAGCCGTATCAGGAAATTCACTTTGCATAAATCCTGGCGGTGATGGCAATTTATCATAAATTTGACTAATTTGATCTTCATACTCTAAATCTTCTTCTGACACATAATCTGCCTGTGGTTCATCTTCTTCTCGTTGTTCTATGATAACTCCATCTTTACCAGTTCCTGTAGTATTAACAATCTGATAGAATTTCCGAATATTATCTTCTTCACTTTTACTTAATCCAATTCTTCTTTCAAAAGTTTTACCTTGAGGAGTCTTAATATATGTAACCATTCTCTTTCTTGTCCATATGGGGTTTGGCTTGAAATCAGCTAATTTCCATTCTTGTTCAAGAATAGGATTGAACTTCATCAGGATTCTGATTTGTATTTTATTCACACTATTGGCTCTAAACATTACCTCGTAGTAACTAGTGATAACTTGGATTCTCTTTAATTTAGTTCGTGGTTTAGCATCTTCAAGGTATTTAATCAATGCATCGTCTTGTTTGTATTTTTGGGGACTGTCTTCCTGACTCAATGGCTTTAAAGTAAGAAGTTCTTCACCTTCCTGTTGTGAATCAGCCACTACTTCATCTCCATCTTGCCATTTATCTTCATCACCACCTTTATCTGGTGATGAACTTTCAGTATACTGTGTTGACATCATGTGCACATCTGGTTTCACATTCAATGTTGGCTTTTTGGGTGAAATGAATATGTCTCCTTGATCTTGCTTGTGAGGTGAGATCTTTACTGGAGAAGATTTCAATTCTGAATCATCATCTTCGGAGTATTGGGTAGGTAGTAATCTAAATTCACCCTCACCATCTTCATCGTCATTTAAATCATTTACCACTTTGGTTTCATTAATTTTTATCCTTTTTGTTGGAGGTGGTGGTAATGATGGTCTTGAGTCGTACAACGACTGTGTCTGTCGCAGATTTTTCAATACTTGCTGATTTTCCATAAGCAAGCCTTTGGAACCACTGGCTTTAAATGATCGACCAAGTCCAGGAAAGGCAAGATTCTTCAACTTGGATGTTTGTAAGGCATGAATGGGTGTAGACCCATCAGTAGTAACCTTCTTCTTCAACACCTCATTCTCATACTTTAACTTCGAATACAATTTCACCACACTATTCAATTCAAACTTCATACTATTCAATTCTACTTTCAATTGCTTGTTCTCTTCCCTTAGTTTACTTATCTGATCTTCAATCTCGGCATCGACTAGTTCGCCTATTGACGCGATTAATCTCGAAGAAACCATACTAAAAACTCACTTAAAATTATATATCATTAACTCACCTAGAAATATAGTACCAATATAACACAATTACTTACCTAACCTTACAAATCAGCCAACTAGATGGCTATATGGTTCAAATATTCACCTTAGTGGGGTTTGGAAAATTATCAACAAACCTGCACACAACCATCTCCCACCCAGAGTATCGAAAAATTTTAAGTAAACAAAAATTATCACACATAATGTATGGGAACTCAATCCATCGGCCATCATTGTATTATATTTTAAACCATTATAGTATATCAGAATATCAATTACGGTTGTATCATTTAGTGGGAATAGACATAACTACTTTGATTTGATTTGTACACTTATAAAATAATAAATATCCCATATATTATTAATAGATCTATACTACATACAATATAAAATATGTTTGGATCAACAAACACATCATCATCTACTCCTAATTTCGGAGGATTTGGGGCTTCGAATTCATCTGCCACAGGTAATACAAGTGGTGGATTATTTGGAGGTTCCAAACCAGGAGTTACTGGCAGTGGGGGACTCTTTGGATCATCAAATACTGCTCCAACATCTACAACTCCAGGCCTCTTTGGTTCAGGAGGCACATCCAATACAAACACCCAAACTGTAAATCCAACTTCCACTACAGGTGGATTGTTTGGTTCAGGACTTCCTAACCCAACCACAAGTACTACACAAGGAGGATTATTTGGAAACACAGCATCTGCAAATACCGGAACCACCTCAACATCTGGTGGATTGTTTGGAGCAAATAAACCAGCTACTACCACAACTGGTGGGTTATTTGGAAACAATAATTCAAATACATCAACAACAGCCACTACTGGAGGTGGACTCTTCGGTAATGCAGCTGGAACCACATCTACAAATACTAATACAAATGCTGGTGGACTCTTTGGTAGTACACCAGCAACAAATTCTACAGCAGGAGGACTTTTTGGAAATAAACCAGCCACCAGCACTACTGGTGGAGGATTATTTGGCTCATCTAATACTGGTACATCTACTACAGGAGGATTATTTGGTGGTTCAAATACTACTACTAATACTAATACAAATACTGGTGGACTTTTTGGAAGCAAACCAGCTACTGGAGGATTGTTTGGTTCAAATACAACGGGTTCAGGTACAACAGGGGGATTATTTGGAAGTTCCAACCCTGGAATTTCATCAGGTCTTGGTGGTGGATTATTCGGATCATCTCAACCACAACAACAGCAACTACTACAACAACAACAACAACCTCAATTAACAGCTATGACTAGAGTAGGAGACTTACCCCCAGCTATAAAACAACAATTGGAGCAATTCGACAAATACATAAATACTCAACATTTGATAGCGACAACATTGGAATCGGATTATACCAAACATGATGCATTGATAAATTCCATACCGAAAGATATCAACTATCTTCATAATAAAATCACCTCTACTAAACAAGCTCTCAAATTTGACACTAACCAATTAAAGTATCTTAAAGAAATAAATAATGAATTGACAGAAGATATATCTAAAATAATGCAACTTATATTACAATTAGCTACTCCAGGTACTAAATTATCTTCATCATTCCAATTAAATGAATTTTTTATAAAGAAAATCAAGAAATATCATGAAGTCTTGAATCAATATGAAACATTATCTAATGAATTGAATATCATCTTATCTGGTTTAGAAAGACTGTGTATTGAAGGATTTGGAAATTTATTCAATATCGTTGAAGTTATCAAATCACAATATGGATTATTCATGGAATTATGTGAAGTAATGGCTCAATTACATAATGAAGTATCAAAGGTTTCAAAAAAGTAAATTAATAATAATACATTGTCAGCATATACAACATAGAGTGTAATACTAATAAAAGTTATATACATATTTAATCATAATCCAAATCTCCGTAGCTTTCATTAATTTTAGATTCAAGTTTCTTAAACTTGTTTTCATTCTGTTTCCGTAGTGCCAACTCTTCAAACCCATTCGAACGATCAATTCCATCCCATAATATTCCTGGTTGAACGTTAAATCTATTAGGAGGAATTAATCCTTTAGTATAGATATATTGAGAGTATGAAGCATTACTGCTATTCGATTCCACTTTCTCAGGTTCTTGGAATGATGCCAATGGATCTTCGAACTTATCCGTAATGATGGATCTACTTTTCTTTAACTCAGTTTCTTGTTTTCTTCTATCCTCATCGGTAGTTCGTATCTCATCAAACTTACGTTTCTCTTCATTAAGTCGCCTCCTTTCTTCCAATTCTTCTTTCTTAGCATTTATATCTATTATTCTACCTCTGGAATCCCTATAAATAGTTTGTGGTTGTTGTAATTTCGGATTGTCTTCAATTACATCTTTGACTATATCTTTGTTTATCACGGCAATACTGGATTCACTTGTCACTACATGCCCATTATCAATTCTCTTGAAACCCTTAAATTGTTTCGTACTCTTACTTTCAACTTTTATAGGTAATTCTTCATTCAAAGGATCTTCTTCTATGACATTTATATGTTGTTCATTGCTTTGTTCTGTTTCCTTAGTCCAATTGGATCCATTAACAACAACTATATTATTGGTAGTGGACGTATCCACTTTCTTATGTTTTTTGGATTTCTTCTTACTGACCTTATCATTTCCCAGAGATAGATATTTCGACAAATAGTCTGCTCGGGAAGACATTTACCGCTATTCTATACAGTATGGGATATCATAACTCATTTATTATTAAGATGCTTTTACAATAGTTTAAAAAAAATGGGTGTGTATGCACCACTCGTGCGGCTGGTAGCGCCTATAGCTGATACATCATTTATTTAGTCCATTTAATACATATAATATAATCTCTCTAACTCATCACTATTTGAAAACTTTTATAAAAAGACTTCTTTTTTCTGACGTACAATGTGCAGAAATCACTATGATAGTGCAGGCGGATTAATACAAATATCGTAAGGTAAGGAGTTCCGGGAGAAAATAACGGAAGAGATAAAATAATGATTAATTTAATGATTAATTTTTAATTGTGTATGTTTCAGATTTGGAAATATTGGGGATATAAATAGATGTAGATTTCCAATAAATTACAGATCACATAGATTATAGATTACAGTTGGGTTTTTTATATTGCCAACTTCGTTTCGATAGTTGAGCTTTGATTGAAATTGAAAGCTATGATTAACAACTTATTTTATTTAGGTTATTACTAACTATAGATATAAGAACATTTCCATGGTTTGAAAAAACTTAGCATTATACTGATTTGCGTATTGACCGCGAATATTCTGACCAACAAGGTCGATTGCCAAGCCTATGAGTCTATATTACTCAGGTTATTATTAATTTTGCTTTAATTTATTTAGGTTATTACTAACTATCTGCTAATCTATAGCTCCACTTTATGAGAGTGCTATTTCTAGTATTAATCTGATCCTGAAATAATTTATTTAATTGTATAAATTTATTGATTAATATATCATTATAAATTAAATTACCGTTGTAGATAATATGAGATCCTCTATTGGAATTTCTTACCATGCATAATTAGAACGCGAACTCCCTTCAGTTCTTAAATCCAGAACTCAGTCCTATTCACAGCCAATTCATCTCATGTACAACGGAACAAGATGTGTACTCAAGATAAACTATGTTCTCAAGAAATTATTAAATACCTAGGTATATTTAAGCCATGTAGTTTACAGTAAATACCAGATAGTATGGAAGGATATTTACAGTCAAAAGATTAGCTCAAGAAACTATACAATAGTATTACATAAATTTATTAAACAAGTCAATGAATCACATAAGGCTAAATATTTATTGTTTTTCATTTATCACCTTAAACAATGTATATTATCTATAGTATTAGACTATTTATTGTAATAGTAATAAAAGGGCTCTCTTATATTTTATTGAATCTGCATTTTTTAGTTTGAAATTTGTAGTGATACTCACTCTTAAATTTTTTTTTGCAGCTCCTTGGCGGGAATTGTTGACACTCTTCTCTTCTTTTGGAAGTAATTGAAGTCCTATATGGTTGGTACTTAGTTACTCTTAGTTACTTGGTTGGTTACCTTGAGTGATGGAATTGTTGCAAAGGTTTAGGACTTTGAGAGTAGTAACTAATTGGGTTATCGGAATGTACTTATCCGGTTTGTTGGTGGTTATCAAGCGTCTATTTCAATCAGTTTGAACTTACGGCTATCAATACATTGTGTGTCATTATTATAGTATGTGGTTAGTTACGTTGCTATTGCAGGTGTCATAAGATAGTTGTTTACATGGTATCCTTTGTTGCTGGATGTCTACATTCCTTGCTGGTTTGAGAGTTTGTTAGGATCATGAACCTATTATTATTCTATTAACAACACTGTTATACTTCTAAAGATGCATCACTAACTTTACTTTCTAGGTCTATATCTATCCCCTTTAAGCAAGAATCTATTTAGGTACTTATTAACATCCTTTTTTATAGAATTATTTGGGTTTTAGATTAAGTCTTATTAAGGCTTTTTTGTATGGCAATTTAGGAAGAATGCTGGTAAGCTACGGAAATTACCTCCAAAGTCCCGTTTGGGAAACGCCGACTAAAGCGGCTGAATTTACTAACACTTTTTTAGCCATTATATATTAACTCTATATTTTAGGACTTATTTAACTCTACTTACACTGAAATTCTAGCTTTATTGACAATCAGCTAAGAACAATCCCCCGGGGGAGCCCACATAAATTAATAGTGGGATATAATAGTGGGATTTAATCAGTATTAGTGGTAGATTCTACTATCGGTATATTGAAGATGGTGGTGTCACAATTAACAGACTCAAAATCTGGCTCATATTACGAATCACATAGTATTACTAACAACTTGCTTATACTAAGGGGTGGTTGCGATAGCACACTCATTCAGACAATAGTTAGTGACAATATATTGATATAGTCACTTATATAGAGGTATATAGATATCTACTAACCATTTTCATATAGAGCCGACTACGGTAAAATTAAATTAAACTAACAACTTGCTTAAAAGGGATTACTAACAACTTTTTTATAGCCAATGTTTTATAAATTTCTAATTTTCATAAAACATTTATTAATACGGACGGTTATAATATATGTCCTTTATATATATTAGTAGTAATGTAGACTAACCTAACCTAGTATACACCAATTAGAGGATTAGAAAGGATTAAGCTTCTCACCTAAAACGGGTTCAATGGTGAGATCAATTATTTACTTATTAAATAGTATTCCCAGAACTACTTAAATCGTCTGACTGCAAACGTTTCAAGTAGACATATAATTTAACTCATGAGCTCTTTTTCCCTACATAATGGATAATATACTCAGAAATGAAACGTAATTTGTATATTTTGTATATCTTGCATATTCATTCTCTTATCTAGGAAATAATGGGCAATTTGTAGTTCATAACAAACAGTAATTTTTGTTTTACTCACTGAATCTATAGTCGCATAAACCATGTACGGAGAAAATGTGTCACAGAGGATAAATTCTCTGCTAATAGTTATTTTATTATCTTTATTTTTATGACAATTCCTCTTATGGACAGGAATAATAAAGAGGCTCAACCTTCTAATATAAATAAGAGTATAAATACCATTTGTAATCCCTCAATATGTATATCCAAAATTTACTGACTCATTTACAATGATATTACCGCTATGCAAATCATTGTGGGCTATCCTATGATCTTTGAATTTAAGACAGCATTGACTACTTAAATTTCAGTTTATTAACATTTCTCTGAAATTTAGGATTCTTACTAACTTTATAGGAAAATTTAGTCGTTTATTTGTAACGAAGTAAGCTTCAGGATCATATACACGAATAACAACTGAATAATTATGTTGAAGGGCCTTTCCTGATATTAATCTTTAATATAAATATATATATATAATTACTTCAATAATGTAGGTTTAACCAGTAAACTAGAGTGCTCATTGTTCGATTCTATTTCATTAATAGATCAAAACCATTGAATTAGTATGTAGTTGTAATGTCTCTACATGAATAAATTGTGGGATTTAAATTTTGGCTGTAAAAATCTTGCTAAAAGTATATAAAGCGCGAGAATTCCCAGATATGAAATATACGGAGGTCTGAAGTCTCATATTTGTATACATACTGATAATTATAAAATGTGAAATACTGCAGTTTTGGACAAGTTTATTGTATTTTTTATTATTAACATTTCAATGAAATTTAGGATTATTACTAACTATATATTCATAGCTTCTTACACCTTGAGTGAAAAATTCAACATTTGGTAGATGCCTTTTTAGAATGATTCTGAGGAAGAAATCAACATAAATCTTTAAATATACATATATATATATATATATAATTGATTCATTAATGTAGGTTTAACCAGTAAACTAGAGTGCTCATTGTTCGATTCTGCTTATCTTTAATAGATCAAAGCCAATGAATTAGCATGTAATTGTAACCTCTCTAAATAAACTGTGGGATTTAAATTTTGGCTGTAAATTTGATAAAAGTATATAAAGCGCGAGAATTCCCAAATTTGAAACATAAGGAGGTATATATTGTTGACTTTTCTAATTGAATGTTGTTGATGTGGTGATAGAATACGATCCTCAAATGCTTCAGCATATAAAGGAATAAATAAGGACTTACATCATAATAATATTTTAGGACATTACTAACTTTTAGGCTATGTTTCTTATTAGAAAGGTCAATTTTATACCAATGGATTTGTTAAAGTAAATGTTACTGATAACTTTAAATCTTAAGGGGTGCTTAAAAGTTCAATGCATGCATACACTATATTAGAAGTTTCTATGAAACGTTGGGCTATGTCACTAGCTCAACCAAATACATTACATATAACAAGTTTAATAAATATTATATATAAAATCAAATATTTGTAGTTAGCATTAACTCATTTCAACTACGTATAACCATGAAAGCTTCTAAATGTCGCTATAATCATACGATATTTTAAATACTCATTAGAATAACAAACTTAAGTTCTCATATATTATAAAAAGACAACTTTATACATAACAAAATTATTAATAGTAATGGTAACAGTTATAATGAGATAAAAAATGATAATAATGTATATAAAAAAAAAACTATGACTTTTCATTAATTCATACAGCAATATGGCTTTTTCTTTTTCTATTTTTAAATTGTGTAAGATCGATTTCTCTACTTCTTATGAATGAAATTCAAATAAGAGTCATAATTGAAATTACCAAACTTATAGTCAATATCTAATAATAACTTAATTGCATCATGAGATTTATAGACATATTCAGCAGGAACTTTAATTAAAGTTTCATCTAATTTAGTAACTGAACCTGGTACAGTCTTACCTTCAATTTCAGACTTTGACAAGTATAATAATCTTTCATTTCTAGATTGACTATTATAAACTTGATCATTAGTTAAGGAGTAAATACCAGGATATCCTGAAATAGCTTTGAAATTAGATCCCTTGGTGACTGGTGGAGTTAATGGGAATAAACTTTGTAAAAGTTCATAAGATGCTAAAGTAAACCCGAATTGAGGTGATGATCTAAAGACTCTTGCTAAGGAACCTTTAAAGAATGCACCTAAACCTTCTTCTTTCAATATGACACGAGCAGCATGTCCAATACCTCTATATTTAACTTCATGCTGTTTACTTTCAACTTGCAATCTAGTTTTAATAACATCAGCAGGAGTAGTAAAGAAAGCAGAAGGAGCACCAGCTAAAGCACCACTAACTAATAATTGCCAAGTACTTAATTTCTTTTTACTTGAAGTATCATTTGGATCAAAACCAAACATGTATTTCTTCAAGTTAGCATAAGTTGGGAAATAAATGGCCGAAAATGGGACATCTCTTAATAAACAAGCAGAAGCACCTTTATAAAGACCCTTTAAACCTAATTGTTTAATAATCGAAGTGGCACTTAAATGTTTATGAGGAATTTCTCCAAGCTTTTTTACATTACCTTGCATTTGTAATCTAATTTTAACAATTTCTAATGGATTTGTGAAAATAACTTGACATGCACCAGCCGATGAACCAGCAGCAATTTCCCATCTCATAGAAATTTTACCAGTCTTTTCATCAGTACCAATTTTACGAACCAAATCATTAACAGTTAATTTAATGGCTTTTTCTGGTGCAACCCCAACTAATTGAGCAGCTAAACCTGAATATAAACCTTTAAAACCTTCTTTAGCAATAATTTTCTTAAAACAATCAAAAGAATTATTATAATAAGATTTATGCTTTTGAGCTTGCATTCTAGTTTTGACCAAATCAATTGGATAAACAACAGTAGCACCAATACATCCAGCTATGGAACCAAGAAAGAAAGAATAGAGAGAATCATAGATTGGCCATAATGAAAAATTATCACCACTTGTCTTTGTTGAATATTTCGATTTTGGATGATCAAAAATTGAATATAATGAATTAACATTATTATTAAAACTTGGATTTAAAAATGAAATTAATTCCTTTCTTGGGATGTTATCATCAGATTTTTGATTTATTAAATAAAATAATAAATCAATTTCATAAATACTGATTGGTTTAAAATTAGATGATTTTAATAAATGATCATTTAAATGAGTGTATAAATCCATTTTATTAATTAAAATATCGGTTTTATCTTTAGAAGTTGGTGGAGTATTAGCAATGACTTCATTAATTAAATCAACTTTATTCAAAGTATCATATACAAATAAAAGATTGGATAAGGTGAATTCTTTTCTCGATTGATTATTTTCATCATGAAAGAATCCACTAATATTACTCAAATTTTGTTTTAATTTTGATGATAATTTATGATTTAAATTAGCTGATAATAAATCGATTAATTGTTTTTCATCAATAGTCTTCTTCTTTGAAGCTAAAATTTCAAAATTTCCAATTAATTTAGTTACAGGTAAATAGTTAATAAGGGTGATAAAATCATTGAAATTAATTGTACCATTTGGTTCAAAGAATTTTGGAAAGTAAGTCCAATTTAATTTAATTAAATTTTGTTGATATTTTGGATCTATTGAACGATTTAATTTATTTAAAATATCAATACATTGATTATAACTGATGGTTTTAGCATTTGGATTATTATTACCTGAACCAGTACTTAAAAAATTGTAAATTAATTTGAAATCTCCATCGATGGAAGTTAAGGTTGTAATAAAATTCACCCAATCTTGTTCATTAACAAATCCTTTTCTATCTTTATCAGCAATAAGATATAATAAAGAAAATGTTGGTTTGGAGATATCTGTTTGGAAAGGGGAGATTAAATTAACAAAATCAGGTAATGTAATGATTTTTTGGTTATTGGCTCCAACAGTTGCAAATTGATTAAAGATTTCCTTTGCTTTTATTTCGGTAGTCATAATTCGTGTATATTATTTTTATTATTATTATTAGTATTATGGCGATGAATGAATGATAAAATATCTATAGTCTATAATGAGGTGGTTGCGAGTTTAGTGTATCAAGTGTATAAATATGTAAACAAACACAATTTAGATGAAGTGAATAATGTATGATAAATATTGAATAATTAATAACGAAAATTAGTCAAAGTGAAAATGAAAAAAAATAATCGCTAACACGTCGAATATTAAATTCTAATGATATATATGCTCTACTGCTAAAAATGCGGTAGGATATATTATGCTATGTTATGCTGTTCTTGAGCCTTTTGTTAACTAGACTAAAAGTCAAGATGATAAATCTATTAAATAAATAAATTTGTTTATAAACGAGTCTGTTGGCTTTGTACAGACTTTAGTTTCTTTTTTAATTTAAAATTTGGTGCCAATGAGTTTGACACTTCTGGCTGTACTTTACTTACGAGTTTTTCCTCAACTCGGTATTAGCGCAAATTGCGACGCTATGACTCTGGTGGTGGTCTTGGTGGGGTAGAAAAATTTTTTTGTGCGACTTTTCTTTTTTTCTTAGACTAGTCGTTTCTTTTTTAAATGTGCAACCAACCTATTTATGGTAGTATTAAACGGGGGGTTGAAAAGTTTTAGTCAATCTAGTAGCGAAATGTAGTATACTATGAATAGGTAAATGTTAGGTTATGAATATATATATTGGATGTTTCTGACCTAATTGATTGGTAAATGATCGATAATGATGTGATAATAATAAATACACAAAACCAACTGAAAAATGAGTCAAGACAAGGGTTTTATTTATTCATTACAATCTTTGTATAGATGCGATGATTGATGTAATGATTTATTGATTATTGATTGATTGATCGATTGATTGATTGATCTGAACAGAATTGACAATATGCAATTGAGAACTATCTTCTGACTAGTATGTTACGTTTGGAATTCAAAATACCTAAGCTGATTGTGAGTAAACTGAAAGGTATAAATAAATAGCCTCTGAGAAATCTTTTGTTTATTATACTCGGTTCAGAGGAGATTTATGCGCTATCAAGTTTTGTGATTCTGACTTGGGATGAGGAATTTAGCAGCAAGTAGTAGTTGACACTATATGCTAATAATCTTATATGAGGAATTGTTATAATATTTTGTAATAATGACTTGACTAGTGGGGTCAGTCCTTAGAATCAATACAAGTATAAGAAGTAAAATAAATAAATTCTTTAGTAAAGATATCGGTTTAACTTTATATAACAATGTCAGAGGCATTTTACAGAATTGAATATTTATCAAAAGAAAATTGATGTTTTGACAGTTTCGGATTTTTGAACACGTCGTCGGGTCAATTACTGAATTGTACCGTTTCTTAAGAAAGTCTACTTACATACTTATTTAATTTTTCTCTTGTCGTAAATTACAATCCCAACGAGTTTTGACAATGGCATTCAAGTACATAAGCCATCTCAATGGTTTGACCATCATCGATTCCATCACTTCCATCACTTCCATTCCTATATGGATGGATCGAACTTTCTTGAGTCACAATCCTGGGGAAAAAAGTCACACGGAATTATCACTGACTCACAAGACAGTCTGATTTTTAGAGTTTTTCGCACTTTGAGACTCCCTTTGATCCGGGGAAGATGGCCCTAAAAATGTATGATAAACTAAAACTAGTGTAATTACTTACCATACAATAAAACTGGTATGTACAATTGATAGATCATCGACGTGATTTTTTTATCACTGCAAATTGTGTTAGTCTAACCCGGAGGGGAGAAATATGAGCCTTAATTGTATTCCTCGGATGAGGCTTTATATATCAGGATACTAGTCAATATTCAATCCTCAGTACATAAAAGTACTTATTTATCTACTTTAACCTAACTCAGTAAGGTTGTTCCAGTAAACAAAATTTCTGGGATCGGCAGAACTCAACACAGCAATTCACCGTCCAATGACTGGCCGCAGCCTCTTTGTTTATTCAAACTGTTGAGTCGCTCATTGAGGGGGAGGGGTACTGTAAAAAGAAATGTGTGAGATAATCGGTTAAATCAGGAAGACTTCCATGCAGGAATTCCCTAATAAATTTGGAGTACTTCTCTACCCCTACTTTTCCTCCCTTAATAGTTGTACCGATTCAAGTAATTAACATTTGAGAAAACCAAGGTGTATCCAGGAATCTTACAATAATACATATGCCATACACTCTACATAAGCCTGTAAGGTCATAAACATAATTTGTATAGTAAACGCGTTTGTTTACAAGACTTCTCTCAAGCATTCGGACTTTGGAGTTTAATGTACTCTAACGGCTTTTCGGTATTCTCAGATTTCCGTTTACGTTAAATGGCGCAAAGCGTCACTTTACTCCACCTTTTGACTTGCCATTTCAAACCTTACTCTGGTAGCGGTTAATTCCCATTTTTGTTTAGATGGATTTAAGAGTTAATTTTACAATGTGTATAGACCAGTTTTATATATGTATGTGTATATGTATATATCTTCTGCTTCTCTTAACTATGTCATATATCTATGAGATTAACATCTTCAATTTGCTCATCATTTTCTTGATCTGACTGCTGCTTTTCTTGTGTTTCTTGTTCCTTGTGCAGATCTTCCTGTTCAGGAACATTTTCCTTATTGACATCTTCGGTTTCTTCATCACTACTTTCGTCATAAATTCTCGAAGCCTTAATTAATTTTTCAATGACCTCATTATCAGTTGCAAAAAATTGTTTTAATTCATTTGAAATTTCAATCTCTTCCTTTTCATTAAATGAATCTTCTTCTATATATATAAATATAAATTGTCGTCTAGAATCTTTTGTGAACTCAATAATAGCATCTTCAACAATCAGGAATTGAATATAATCGATATTAAAATCCACAACTTTCTTATCTGTAGTTGTAAAACATGTTACATGAACCCAATCAGCAATGTTGTCATTGTCATTATTATCACCACTTTTGACTGAAGGTATCTTATAGAAATATTCAACATCAGATGCAATAATCCCTGTTAAAGCGTACCTCTTTGGTGGTGGTAATGATCGATCTTCTTCATTGCCATGTTTATTTATATAATTCAATATATTATCATAATTTTTAATATCATACTCTAAATTCTTTGCACCCAATTCATGTAATCCATTCGTTAAATTAGTAGTCTTAACTTGAATATTACTTATAAGATCTCCAACATCTTGAATCATATTCTTGGTTTCAACATCAGTTTCTTTCTGATCAATTCCCTTTAAGAATTCAAGTGATTGATTCATAATCTTCTTGATTGGTTTCCCTTCAAATGAATTGAAATTCATAATACTTTGAGTAATACTATTCCTCTGTTTTATCAATTGTCGTTTCTTTGTACTCATTTCCTTTATAACAGATACGTATTTGTTGCTAAATATCTCAGGATAAAAGTATTCATCAATTCTAAATGGTTGAACTCGAAATCCATCATCATCTCCATTCAATTGGAATGTTAAAACAGGTGCAATATTCACAAATTGGACATTACCAACCAGATCTTCATCAGTTTCATCATCACTCCAAAATAAACTGGTCAATGTATCAAATAAATTAAGTGATCTAGATTCAAAATCAATTGGAATAACCGTGATATCATTTTTTGCTTTTTCACTTAAACTCTCAATTGTAGATTCAACTAACGAATTAATACTAATATTATCATTAGGAAATTCTTTAAAAGTATTATCATGCAATACATAATAAAATTTCTTAATGAGATCCTCTAAATCATCAATTCGATCATGTTCAATATCATATTGAAGATCATTAGGTAAGTTTCGTAAAAATAATTGACCACTCATATATGAACGTTTACTATATTGTGGTAATAAAAATGCAAGCATTCGTTGTAATTCGATGATAAATGCTGGTTTAGATTCATTCCCATAAAGATCACTATCATGCTTAAACCAATTATCGGAATATCCATAATCATAATTAGTCTTTTCAGGAGTTAAAAATATTGATTTGAATTTATCATATTGTGATAAGATTACTAATAAGGGTATGATATGATTCTCAAGATAATTTGATCTTTGAGTTAATACAACAGGTGGGAAACTCTTAATACGAGTATAATTAGCTACTTTATCATAAATGGATCCATCATCATCTTCATCACTAAGTTCCATACCTCCTGATTGAACATCAAAAGTTTCTGCTGATCCCTTATGGATATTCTCAAGAAATTGTTTTCTATTAAATAAAGTAGCTGTATAAGCATCTTGATCAGGTTGATTATGATTTTGATTATGATTATCCTTAGGAGGTACTGGTGGTGGAAGTCCATGACCCTTATCTTGTTGAACATCATGTGATGAAGATTGTAATTCAGAAAAGTTAGGTATATCCTGAGGATTCAGAATATTTATTGTATCTTCATACTTTATCAATTGTTGTTGATCATTTACTGATTGTTCAGGTACATCAGTAGAATGAATATCTCCAAACAAGTATGATATTGCCTTCTCAAGATCATTATTGGCTTGATTAAGTGCTCCCATGGCATCTTCACGGGAGAATCCCATTTCCATTAATCGAGTGATATTCAAATCGTTCATATCTATTATTATATATTACAATTATTATACTCAATTACTGTTTAACTACTATTAATTGTTAATTGCCCTTGCCCAAGATCAGTAATAAGGCTCAAAGGGTCTCTTGTGAGTGTGTGGTGCTATGTGCAGTACCCTCATTTTTTGAGATGTTTCGATAAAAAAAAAATTTCGGTGAGTCAATACCAGAGACTACTAAAGTTCTGAAGAGGTCATCTCGAGCTTGTAAATAGTTGATGAAAGTATTGTTGAGAAATTTGTCTTGTTCATTACTTCGTCAGCAGTTTCCCTCAATTAGTTTCGCGTTCAAATCATTCATTCCTACAACCAGTCAAGTAAGATATAAGCATATAATGTCAATTAGTGATAATTTAGCCAAGCTTGGTTTAGATGAACCAACTACTGTATTGGCCAATTCAACCCCAAAATTTAATGTTGTTGATGTTTTTAGAAATTATATTACTTCTGAATTACATAGATTAACTGAAATTGATTCTCAACTTATCTTTAATGCTTTAAATACTCCTGCTACTTTAGATAAAGGTGATTTAATTTTACCATTACCTCAATTAAAATTAAAGGGTAATCCAAAGGAAAAAGCTGGAGAAATTGCTGAAAATTTCAATAAAGGTAAATATGTTAAAGAAATTATTGCTCAAGGTGTATTTTTACAATTTTATTTTAATGAAACTACTTTACTGAATTTAACTATTCATGATTCATTAACTAATAAAACTAATTATGGTTCATTACCAATTGGTGAAGGTAAAAGTGTTGTTGTTGAATTCTCATCTCCAAATATTGCTAAACCTTTCCATGCTGGACATTTAAGATCAACCATTATTGGTGGATTTTTAAGTAATCTTTATGAAAAAGCCGGTTATAATGTTACTAGAATTAATTATCTTGGTGATTGGGGTAAACAATTTGGTATTTTAGCTGTTGGTTTTGATAGATATGGTAGTGAAGAACAATTGGCTGCTGATCCAATTAATCATTTATTTGAAGTTTATGTTAAAATTAATAAAGATATTACTGAAGAAGGTGAAAATTCTGCTACTAATGAAGCTGCTAAAGCTTATTTTAGAAAGATGGAAGATGGTGATGAACAAGCCTTAAAAATCTGGTCAAGATTTAGAGATTTATCTATTGATAAATATATTGCTACTTATAAACGTCTTAATATTATTTATGATGTTTATAGTGGAGAATCTCAAGTTAGTCAAGAATCTATGAAAGATGTTGTTAAATTATTTGAAGAAAAGGGTTTAATTCATGTTGATAGAGGTGCTAAATTAATTGATTTAACTAAATTTAATAAAAAATTAGGTAAATGTTTAATTGAAAAATCTGATGGTACATCACTTTATTTAACTAGAGATGTTGGTGAAGCCATGAAAAGATATAATAAATATAAATTTGATAAGATGATTTATGTTATTGCATCTCAACAAGATTTACATTGTCAACAATTCTTTGAAATTTTAAAACAAATGGGATTTGATTGGGCATCAAAATTAGAACATGTTAATTTTGGTATGGTTCAAGGTATGTCAACTAGAAAGGGTACTGTTGTTTTCTTAGATAATATTTTACAAGAAACTAAAGAAAAGATGCATGAAGTTATGAAAAAGAATGAAGCTAAATATGCACAAATTGAAGATCCTGATAAGATTGCTGATTTAATTGGTATTAGTGCTGTTATGATTCAAGATATGCAATCTAAACGTATTAATAATTATGAATTTAAATGGGATAGAATGACTTCATTTGAAGGTGATACTGGTCCATATTTACAATATGCTCATTCAAGATTAAGTTCTGTTCAAAGAAAATCAGGTATTGAAGATTCTGAATTAGTTAATGCTAATTTAGATTTATTAGTTGAACCATGTGCTCATAATTTGGTTAGAACCATTGCTCAATATCCAGATATTATTAAGAAAGCTTTAAAGACTCATGAACCATCAACTATTGTAACATATTTATTCAATTTAACTCATATTGTTTCTCAATGTTATGATATTTTATGGGTTGCCGGTCAAGAAAAGGAATTAGCTGTAGCTAGATTAGCATTATATGCTAGTGCCAAGCAAGTGTTATATAATGGTATGACCTTGTTAGGTTTAACTCCAGTTGAAAGAATGTAGATTGACGATACTTTACAACTATACATAGTACTAATAAACATTATACATAGAAAATTTAAATCATAACCACTTGAATAAATTTAAGAATTTGAATAAATTTAAGAATTTGTAGTCTTGAAATTAATTTTACAATTACAATTACAATTACAACTACAACTACAACGTTCTATAGCAATCCATATCGATCTATAGTTAGTCATATAATTACAATATTACAAGCTAGACACATTTACAAATTAGTAATCTAATCTACTAAAGCAAAAATAAGCTTTTTAACTTAGACACAGCTGCAAAACTTGTAGGTAACATGCCGGACTAGCCACTTTGTTCTGGGCTGCCTCCTCCGGTGTGGCCTCCGAAAAAAGCTGTTAGTTGCTTAACTATGGTAACTCCTCCAATTGAAATTTAGTATTACTAAACATACATGCCGCAATACTTTGTGTAAGATTAATCCTATCTGCCCCCCAAGCAACTACGGGAGCCAGAGTTTGCATCACGAACCGGGACCCGTTTTTAAATGCTTGCTATTGAAATTTAAAGATAATTTGAATATAATTTGTTAATTTTAATTATCTAACTTCTTTTTGATTCAATTGACCCATTAACAAGTATCAATTATGCTTTCATCTACTTTAAGATCAACTGCTAGAAGTTCAGTTCCTCGTGCTTTAGCTTCAAGATCAGGAGCTATTCGTACCAAAGTTTCATTACCTGATTTAGATTGGGATTATGGTGCATTAGAACCTCATATTTCCGGTAAAATTAATGAACTTCATTATACTAAACATCATGCAACTTATGTTGCTGGTTATAATACTGCCATTGAACAACATGCTGAAGCTAAAGCTAAAGGTGAAGTTAAAAAGACAATTGAATTACAAAAGGCAATTAATTTCCATGGTGGTGGTTATACTAATCATTGTTTATTCTGGAAGAATTTACTTCCTGAAAAGCAAGGTGGTGGTGAACCTCCAAGTTCAGATAGTGAATTTGCTAAACGTATTATTGAACAATATGGTTCTTTAGATAATTTAAAGTCCATCACTAATACTAAATTAGCTGGAATTCAAGGTTCTGGTTGGGCTTTTATTGTTAAAAATAAAGAAAATGGTGGAGCTCTTGATGTTGTAACTACTTTTAATCAAGATACTATCACTGGTCCTTTAGTTCCATTAGTTGCTATTGATGCTTGGGAACATGCTTATTACTTACAATATCAAAATGTTAAAGCCGATTATTTTAAAGCCATTTGGAATGTCATTAACTGGAAGGAGGCTGAAAAGAGATATCAAGTTAATTAAATTACTTTAATTACGTAATTTCGTTTTTGCTTTTATAATATCTACTTTACTCTAATTTATAACTATTTAACAATAAAATTATCTTTTTCATAAATCATGGTATTGTATTAAATTATATAAACAATATAATATTTACAGAGTTTGCAAAGAATTAGTAATATATAAAGAATAAATAAATAAATAAATAAATAGAAGAATTAATAGTAATAACAGTAATCTAATTAAGTAAAAGAACTGAATAGATATAATAATATACATGATGTATACAAAATTATAATAATGATTTAGCTAAAATTGATGAATTAATTGATGATCAAAGGCATTCTTACCCTTTTCATCTCTCTTCCAACTTAATAATCTTAATAAATCAAAATCTAATTCAAAAATTCTTAACTTTCTATCATAATCATTATTTAAACTAGTTACTCCAGAATCACCTGTTACTGCATTATAACAAAGCCAAATTGATTGATCTTTACTAAAATCACTTTGAATACATGCATCATTTTCATGTTCATGACCAACAGAAATAACATGATATCCACAATTGACGATATCATTATGGAATTTTTGACTAGTTTTTGAATTTAAAGGATGTTTTTCATTATATTCTCCAATAATTTTAAATTGTCCAAGTGGTCGAAATTGTGGAATTGGATAATGAAAGAATAATAATTTGAATATATGATTATTAACAGCAGATTTTTGATTAACTCTATAAAGATAATTGATTTGATTATCTTTAAGAACTTGATCTTCACTATCTAAAGTTGTTATATAACCAACTTCCTTTTCATCTTTAACAATTTTAATATTATAATTAGTAAGTCCATGAATATTTTCATGATTTATAATATTAAAACATCCAGGTATTGATCTTAAAAATTCAACAATAGATGTTTTAGATCGAGTAACTGCTTCTCCATCTTTAATACCTTCAAATTCATCACCAAATGTATAAATGAATTTAATACCACGCTTAAGAATAGGTTGTAAAGATTTTAAAATGATTGATTTATAATCGAGTGAACGACTAAGATCAAGTAAATCACCAGTTATTACTACTATTTGAGGGTTTTCCTGTTCAATTGAATGATCAATAAATTCTAAAGTCTTCTGATCGCTTGATAAGATTGGTGGTTCACAATCTAAACACTTAAGACGACCTGAATTTTGTCCAAAATGTAAATCTGATAATTGCATGATTTTAAATTTGGAATCTTGAGTATAGATAACTTGATTTTGTTGTTGGTATGCAAAATGTCCTACATCTTGTAGGAAATGTTGATGCATATTAATGGATAATTTAAACATTGAGATGATTGGATGTAATTCTTCAGCAGTTGGTTTTGGTTGAGAATAGGAACTGAAATAATCCTTTAACGAACTAGCCACCCCTTTTGATGAATCTACCGCGTCTTGCGTCTTTTCATCGTCTTCATCAGATGCTGTTGTACCTGCAAGCGCATCAAATGGACTATCATCCTTTACTATTTCTTTGGGTAGTTCAGGGGATTTGTTATCTTGTTTAACCTCTTTTTGGCTGATTTCTTCTTGATCTTGCTTACTCTGTTGTTTAGCTTGTTCCTTCTTTGTATCTTCTTTCTTTGAAGTTTCTTTCTTAGAGTTTTCAACCTCTTTATCAACAGCTATTTCTTCTTTCTGATCCTTTTCTGAAGATTCAGTTCTCTTTTCAATATCATCATGATTTTTGTTATCTAAATTAGGAGGATGAATCGATTGAAAATATGGCCTTTCATCATGTAATTCATCAGTACCAAACAATAAATCCAAAGTATGAATTATTACAGTATCTGATGAAATTTTCTTACCAATATGAAATTTGGCAAAAAGAGTATACTTATTATTATTTAAGGGTAATTCCTTGACTTCTATTTCATCATCTTCAGTATCATCTGATGAGAATGGTTCAAATGAAAGATCAATCAATAATTTAGAAACTTCCTTTGAAGGATTATACTTAATAATTAAATATTCATTGGACATAGTAGCCGATTTCAAAGTATTTGAAGAAGATTTTTCATAATAATTAATTGGTGGTAAGATTCTTTGATATCCTTTAGGAACTTTACAAGCTGATTCCAGATAACATTTTATAGTTGAAATATCTTCTATTACAACATGTAAAAAGTTTGAAGCAGATTTAGCATCAAAATAATTTAGATTTAAATTATTACTATTATATATATTTGAAGGATAAATGCCACTTGATGATGAATTATGATATGATAATGATGATGTAAAGGATGAATTTCTAAAGAGATAAAATAATCCCAATATATTTAACGTAAGGATTATTATATAGATGAATTTTCTATTAACCTTATGAAAGTATTTGAGTCTTGTTAGTATCATTAGATTAGACATTTTTGATATTATGTAGTTTGCATTGATGTGGAGTAAATTAAGGTTGGTTATGATAATGATTATGTAGGGAAAGTATTAACCTCTATTAAATTTGTATTAGGTGTTTAAAGTATATATATATATATTAAATACTTTTGAACCACCTGAGATTCTGCTGTGAATAGTTGCCTGGTTAATTTGCACTACTTAGCTCGCATACTTAGCCTACGTACTGAACTGCATACTTAGCTTGCATAGATTTCTACATTGCCATAAAGTTTTTTATGCCTCGTAATTTTGATAAAAAATTAAATAATAATGAATAAATTGAAAAACTCCCATACAAAACAAAAAATAATTAGCAAAAATATATAAAAATTTGAGAAATGAAAGGCGGGATAGAAAAATTTATGATATTTTTTTTTTAATATTTTTCTTAAATTGAAAGTTTTGTGTAATTAGCTCTTGCTATTTTTAAACATTGATAGGAATATATATTGCGCTAATGGTTAAACTTCATTCTGTTCTGCTTACCTAATCGCTAAGGCGTATGACGAAGATAGGTTAATGGTCGTACCACCTATAAGTTAACCTAATAGTTATGACGATATAATTTAATTCAATTGATTTAGGGTTTATCCGGCTTTACAATCAAAAATACAACAGATGGAATTCCAAAAGAATGGATCATGGATCATTCAAACAATAGGCCCATTCTAGTATTTTGATTTAATCGAGAACTTGCATTAAGCCTCAATTCATACACGTGACTTGTTCATTACCCTTTAAAAGAAGTCTAGAACTTTTATTTTAGCCTACTGCCGGCAATCTATAACTTCTCCACTTGCCTTTTAAGGTAAATTATATGTAGAGTAAAGATGCAACTCGCGAAACTGTTATACAATTGCCGTGTTATATATATTATACGACCCTCAAATGTTCTACTTGCGTATATATACGCGTTGATGTATTTTATAGTATAGCCTTTGCTTCTTTGTTCTCTACTCAAAATTCATATGTTCACTTGGTTACAGATCCACCAAAGCAAGACTAAGTGCAATACTGTGTGGTTATTCTACAAAAGATCTGACATCGCATCCATTATGAACGCGTTCTGGTTTATGATTATCACAATAAAACAGCAGATTATACGTATGCATCGCTTAACATCGGATACGTGCTTTTGTTCTTTTTTTTTTCTCTTTCATTAAATTTGCTTTTATTCTTAATTAAATAGTGATCTCACAATACAAAAAAGGCGTACAAAAGAACACAAAGTAAATTTTAAATACATACAAATATTTAAGTGAGTTTAAGTTCATTGTATTTTAGTTCAATTATCAATTTCCTTCTGGTGAGCTTCTTCTACTGCCAAGTCTTTTTCAAATTGTTCTTTGCTGACTCCGGATTTCCATCTTAAACCATTGGCAATGTGAGATTTCTTAACAAATCTAGCATCTGGTTCATCATCTTCGTCTCTTTCCTCTCCAAACAATTGTTCTCTAAATGTTAAATCTTTCTTCTCTGGATAATCATTCCAAACAAGTCCACGCTCTTGTAATTCGGGTACCAAGAATTCAACAACATCTTCGAAACTTTGAGGATTGACAGCATAAGTAATGTTAAATCCATCAACTCCACTGACATCAACCCATCTTTCGATTTCATCGGCAACTTCTGATGCAGTACCATATAATACTGGACCTAAACCTCCTACAGTAATCTGTCTAGCAACATATTCTCTGGTCTTTCTGACATCTTGTGGTTCTCCTGGACTAACTTTTGTCCAAAGGTCAACGAATCCTTTGACAGCATTTGAGCCTACATCCTTTAATAAATCGTCATAACCATATTCTCCAATATCAAAACCAGTCCAACCACTAAATAATGCTTGCGCACCTTCTAAATCTCCATACAGTTTATACTCTTTATATTTTGCTTCAGCTTCTTCATGTGTTTGCCCAATAACTGTAGTAATCAATTGCAAGAATTTAATTGAACCGTCTTCCCTGCCATATTTTTCTTTGGCAATTTTCTTAACATCGTTAATTTGAATAGCTAAACTTTCTGGACTAAAAGTTGTGATGAATACAACTTCTGCATTTTTAGCAGCAAATTCTTTTCCTTGTTTTGAAGTACCTGCTTGTAAAATAACTGGTAATCTTTGTGGAGAAGGTTCAGTGATACTTGGCCCTGGAACATTATAATACTTACCTTCATAATTGATCTCTCTAATCTTATCAGGATTGGTGAAAACGCCAGTTTTTTTATTTAATTCAACAGCATCATCAGCCCAACTTGATAATAATAAACGATAAACAACTTGAACGAATTCTTCTGCTCTACCATATCTTTCATCGTGATTTGGTAATGGACCACCATTCAAAAGATTTCTAGCGGCTGAATCTAAGTATGAATTGACAACATTCCAACCAATTCTACCTTTGGTTAAATGATCAAGAGTAGCTATTCTTCTAGCAAAATGGTATGGTGCTTCACTAATAGTACTGAAAGTTACACCAAAAGCCAATTTCTTAGTAACAGCAGCCATAGCACTAACAACCGCACTAGGTTCATTGACTGGCCATTGAGCTCCAGATCTAGCAGCTGCATCTAAATTTCTTGGACCATTATAGACGTCATAACCACCTAATACATCAGCAATGAAAATAGCATTGAATTTCCCCTTTTCCAATAATTGTGCTAAGTAAGTCCAATATTCAATGGTATTATAATTTCTAGACTTATCATCAGGATGCTTCCAAAGACCTGGAGCTTGTAATCCACTACATGCCATATCGAAAGCATTAAGGATAATTCTTTTCTTTTCTTTAGGTTGAGTCATCTTTATAGTTATTACTATTTGTTTAATTTGTTATATTTGAAAAAAAATTAAATTGGTTTAGAAATTTCAGTACCTTTATATATAAACTCTTATGATGTGATCTGCGACAGTTTAGTGGGGATTGAATAAAAATGAGTTTAAATGAAACAATGGTCTTACGCTTTTACGTCACTTACTTCTTGTATAGCCGTTTCACCTACAATTATTATTTCAAATAAGGCCATATTATTTAATTATAGTCCCATTATCTCAGTCTTGGGAGTTGTTGTTCTCTCTTTAAGGTGTGGATCCTGTTCCCCAGAGTGAAAAATTATCAGTTGCAAAATTTACGTTCACTAATAACTATATTTTTTTTTGCTCCAAAAACTGTGGCGTCGCACTTTCAGCCGAACCGATCTATACTAAAGTTCCCGGCCGGTCTCTATAATTCTTATGGGCTCATGTGGATTGCGAAAAGTTCTTGTCAACAGCCCGTCAGTTTGTCATTGAGTCACTGTAATGGATAATAATTGCTTTTACTATGAATCGTTACGATTACAATTACGATTAAGTTATTTCATATCAATATATGTATAATTGTATCACTATTTACACAGATTACTACTAACTATTTATTTTTATGGGGAGAGAGGAATAGTAATAGTCCTATAATCTTTCTTCTCGTAATTCAGCTCCATTACTCTTAATTATATTATAACCCCAGAATCCAATAACATTCAATACACCAACTCTCCAACCATTGAATAATCCAAGACTCTTTACCTTCTCCCAATAACTTCTGTTATCTAAATCATCTTCATTATCACCATTACCTTCATCATTGTCATTATTACTATTATTACTACTATTATTATTAAAGTCATAAGCATTATTATAGTCTTCTTCTCTATTCTCTTTACCTTCTCTATTAATAGATGGTTTATCACTCCATGTAGAATTAAATTCAACAATTAAATTCTCATCTGGATTATCAATAGTTAATACACGATATGGATCTTCAATTAATGATTTAGGCTTTAATAAAAATCTTACTTGTTCCTTTCTTAATAAATTTTCAACTGGTAATTTAATGAAAAATTCCATTATTAACAGTATTAAATTTACAAAAGTATAAACATTGGGTGATGAATAAGAATCAATATTAAATCTAATAAATAACATATAAGGAGCAGTTTTCCGGAATATACTAGTTGAAAATTGATGAAATATGGTTAATAATACAATTGTTGATGGAGGATAAAGTAAATATTGTAAAGGATAATTTCGAATTGATTCTCGAACTGATCTTGTACTTGTTGGTTGAGTATTATTTATTACTGTAGTTGAATTAGCCAAATTTGCAATCAGAGATTCTTGTGATATATATCCATCAAAATTTCCAGATTGTTTATCTTCTAAAGTAGGTTTGTTAAATTGAGTTATCATTAATCTAATCTTAATTAAATCTAAAGGCATTAATACTAATCCAGTTAAAACACATGCTGAAACACTTAACCATAAACTTCTTAAAGGATCATTAGAATGAGTTAAATCTAAAAAGAATGGATCAGGAATACCTAAGAATGGAGATATAAATCCTGTAATCCATGCTTCTATAGTATGAGATAAAGTTTGATGAATAAATGATGCATTAATTCCTCTGAATAATGCAAATGGTCCATCTTTCCCAAGTATAGCTGACATAATATCTACAGTATGCATGGAAATTGGTTGAATTTTATACTTTTTATTCTTCTTAGATGATGAACGTTTATTTGCTTTCTTTTTAGGAGATGATACGGAATCAAATCTATTAGAATAATGTAAACTTTCACTAGGAGATTGGAAATAGTTTACTTCATAATCAGAAGTATTATCATCATTATCAAGTATTTCAGAGTTAGTTAATAATCTCTTATCATTATTAGTGGTGATTGTTGATTTACTATCAGATGACTTTTTATTAAAATCAAATTCACCAACTTGTAATACTAATCTAACTATTTCTAAAGGTTGACTCAATAATACTTTACAATAGTTCTTAACAAAGTTCCATAATAAGTTTTTAAATAATTCAGTTAAATTATTAGTATCAAAATATTCTTGAAATTCCAAATCATATATATAGTTTTTATCATTACTACTACCAGAAAGGATTGATGATGATGAATTACCAAATCTACGACTAGTTCCATGAATACCAACTCCTCCTCCAGGAATGTATCTTAATTTCCCTCCAGTATTCTCATTAACTGATTGTTCTATAATTGAACTTGATAATGATGGAGTTATTGCTTTATTATATTCAGTATCTACTAATCCAATCCCTGGTTTGAATATTACTGAATATCCCGCATTAAACGTATCATGATCATAATATGGTCTTAAGGGATGTGCTCCATCGCCTATACCACCCAATTTGTTACTGGACATTTGTTATGGTGTGGTGATATTTAACTAATGCTGGTTCGCTGTTTAGCTGTTTTGGATGTTTTGGTTGTTTTATTATAATTATCAGATGATGGCGTTGTTTTCGATGATTCCATATCTCGCCTATTTTTCGGTCTCGGTTTAGGTGGTGCCCCAGAATTACTAGTGAGTTTTACCTGAGAGGTTTAGTACGGTAGATATACATTTATAATTATACATTAAATACATTCTATATGACTGTGGTATGGGTGTGTTGGAGGTGGCAATTGTAGTTAGCTTGGTGTATGTTTTTTGCTGTAAACCCTTTTCGGTATAGTTATTACTCTTGCTGTTGCTCTTGTTGTTGTTGTTCCAATTCTCCAGCTCTTGCTATTAAAAATTCTCCTAACACTCTTAATGGATCTTCAGGCTTTTCTTTACCTATATGTCTCAATCCCTCTAATAGATGAGCCGTAAGATGTTTATTTAAATATTGTCTAACACTAGATCCTCCCACAATCTCATGAATTGGAGGTCTATCTGTAGCAGTAAAAGCCCCTTCTGGATCTACTGAACCTTCTCGTGGTGATTCGGTTTTGAATCGTTTAGATGGCGGTATTGCTGATGCAACAGGGTTAGATACAGGATTTGGTGTTGGAGTGCTAGTGCTCTGTTTCCCATTAACTGTTGGTATATTATTAGTAGTCGCAGGAGTAGCAGTACTAGTAGTATGTTCTATGGTTTCTGAAGCTATAGATGACACCTGATCATCTCCTGTTTCCAGAACTATAGAAGTCAGCTGTAACTCCTGCTCCACTTGTGATTGTGATTCCATCGTGATCGTAATTACTGATTAAGTTCGACTTCTACTATGACTTACAACTGTAAAGTTATTATACTATAAATTTCAAAATCCTGCATACTTTTGATCACACCCATATTTTTTAAAACAGATGTTTGGATCCTAAACCTTTGGGGCTATACAACAATCACTAGTCAACTCAATAAGAATGGATCCATTTAATGAAGTTAAGGAAGATGCTTGGAACACCGTCAGTAACTTAGAAGGAATACTAGCGACAAGTTCGATTACTCCGGAGGTTATTCTTGATTATAATAATAATTATCAAGAATTACTAGAAATATATGAAGATTTAAAGCAAGCTCATACAATTGGGCAACAACAGCCTGAGAAATTTCATCTTACAACTCAAGATAATTATAATAGAAAGGCTATTTTGAAAGATTTGGAACTGAAAATAAGTGATATTCAATTACAGTGGAATCATTTACAATCTGATAATTCAAGGTCTAGTACTCCATTAATGAATAGAAAACCAAGAGATGTAACTACTATGTCTAATAGAATAAGTCAAGATGGTAATGAAAGTATACCGGAAAATCCATTTAGTGATGTTGCTAATCTTGAAACTGGATTAACTCAATTTCAACAACAACAGTTGATTCAAGAACAAGATTTACATTTAGATAGTATTCATGATACTATGAGAAATTTGAATCAACAGGCAATGATGATGGGTAATGAGTTAGAAGAACAAGGAATAATGTTAGATGAATTAGATAATGAAATAGATACGGTAGCAAACAAAGTTCAACGAGGGTTAAAAAGAATGAATCATGTATTAGAAAAGAACCGTGAAACAGCTAGTAATTGGTGTATAGGAATATTGACGGTTGCCTTATGTATACTATTGATTTTAGTTATCGCATTATAAGAAAGTACATAGTTAATTAATGGAAACTATTTAATATTTAATATATTTAATGATTAACCTTCTAAGGCATACCCAAGGTCTACACCTTCAAATTCCTTTGCTAGATTTACTAATTTCTCCTTGAGCTCACGTAAATTGGAAGTATTGGGTTCGAATCTTGGTAACCATTCTGCAACTCCATGTTGCAAAATACCCTTAGCTCTTGTTTTACCATGTTTCACATGACCATAAGATCCATGAAGTGTAATTCTCACATTTTTCGAAGAGTATGAAGCTCTGTGTAAGATATTATTATTATAAAACACCAAATCACCAGGGTGTAAGGGTACTTTAATTTGACCCTCAATGTATTGTTGTCTATCCTCAGCAATCGTCTTCTCTCTTTCATAGACAGTTCTAATCCGTTTGTGAGATCCTGGAATGACTATGAGACAATCATCTTCAGTTAAAGCTAAATTAAATTGAGCTCCAGCATATGAATTCTCCTGTAAAACTTCGGCTTCTTCTTCTGGAGTTACTTCTGGCTTGATAGTATCTCTATGCCAATCTAAACCAAAATCAGTTAATGGATTAATTAACATATTAAAGAGTTCCATAGATAATTCTGATTTATCAGCTTGTAAAATGTCACCTACAACATTAAGCATCTTTTCACTTGAATAACATTCATGAAATGGTTGAGCCATTTCCTTCAAGTCTGGATGTAATAAACCTGTTACTCCCCATATATCAGGACTGAAGTTTTTAGGCCATGGAGGGAATTGTTTTCCTCTGGTTCTAACATAGGGCCAATTACCATCTCTAGCATATTTAATTACTGTTTCAGCAGCTGCTTTATACTTATTAATTTCTTCAGGTGTAAGGAATTCTCTTATTATAGTAAATCCTTGTTCATCTATTTCATCATGATATTTATGAGGTATTTGGCTAGGCATTGTTCCTCAAAAAGATGTAGTTAAGTATCTACAAAGTTATCGCATAGTATAACTCATAAAACTACAGAGTCTTCCTTTATTTGCTATTTATAATAAGGACATATCAATTGGTTAGATCAAGTACGTTACATCGGTACCCCAACCTTAAACTAGTTATAGAAAAAATGTAACATGTAGATAGGGTGCCCAAGAAAAAAAGGGTATATAGTTTATTAACCGGAATGCGCCTTACTGCTAATCAGTCCCAAAAAGGAAATAAACCATTTTTTACAACCAAAATGATCTCAAGACCATTCACATGTATCACGCCAAATATGACGTCAAGTAAGCTCTTAACATGCTATACGAACAGTCTAAAGAATTAACACTTTTGAGCCTCTAAGATCTGGAGAACATAACTATTCTAAGAAGGGGACAGAAGGCACTGGCAACATTGGCAATCTGCCCTTATTCCAGAGATAACAGGTGAATCACAGGTCACAGATGATTCAGGGTACACTCGAATATTAAACTTAGAGAAAGTTACTTATTGTTATGATACTTCATAAATTTAAATTATCGTACAATGTAGAATATTGAAGAACGTACATTGAACCATTCATTTTATAATACTAAGGCCTTCTACAATGGGTAAATAAATCTCTTATTCTCTAAATCCGTCAAGTCTAACATGGAAATATCAACTTCTCGTCTAACTAAGTTACCGTTTTCATCAACTTCATCAACGTATCCAATTGTATCTTCAATTAAGCCATCTTCGACTTGCTTTAACCATATTAATCTTTCTTTATTTCTCTTCACAAGGATGTAACGAATAATTTGTAAAACTATTGGAGATGAAACCCAAGCACCAGCAATCATGAGACCCCAAGCTGGATAATATCTGGGTTTATCTTTGCTTCTCCAGAATTGAGGAGCAATTAAGTTAATAACACTATATGCCAAAAACCAAATAATTGTTCGACTTAATTTCTTTGTATATCCAGCAGCAGATCCTTGTGACCAAGTTAAGGCAGCAGTATAACATATACCTGTACCATTACTTAAGAAGATTGCAGCTAATAGTCCAATCTTCCTTTCCCAAGGTAATGAAATTGCTAATATACCACCAAGTAATGCAACCATACAGAATAATGTTCCTACATGTGCAGCTTGATTTCTAAAGAAGAATAATAATGTTCCTCCTGCAATTGCTAATACAGCACTCCAACATGCACTTGCAATTGATACAAGAGTAGAAGACAAATTTGAAAATCCTAAATCTTTGTAAATGATAGCTGATTGGAATGTCATATTATTGGCAAACATCAATAAGAATACATGTAATCCAAAAAGCCACAGGACTGGGTCTCTAAGAGATTCTTTAATTTGATATTTCTTAACTGTTTTTTGTTCGATAGATGATCTAGTAGCTGCTTTGACTCTATTAATTATATGAACTCTTTCTTCAATTGTAAAAACTTTATAAGTAGCTGGATTATCTGGGTAAAAAAAGAAGCATGCAAGTGAAAGAGCAAACGTAAAAGCTCCAATGATTGCCCAGTAAACTTTCCAAGGTGCCACTCCAACTACAAATTGAACAGCATAGGCAATTAAACCACCAGGAATACCAGCTGCCAAACAACTAATCCACCAAATTTGACTAACAATTTGATGTTCATCAGGTTTTAAGAACATAGCTAAGGTATGTTGTATAGCAGCAGTAACTCCAGCTTCTGAAAAACCTAATAAAAATCTAATAATAGCTAAACCCAGGAAATTATGAGCTGTCAATTGAATTAAAGAAAGAAAAGACCAAGTAAATGTCACTATAGTTATGTATCTCGATAACCTTATTTTTTGAAATAAAATATGACTAGGAACTTGAGATATCAAATATCCGACATAAAATAAGGTTTGTAAATTATTAAAACTTTCTTGAGTTAAATGAGCATCTTGAAAAAGTCCCAATAAAGTTGCATAACCCATAGCATTTTTATCCAAAAACAACGTAAAATTAACTAAAAATCCAATTAGAACTACAGAAAAGTAAATTTTATGAACTAATTTCTTTTCCTGCTCTGGTGTTAATGGCTGAACTTTATCACCATAATCTTGAATTAATTTTAATGTCAAATCAGCATATTTCTCATCAACTTCTTTGATTTTTCCATCATTCCGGCTTTCTAAATCTTCTTCAACTGAATGTTGTTCAATATTTTCATTGGTTTTATAATTTGCCAATACTTGGTTATCATTCGAAGAAGAAACCGAAGGGGTTGGAGTTGGAGCCATTGGCAATAACTGATATGCTTTATTTTTCTTCTTAAACATTTCGATATGATTATACTTGATTTAATGGTCTATATATATTACTTCATGGTGTAACCGCCTTTATACGCGTAAATCTGTGGATACTATTCGTAATTCAACTTTCCAATAATAGCAATTGTTTAATTTCTTGGTTTAAACCTTAACAGGTACTAGTCAATGAAAGAGTTCCTTGATCTTTATTAATTTTATTTTTGCGTTAGTGGAGGAATTTTGCACCTTTTACGGACTGTGGCACATCAATTCAATTGCGGATATAAAATGTAACAATTAATTATAATCAAACTAGATCTTGAAATAATTGAACTATAAAGTCTTGGCCAATTATCTGACTCTAATAGTAGTATCAAGTAGTTGTGGTTGAAAGTTTATTCTAGAATTTGTAGCCTTGTAATAACTGCGGCTTTATCATTGTTTGGGGGATACAAAAAGATAACCGGGCATGCTAGCACATATTGAAAATCATTGCTATTTCATTTTATAACCGATTTCTATTTATTTATGACCGACTAGACAATGAGTATCAGTAAGGAGTCATCCATTATCATTATTGGATCAGGAGTTTTTGGATTATCGACAGCTTATAATCTAACTAATGAAGGATATAAAAATATCACTATCTATGATAAGACAGATTTGTACGCAATTAGTTATCTAGGAGGTAACACGGCTTCTGCGGATCTTAATAAAGTATTTCGCTCATTTTATGGTAATGAAGAACATTATCACAAACTAGCCATTGAGTCTAGAAAGATATTTGAGCAATGGGATAAAGAATTGCAATCGCCTGAACTTGATACAGAATTTGTTTCTAAAGTTTCACGATTGAAAATAATTGATGATTCGGGTTTAATCAGATTGAATACGGAAATCACCGATCATGAATTGAAGAATCTTGATACATTTTCCAAGTCTGGATTGAGACATACTCAATTTATTCTTGATGATGAGGAAGATGTGGCTAGGGGTAAAGGTTCAGGTTGGGAACATAAGTTGAATTTGTTTGATGTGGGGAAGTATAAGGGTGTCTTAGATTCTACTAGTGGTATTCTCTATGCTTCTAGAGCTTGTACTTATGTACAATTTATCCTTCGTAAAAGAGGGGTTAGGTTCATCACTGGTGGTGAGCAAGGACAGGTCAAGCAGATAATTCAAACCGACGATGGTGTAGTAAAGGGAATTGAGACAGAAGATGGGGTTAAACATTATGCCGATTTAACTATATTGGCTGCCGGTCCTTGGTCAGCTAAACTTTTACCTGAATTAACTAGACTAAGTGAAGCACAATCTGGGAATGTTATACATTTAAAGATTCCTAATGTAGAAGGCCTCCAAGAGAAATATTCTCCAAAGAATTTTCCTATTCTTTTATGGAAAGTCAATCCTACAGACCGTAGTGGCATTGGAATATTCCCACTAACAGTCCCTGAAAACATAATGAAAATTATTGTTATGCGTCCAAAATTTAGAAATCCTACACCTGTTGGTAATGAAGGTGTTCATACCCCTTCTATTCCCTTAGAAGATGAATCAAGAATAACCAAGGTAGTTATATCAAAAGTAAAGGAATTCATTTCTGAATTCTTTCCGGATTTAATTTCTCATGGTACAAAGATATTCAAGACGGAAGTCTTATGGTATACAGATGCTATTAATAATAATTTCATCATAGACTATGTTCCTAGTAGAAAAAATTTGGTAGTTGTTACTGGTGGTTCTGGTCACGGATTTAAGTTCTTACCTAACCTAGGTAAGTTTGTAGTACGCCTACTCGAGGGGCATGATGTAGATGGGTACCTTCCAATTTTCAAATGGAGAGATCCTGAAACGTTCGAAGATATTAATGGAATTAGAGATTCAGATAGAATTTTGAAACAACAGGAATTTGCAACTGCTGAAGATTTACAATTAGACTAATTTCGTATAAATACTAAATAAATATTGTTTTGCACCCAATAAAAGTTCAATCAAATTCAATTTATCTAATCATCCTCTAAACTATGGTATTATTATGTATTATATTGCTAATTACTGAATCTACAATTCTCTCTAAGGTGTATGTTGCAACCCCACTATTTTGGGACATTTTGATTGGCATTTCCCAAATAGGAAGGTAGCGACGCAATTACATAATCTAAATTCTACGTCAAACCATTTGCTAGACACACATCTCAAACCATATATGATCGTATTGTATCAGTAATGATATCCATGGTGACCGTATAATGAGGTAGAAATGTTATATATAAGATGGAGAAAGCTAACTAGATTAATCAAAATGGGTATGTTCTGACGCTCTTTTTGGAGACAGTGTCGGCTAAATTTCCGATTTTGATATGAAATCTTCTCATTTTGTGGTTGCGGCCAGAAAAAGATTGTAAAAGTTTGACCGCTAACAGCAACTAACTCCAGATATCAAACCATAAGTTTGTATTATATATATTCAATAAATTCCCAGAAGTCAAGCCTAACTGAGAGGTAGAAAGAATAAGTAACAGTAAAAAAAAGAGGACATTAGATAGCATGGCACCATCCGAAACAAAAGTCGACACCACAACTACCATTTCAGATGTTCAACCTACAACATCCAAAGGATATGCAGTTGGTCAAAGAGGTAGTCACAATATCGCCAAAGGTGGTCAACATCCATATCCATTACCTAAATTCACAGATAAATATGCCGAACGAGAATGGATTCTTCAACATATGGCAGCTGCATTCAGAGTATTTGCTAGAAAAGGCTATAGCGAAGGTACAGCAGGTCATATAAGTGTTCGTGATCCAGTTGATCCTACAACTTTCTGGATTAATCCTTTAGGGAAGCATTTTGGACTTATGAAAAAATCTGACTTTGTTCATGTTAATGAAGCAGGAGAAATCTTACCTGATGGATCTCAAATTGCTATTAATGCAGCTGGTTTTGCTATTCATAGTGCTATTCATCAAGCTCGTCCAAACGTAAATGCTGCATGTCATGCTCATTCTGTTTACGGTAAAGCATGGAGTGCCATAGGTAGAGAATTGGATATGATTAATCAAGATGTTTGTACATTTTATAAGTCTCATTCAGTTTATAATGATTTTGGTGGAGTAGCTTTAGAATTAGAAGAAGGGAAACATATTGCCAAAGCTTTAGGAAATGGTAAAGGTGTTATATTAAGAAACCATGGTTTATTAACAGTAGGAGAAACAGTAGATGAGGCTGCTTATTTATTCACATTATTGGAAAGAAGTTGCGAAACTCAAATTTTAGCAGAAAGTGCTTTGAGACCAGGTGAACAATTACTTGTTGCAGGGGAAGAAGAAGCTGCCTACACAGAACATCAAGCAGGAGATTCTGAAACTTTATATACCGAATTTCAACCTGAATATGATATGGAGGTATATTTAAATGATGATTTTTTGAATTAGGTAGCTACTACCATATTGTCCGTTTGCAACTTTTGTAGTATTTTATCACTGGTAAACTAAAGAATAGTACAATTAAGTATAGTTAAGTATAGTTAAGAAATGTATTTCATATGTATGCACAATGAGTTATGTGTAATTTGTTTAGTCTAATGCGATGTATGGGAAGGAAGTAAGTAAGCATTTAGCGGAAGTGTTCTGCGAGGTGTACCTACATAGAGCATTGAATGAAATTATAGTCATTGCAGTATTTTTGCTACTCATAACCATTACGCTTTACGATGGGCAACGTTCGGGAAACACTCATGTAATTACAAAATATTCCAATGAGCCGGAAGCTATACAATACCAGGTAATTGGTCTGGACTGCACAATGGTCAATTTGGGGGCTCTCAATGCTTTTAAAGAATTATAAAATAATTATAATCAATTATAAACATGAATAGATCATAACCGTCTAGTTATAAAGGTCCATAATGGAAATGTGTCACATTTCCGGAGGTGACCAATTTTTTTTTGTTCTGTAGGTTTTTTTTCGAGGAGGGATTAAGCTTGTAGAGCATAGCAGCTGGGTACAGGTTGAGATGAATTTACGCACTTGTACATCATGTGCTGGAGAATGTACAGGAAGATCTCTTAAAGTTACGAAATAATAATATTCTTGAAGCAAGAATAGGAAGTATGACAAACAAGAAAAAAACCGTTGTACTTTATAGACTGTCAAATTAAGAATGTGTAATGGCGAAGACTTAGATGAGATGAGAGAAGAAAAGACGAATAGAAACAATTTAGAATGGTTAAAGCCGATGAACATGTGTCAGCTTTGTGTGTAAATCTTTTGTTCAATATGTGGTCCGTGTAGCTGCGTTGTGGTTATGATTAGACGAAGGAACAAATTAACACATAAATAAACATAAACAAATAGAACCTCAATTGGCTTAGAGATCAGCTGGTTGAAACACTAGTAATAATAATAACCAGACCAATTGGAAATGTACAATACATTAGCATTCAAAAAAAAAAACTCAAGCCAAGCTAATTTACTATTAATTTAAATGAGAAAAAGTAGATTGGTATGAGATAAGAGTAATCAATTTATGACATTCAATTCTGTAAATTGGATCCTAGCCAAAAAAGTTTAATCATAATAATTATAATAACGTTAAATAATATTGTGTAATAATAGATAAAAAAAAGGGGTTTGACCGAGTCAATTGCTAGATCACTTTGCGTGTTTGTTTCAATAATAGCACTGGACCAATGAAATATACCTATTGAGGAATAAGATTTACTAGGAACAAGGGACAAAGATTTCGTGTGGAGAATTTAGTAGAGTGTGAATAAAGATTCAAAAGTATAGATTAGTGTGGGCATTGTTCTTTCGGTCCTTCTAGCGTTTTAGAATTTAGCGTAATTAGGAGAATTACTTAAAATAAATTATTATTGCCACAATTCTGTATTACGATTGGCCAAAAAGAAAATATTATTCACAAAAGTGCATTGTGTTGGGAGTTTGGAGGAAATTATTATTTTAAATGATAATTGGGAATTAATCCCCTCATCCATTACATATTGGTTCACTTAAACTAATAACAGAATAAGATAACGATGATCATTAGCTCAAGGCACGTTCATTTAAAAGTAGAGGGCAACAATAAGCTAGATACTTTCATTACTAGGTGTTACTACATTGTTCTTTAATGGAAATGTACTATAAATTACTAGTAAGTAAACGGAATATTATGGCATCGACAATTACAGTCCTAATACTAGAACTAATACTAAAACTAATACTAATACTAATACTAAAACTAATACTAGTGCTTGGGCTAGAACCAGTAGTATCCAAACGATTATTAGTTCATTAGTGTGATAGATCATACATTAACAATGATGCATGGTATTTGTCGTTGTATATGTAGCGCGGCCCCAGATCTCTCGATCATCCACCGGTAAAAATCGACTAATAATTCTTCATGTAGATGAGCTTCATTTGATTTTTGATTTTGGTCTTCATTTCTCTTGCTTTTTAGTTAAAGTTCTTAAAGAATATCAGTCATTCCCTCACCGTCTCCTCTCTATAACTTTAATACGATTGTTATCTCCTTTTCCCACTTATTTTTATTATACTTTGAAGTACGTCCGTAATAAAATATTTTTTAATTTCTTTTTGTTATACGCATTATGCATCACCTTTATATTTTTTTACGTTTTTTTACTCAACCCACAGCAGAGTCGTGCCCCGACATGGCAATCCAATAAATAAATTGACGCACATTTCCATCTCCTTTACTAGTTTCATGTAATCAATATATAGCAAGTAATTAGCTTATTATCAGAATAATAAAGGGTTCAGTCAAGAGGACCAAACCTTTAAATACCGCTACCAATTAGTTTAGATATTATTACCATATTGTAAACAATTATTACCATACTTTATCATACTTAACTTTAAGCAATAGATCATGTCTGCCATAGTTAAGAAAAGAATTAGAAGATTACCCCCAGACAAGAGACAGAAAGTTTCAACTGCTTGTGATTCTTGTAAGAAAAGAAAGTTCAGATGTACAGGAGAAAAGCCTTGTGAAACCTGTGTGAAAAAGGGATATGAATGTACATATACCATTGTCGATAAGAGATCCTTAAAGGCTGAAAGAATGGCCAAGTTGAAATTAATGAAGTCTCAACAACAACCTGAACAACAACTTGTATTTGATAATAACCAGAATGCCACTCAACTCATATTTAATCAACAAGCTCAAGTCCATTTGCAACCAGTTCCTCAGTTGAATGAATTAGACTTGTACAATGATCATTTAAGTCCTAATACTATAATTAATCAACAACAAGTTCATCAACAACAACATTATGTCCACAACCATATGGTATCGCCACGAGACTCATTAACAGTATCCTCTGTTTCCACTGTGTCTCCTCCCAACAATATAGATTCACCTTCAAATACATATATTCCAAAATCTTTACAACCTTTATTGTCTTTCCCATTGAATGACAATGAACAGGAGAATGAAAATGAAAACGAAAATGAAAATGGAAGTGAAAATGAACTTACAAGAGACCATGGTAGTTCATCATCTTCGTCATCTACTCCAAATTCAGCATTCTCTTTGAATTCAGCTCCTTCTTCATCTTCATCACAACAAAACTCTCCATCCCCAGATATTCCTTCCTACAAGATTAGTTATGAACAACAGAAACAAATTCAAGAACAAAAATCACAAGCTGATGTCAAATCACAAAGTACATCAACAGATGGAGGAGTTTCCAATCAAAATGGAAAGTGTATCATCTTACTTAATGATAAATCAGGTACATTTAGATTTATGGGAGAAACTGCCCCATTATCACTCTTGTATGAATCAAGAAACATTGTAATACAATATATTGGAGCCGGCTCTAATTTCACAGAAAAGTTGCAATGTTGTCCAGTAATTGATAGACCTGATTTACCACCACAAAGAATTTTGGGAAATCAATTACCTAAATTTGAAGATGCTAAGATGTATGTTGAATACTTTAAAAGAAACATTAATGATTCATTTTTTGTATTCAACATGCATGAATTCAATCAGGATTACTTGAATATGATTTATAATCATGATGAGTTAATTCCCGATGATGAGAAGAAACGGAAGTTGATTATTTTATACTTGGTGTTAGCCATTGGATCACTTTATTCTCATTATTCCCAATATATTTTGGATTCTCCTCGTTCTCAAGCTTTGTTTGATAATGCTATTTATTTATTACAAGATACTGTACAAGATTCCGAGTTATGGGTAGTTATTGCCAATTACTTAATCTTTCATTATTATCAAGGGGTACTTAAGAAATCTACCGCATGGATTCATTTAAATTTGGCTATAAAGTTTGCTCAATCATTAGGTATGCATAGAATGTTTGTTAATGATCAATTCAATTATAAATCAGAAGATAGTGAGTATAAGAAGAAATTATTCCGTAGTCTTTATGCATCTGATAGAATGTCATCTATATTTATTGGTAGACCATTATCAGTAAATGATTATGATTATGATGATCCTATCTTAACTAGTCCAAATGCTAATTTTGCTATGGCAGGACTTGATTTTAATTCTAAATGTCAAATTGAATTAACCAGAATATGTCATATAGTGGGGAAGATTGTGGCTAATTTCTATCAAGGTAGAATTATTGATATTCATAAGGCTAAGAAATTAGCTATTGAATTAAAGATATGGTCTATGAATTTAGATGAACAATTATCTATTAATAATATCTTTAATGCCGATACTTCAATTAATAATAATGAAAATCATCAAAATACTCATATCCTTTTACTTGTACATCTTATGCAACTATGGGCAATTATGCTTCTTAGTCGTCCATACTTTATGTTTGAAGCAGCTGCTAAACTTAATCCACTGTCTCCAGGTTCTTCTACATTAAAGAATAGAAAACTTTCAATTCAATTTTATAAAGCTGCCGTTAAGGCTAGTATATTGGCAATCAAATTAGTCAATTATTATATGAATACTGCTTATAAACAAATAATTCGTCGTGAATGTTATGCCATAATAACTTGTTGTTTTTATGGAAGTTTAGTACTTGGAATTGCTGTATTACATGGAGGATTTGCTGATGATGATCATTCAGAAATGGAACTTATTGATACTCTTAAAATGGCTTCTAATATGCTTCATGAATTTACTCCAACTAATAAAGGAGCTGAAAGATATGAAGATATTGTTAATGACTTAATTGAAGTATTACTTGTCCATCGTCAACGTCGTGATTCAGATATTACCATAACTACCCAAGACTTTATTGGTAAACAACTCGATAAAGAATTGGAAAGTCTCGATTTTAGAGTTCTTAATGATTACAACTTTATTGATGATCCTACCAATAATTTGGAATCCCTTGTTAAATTCCAGCAATTCTTTGTATCACCGGAATTATTGCCTAATGTTGAAGTTATGGCCGCCGCAGCAGCAGCTGCAGCAGATATAAATTCTCCTGGTAATGATTTCTCATTCTTAGGATCCAATGGCTCTACTACTATGCCTCATGATTACGGTAACTACGAATTACTCTACGGTGACAAGTACTGAAAAATTTTGAAAAAATTTGAAAAATTGCCTTTTAGCTATTTATTTCTGTGTGAACACTTTCTTTACTGACTTTTTCTTTACTTCTTATATACTGTTATATCCTTTTATCCTTTTCTTCACTTCTGCCTATGGTCTAATACATGTGATTACCGACTGCCTAAATTTAAATTTTTCTTTCGCGGTAATGTAGGGAGGTGTAGTGAGCTGTCGCACTAAAAACTCTGTAGTTAATTTAGTGAGCTCACTATTACATGCTCAGTAGCTCAGTAGCTCAGTAAATTAGTGACTCAGTAACTGACTGGGAGCTCAGTAAATTAGTGAATCACTAGCGTAGTTTCTCAGTAGCACATACCATACTCAATTAGTAGTCAGTATCACTATCACTATGCATATCAGTAGCTTAGTCGTGGTGGTACTATCGTTACTCACAGGAGCCATGGCTTCCCCTGGAGATGACCTCTGGGCCACTATCGATTGTAAGTACCAATGTGAACAAATTTCCTGTGAAAATAATCGTCACTATTATCGTATCCATCCCGACCGATACTATAATCCTAGTTGGAGATTTACTGAGGGTCCATTACCAAAATATCTTGAATGGTTAGCATGGGATTGTTATTCGAATTGTGATTATCAATGTCAACGTATAATTACTGAGGAAAGACGTAATAATCATGAAGAAATATATCAATTCCATGGGAAATGGCCATTTGTGCGAGTAGCTGGTATTCAAGAAGTTACATCAGTAATTTTCTCCTTAGGCAACCTTGTGGTCCATGGATTGGGGTTAAAAAAGATTTGGCATAAATGGAATTCTATTCCTAATGGTCCTGCTCATGATCGATTAAAATCTCAGTATATTAATCTTATATTAATGACTTTAGTATCTATGGGTGCTTGGATATTTTCAACTATCTTTCATATAAGAGATTTAGATATTACTGAAAAGTTGGATTATTATTGTGCTGGTTTAACTGTACTTATGGGATTTCATACTTTAGGTGCTAGATTTGGAGAATTATATCTTGAATCTAATGCTAATTATAGATATGCCTTTTCTGCCATTTGTGCTGTAAGTTATGCTGGTCATATTGCTCGTTTAGTTATTGATTGGTCTTATACATATAATATGAGAGCTAATATATTTATTGGTATACTTCAAAACATTTGTCTTGTGGGTATTTGTTACTATATCTATTCCCATTATTACTATCTTGAACAAGATAATAAATCCACTCAGAATCATTTGAAGTATATTGATTTCAGAGCCATTATTTTACCATCATTCTTCTCTCGATCTCCTAAATTATATTCATTATATCCATTAATGTTAGGAATCATAGTTATACTTGGAATGTCACTTGAAATCTTTGATTTCCCTCCTATATTCTATGATCTTGTGGATGCTCATTCCTTATGGCATTTAGTAACTATCTTTCCTGCGTATTTCGGCTGGTATGATTGGATGCTTTGGGATATTCATGAAAATGTATGGCCTCATATCCAACAAGTGGAATTACTAAATGTTAAAAAGAATGAATAGTGTAATATATCTAGATCTATATTTATATATTTATTTACTTATATACTTATATATTTGTTATTGTAATTATTATTGTACATATACAGTTAATCATCATCAAGATCAAGTTCTTCAACTGGTGGAACATATGGTGGAGGTTTAAAGAATTCTTGATCTTGTTCTACAAATGCTTTGAATTTAGCTTTATCTTGTACAAATTGATAAAGATATTCCAATTCTAAATCATGAACTTGTCTACCCAACATTACTAAAGTATGTAAAGGTTCTCCACTATCATATTCAGTTAATTCTTTTAATGTTGCTGCTTTAAATGCTTGAGTGGGAGATCCTAATCTTGATACTGCAACACAAGGAGTATTTTCTGTATAAGCTTGTTCCTTTCTGATATCTTCAATTTCAATTAATTGACTAGCAGCAGTTGCAATATCCATATATCTTGGTGGTTCATAAATTAATCTACCTCTTGCCATATTTTCAATACTTTGTTCTTTAACTTTAATATCTAATAAAATTAATGTATGTAAACCAATTTTTCTATTTTCCATAATCTTATTATAAAATGAATCTGGTTTCCAACTATCAGTAAAGAAAACAAGTGATATAGTTTGTCCAAATTGATATAATTGTAATCCACAAGCTCCTACAGCATTCATAACACTAGCATTATGAATAGTTTCTACTTTAATACCTAATTCACGAGCTCTAATGACTAAATCGGTATGAGTAGTAGCTCCAAATGGATCTCCTACCACTAAAAACGCAATATCATCTTCTTCTGCTCCTGCCAATATATCATCCGATCCAATTTCAACTAATTCTCTATCGGCCAATATGATTTCTCTACCATAGAATTTTTCTAAGCTTGCTTGATCGGCTGCCATAAGTATGGAAGTGTATGCCTCCAAATAAACTCGTTTACATTTCTTGACAGTTTCCAATCCTCGGACAGTAATGTCCGATTCATATGATAATCCTAGCCCAATTAGGTATAACATTGTTACGGTTACTATGGGGGAATCGTATAGCTTATGGCCTCATCGTATATGAATTTTTTTTGTATGGGCCATCGCATAGTTAATGGATCACGTGAAAACATTGAAAATTTTGTTTACATTAAGTTACTTAGTCTTTTGCTATAATAAACAATTAATTCTGATTAAGGAGGGGAAGTCATTATGAAGAGGAATACTAGAAGGAAAGTAAAGCTTGAAGAGGATCTCAAATCTTACCGAGAATTACTTAAACGGGCATCGGTTTTGGAGAAGGATATCCCGCCGCGAAGACCCAAGAGACTGGACCGAGTTGTCAAGCAAGATCAGGAACAGGAACAAGAACAGCAACAGATATCGGAAAAGACACCGGAACAGATACCGATTGTGGTTAAATTAGAACCCGTAGAGAAGCCATCGAACCATTCTAGAAGTTTCCGAAATACCAGATCACGAACTAAACGACTTGCACAAGAGAATGTTATAGTTAAACAGGAAATCATACCGAGACATCCTCAAGTTACAAGAAATCATACAGTTCCCCGTAGACCCAAATTTCTTAGTACTACTGGGAATAAGAAAGTCAATCAGATTAATCTGACAAGGAAACTACAACTACAACATAATAACATTAAACCAACTGCAATTGGTGATATTAAACTACATAATACGAATTATAGTAACCAAATACAGCTCGACCACACTTACTCCAATCTAATAAATATGATAAAATCCAACATTTCCCAAAACAATATTGATATACCTTTAATAAATAATTTAGTGCCTAAGAATTTACAATATGAAATGAACCGATTTCATTTCAATGATACATCTGCTTCAAATACATTATTTATCCCCCAGATGTCCTTCAATAGTCATGATATAGATTCCTTCTTTGACTTCCTTAATGGAGTCGAAAAGAATCATCCCGATAAATTAAAATATGATATTCCTTTAGTATGATGGGCCCTAAATAGAGCATAAACCATCAATGATTTGAAATAATAGAGAATCTTTAGCCAATCCACCCGTCAGTTCAGTTATTAATTGTTTAACTTTGACTTCATACGCTTTAATAAGACTCTTAGTATAATCCAAAGACCGCGATTCTGATTTCATATAGTCAATACATTCTTTTATTTCATCACTTTTCTCTTTTCTTTCTTGACTTGAAGTTGTAGATACCAATAATCTACGAACCGGAGAGTCATTTGAATTAAGTAAACAATGTAATATTGGCAAAGACAATTTGCCTTCAATTAAATCTTCTCCTACAACACCCTTCATATGAGAATACTTGGGATCAACCAAATTTAGATAATCATCTCTAATTTGATATATAATTCCTAAAAGATTAGCAATAGGAATAAGATCATACTCTACTTTAGTAGGGGCAAATAAGTGTAATAAACGAATCGATAATCGAAATAATCCACCAGTCTTATCCTTAATCATTTGAAGATAATCTTCAATATTTGGCATTTGTCCATCAGCTTCAATTAATTGAAAATCATCTCTCCAGTAAAGATCTAATCCTTGACCATGATGTAAATTTAACATCTCATCGATTAATATTTGCAGGGTGGCGAATTTTAATTTATCCATATTAATCTCATGATTTGAAAGGGTTTGATAAAGTACTGGTAGATCCGTTTGTGCCTTTTGTAAAGCTATGAAATACATCAAGTTCCCACAATTAATAGTTAAGGGTACTCCATATTTGGTATGAGCAGAAGGTATGCCTCGTCTATAATCGGAGGAATCCTCGATATCATCAATTAATAATGACAGATTATGGAATATAGAAATAATCTCCCCTATAAGTTCCAAAAGTTGCTGATGTTCGATATGGTAATACAATTTATTGAATGCCACTAAGAATCGATTTCTCACATTCTGATTATTAGAAGGAACATTCGTCAAATAATCATACGGTTGGACTATGGGATCCAAGGGCTCTCTGCTATACCCATCAGTATGCTGTATTATACTATCTATGTCAATATTTGCGCTATCCATGATGCTAGATTATTGGCGAAGTCGGTAATAGATCAAAAAAATTAGCGGCAAATATATTAGCATTTTTGCGCACAGACACGAAATAATGTCTACGTAAGCATAAGCCGATCTGCTGATTGTACTTCACCATATAGTAATACAATAATATAGTCACTATACACTATACGATAGTAACTTTACAGTAGTATTATACATACTATACATCTCAACGTAGTACAATACCACACTTTTATACAACAATGGACCGAATAGGTGACTGGATAACATCCATACCTCCTGTGACCAGATACTGGTCTATGTTAATCTTTGCAGTAGGATTCTACTCAAGTATAGCTCCTGAGAATAAAATGCTTGTACTATTCATACCAGATAAGGCATTTTCATCTCAACCATGGAGATTGATAACGGGATTCTGTTATTTTGGAGATCTATCCCTTGAATTAGTAATAAATATGGTACTTTCATTAAAAGCAGTACGATACCTTGAAGAATCATATACTTGTCCTTCATCATTATTCCCCACATCCATTGTAAATACTTTAACACCAAATCAAAAGGCTAAATTATCAGGCTTAAGAGAAAATTACAAGACATTAGACTTTTTATATTTATTAGTACAAATTTGTGTATCATTATTAGTACTAGTAACTTATGCCTTCTATAAAATGAATTACAAGATTTTATCTCCTGGATTATTATTGGATGATTCCTTACTCTACATTTGGTGTAGATGCAATCCTAATTTAATAGTTCCATTATTTGGAATTATTAATTTGAAAATTGCATATTTACCATTATGTTATACACTAATTAGGTCAATATTAGAAGGAATCTTCCTTAAAGATTTGGACCGATTGGTCCATTTGGATTTTTCAGTATTTACCAGTATGTTTGCATTTAGACATGCCACGGCTTATGGGGTAGCACATTTTTGGTGGTATTACCGTTATTTCATCATTCCAAAATTTTATGCCGATGAAAAACTCAAAACTGATTTGAGACATAATACTAATGCCATATATGGAGTTAAAAAGTATGATGTAGTACCAAATCTTATAAGACTACTAGTGTTACCTCCGTGGTATTGGTGCACGATCGGCTTAATGAAACTTAATCGAGCCTAAGTCTAAATTTATTATATAATTTAATATAATATATATGAATTCTGTAAAATTATACTTTTTAATTGAACGGTCTTATACATTGTACTTGTACTGTACAATGGACCAGACCTGAAATAAATAGTTAAGCTAATTCCGAATGGCCACTAAAATGTACAATTACTACAATTACTACAATTACTTCCCCACAGCCTGACGTACGTAAAGTTTAAAGTTTGATTATACATATTATACATATAATGCATTGTTTACCGCAAACCCATTTTGGGGGCCCCACGGAGGATTCCTACCAATCGGTTATATTACTTATATTCTATGTCAGGATTGTTTTCCTATTTGGGAACACAACCCGTACCAAAACCACAAACAAAAATTTATTTTTGGTGGGGTAAATTTTCCAGGGTAACCATATCCTGAAGAAACTATTTAATGGCGCCAGAATTCCTTTAAAATTGTTCGGAATATAGTTAATAGTATAGATCTTATATTATATATAGGATAATTTAATAATTGTAAATTAAGAATGACAGATTTTGATGTTGATAGTGTTTTATCACAATTAACAGTTGATGAAAAAATTGGATTGTTGGCAGGGATCGATTTCTGGCATACATTCCCAGTTCATAGATTAGGAGTTCCAAGTCTTAGATTTAGTGATGGACCTAATGGGATTAGAGGTACTAAATTTTTTAATAGTACCCCTTCTGGATGTTTCCCATGTGGTACAGGATTAGCTGCAACTTTTGATAAAGAATTATTACATAAAGCTGGTAGATTAATGGGTGAAGAAGCTAAACATAAGGGAGCTCATGTAATTTTAGGTCCAACCATTAATATTCAAAGAGGTCCACTTGGTGGTAGAGGATTTGAATCATTTAGTGAAGATCCTTATTTAACTGGTTTAGTTGCTACTTCAATTATTAAGGGAATTCAAGATGAAGGAATTGCTGCAACTATTAAACATTATGTTTGTAATGATTTAGAAGATGATCGTAATTCAAGTAATTCTGTTGTATCTGAAAGAGCTTTAAGAGAAATTTATTTAGAACCATTTAGATTGGCTTTAAAGAATTCTGATCCAAAGGCTTTAATGACTTCTTACAATAAAGTTAATGGAACTCATGCTTCTCAATCTAAAAAATTATTACAAGATATTTTAAGAGATGAATGGAAATGGACTGGTACTATCATGTCTGATTGGTATGGTACTTATACTAGTAATAATGCTATTGAAAATGGTTTAGATCTTGAAATGCCTGGTCCAACTAATTTCAGAAGAGTTCTGGAAATTAAACATATGATTTCTACTAAAGAATTACATATTAAAGATGTAGATGCTAGAGTCAGAAGTGTTTTAAATTTAGTTAAATTCGCCTTAAAATCTGGAGTTCCAGAAGGTGGAGCTGAAGATACTAAAAACAATACTCCAGAAACTAGTGCTCTTTTAAGAAAATTAGCTCAAGATTCTATTGTTTTACTTAAAAATGAAGGAGATATTTTACCATTAAAGAAATCTGAAACTGTGGCTGTTATTGGACCAAATGCTAAATACCCAGCTTATTGTGGTGGTGGATCTGCTTCACTTCGTGCTTATTATACTACTACACCATATGATTCAATTTCTGAAAAAGTTGGAACTAAACCTCCTTATCTGGTTGGTGCTAATGGTCATAGATTATTACCTGGTTTAGCTGCTAATTTAGTTAATCCAGTTACTAATGGTACTGGTTATAATTTAAAATTCTATAAAGAACCAAAGGGTACTCCAAATAGAACATTATTTGATGAATATGATTTAGAAGTTTCAACTGTTTTCCTTATTGATTATTATAATTCTAAAGTTAAAGATGATTTATATTATATTGATTTTGATGGTGAGTTTACTCCAGAAGAATCAGGTGAATATGAATTTAGTGCTTCTGTTATTGGTACTGCTCAAATCTTTGTTGATGGTAAATTAGTTGTAGATAATAAGACTAAACAAAGAAGAGGTAATTCATTCTTTAATTCTGGTTCTGATGAAGTTAAAGGTAGAATTGAACTTAAAGAAGGTAAAACTTATAAAATTGCTATTGAATTTGGTTCTCGTCCAACTTTTACTATTGCTCAAGGTGAAGCTAGTGTTATTACTGGAGGTGGTGGTGTTGTTTTAGGTTTACAAAAAGTTATTAATGAAGAAGATGAAATTAAGAAGGCAGTATCCATTGCTAAATCAGTAGATAAAGTTGTATTAAATATTGGTTTAAATCAAGAATGGGAGTCTGAAGGTTTTGATAGAACCCATATGGATTTAGTTGGTTTACAAAATAAATTGGTTGAAGCAGTATTAGAAGCTAATCCTAATACTGTTATTGTAAATCAATCTGGTACTCCAGTAGCATTCCCATGGTTATCTAAAGCTAAAGCCTTAGTTCATGCTTGGTATGGAGGTAATGAAGGTGGTAATGCAATTGCTGATGTATTATATGGAGATATTAATCCAAGTGGTAAATTATCATTAACTTTTCCAATTAAGAATAGTGATAATCCAGCTTATTTACACTTTAAAACCGAAAGAGGTAGAGTCTGGTACTCTGAAGATATCTTTGTAGGTTATAGATATTATGAAAAATTAGAAAGATCAGTTGCTTTCCCATTTGGTTATGGTTTATCATATACTGATTTTACTATTTCTGATTTAAAGATTAATACTGAAGAAGCTAAGGATAAATTAGATATTAGTGTTACTGTAAAGAACACTGGTAAACTTGCTGGATCTGAAGTTGTTCAAATTTATATTGGTAAAAAAGATTCTGATGTCATTAGACCAGTTAAAGTATTAAAGGGATTTGAAAAAGTTACGCTTAAAGCTGGTGCTAAACAAACTGTAACTTCAACCTTAAGTTTGAAAGAATCCGTATCATTCTTTGATGAGTATCAAGAAGAATGGTCGGTTCAACTGGGAGAATATCAAGTTTATGTTGGTAACAGTAGTGACAATGCCACTACCGTTGGAACTTTCAATATTGAGAAGGGATTCTTCTGGCTTGGTAATTAAAAGAACATGAAACAGAGTGAATGGAAAATAAAATAAAACTAATTAAAAATAAATTAAAATTAAATTAATTAAAACTAAATTAAAACTAAATTAAAATTAAAATTAAAATTAAACTATTTGTTATACAGTATAGAAGTTTCGTAAAAGATATATATGTATTAATAAATAAATTTGGTATTAGTAGAACGCTAATGTATATAAATAAATAATAACGAATGAGAAATGAGAAATGAGAAATGAAAACCAAACAGTAGCTTTATTCATTACTTCAGAACACCAATGTCTTTGATTTTTTCAATTTCTTGAGTCAACACTACTGGAACTTCAATTGATTCATGTTCTGCAACAGATCTAGTACTAGGTTTAGTAGTAGTATCATTGGTTGATCTTTCAGAAGGGGTCATAACCAAATCAGAGAAATTGATCTTGAACCCTCTATCTTCATCATCATCAGCAGTTTCATTCCATTCTGCTAATTCCTTTTGATGTTCTCTTTCAATAGCATAATTAACAGCATCCAATACATTTCCACACATATGCTTTGGAGTATACTTAGGAACAGTACCTTCTTGATATACTCCTGTCTTAACCAAAATTGAATGCCATGAAGCATCATGAGAATTAGCAAATCTAATATCGGATTCAGGAGTATCACCTACAAAATAGACAGTAGAAGCAGGAGGCAATTCCAAAGTAATCTTATCCTTCTTAGTAACAATAGCCAAAGGTTCTTTAATATCATCAGATGAATCATCATCATCATAAGATTCCAATTTATTTTGATTAATGATTTCTTCACCTTCATCATTAATTAAAATATCTGCTTCAGTCAAAGCATTTGGATCACTTATAGATAATTTCTTTAAATGTTCATCTAATACACCTTGTCTCCAATGAGTTAATACTTTATTGGCAAATTTAAAAGTACCCTTTTGAGGTTTACCAAATCTATTAACTTTTAATTCTTTACCAGTATGTTCACGATATAAAGCAGCAATTGAAACTTGAAGAGCTCCCATACCATATCTTGATAATTTATAATTAGTTGCCCATATAAAATCAGAATGAGCAAAATAAATTTGAGGACCCTCATCATAAGTTTTTGATTCAGTACCCATAACTCCATTTTTACTTAATAATAATTCAAGAATAATTTGTTGATCAGCAGCCCAATTTCTTGAATCAGCAAATACTAAAATTGCATCAATTGAAACTTTTGAAAAATCAACATCTTTAGCAGCTACTTTATCTTCTTCACTTAAATCATGATAAGGTGAAACAGCAGGATTCCATTTTAAAACATCTAATGGAGTATAAACATTTTTAAATCCATAAGATTCAGCCACATTTCTACATACATTACCAATACCTCCAACAACTAATACATTACTATAAATACCTACTAAATCTTTCATTGGAGTATGACCTTGAATGATTTGTTCAGGTGTAATAGTACAATGTAATCTCTTTGATAAATCTTGAGCTCTTACAGCTTCAGGTTTCCCACCTCCATTAGTTACAAATATTGATGGGACTTTAATATTATATTTATTTTCTCCATTTAATAATTTCATTGCTTCAATAGCAGCAGGAATTGTATCAGGACCTCTTAAAATCACTCCATCTATATCAAAACAAAAGGCATAAGATGCCACTCTTTCATGATCAATAACAACTTTCTTCTTTCTCCTTATTATTGAAGAATTTCTTGATAATTTAGCTAATGAATCAACTTTCTTTAAATCTGATGAAGAAGCTTTAGATAATGAAGTTGAAGATGATAATTTAGTAAGACCATTTTGCCATTGATTTAAATCAGACAATGATAATGAAGATACTCTATGTTTTCTTGTAGTAGGTTGTAAATCATCAATTCCATCATTATTAAGATAAGATTGGAAAGATGGAGATGCTGAAGCGATAGCAGCAGATTCATGAGAAGTTTTGTCAGTAGTCATAATTGAAATTTGTAACTTAGTTAATAATATTTAATGAACGAATTGAAAGTTATATATTTATTATATGGTTATTTATATTTTAATTATACATAACCTAATTGAACATTTTGGAAAATGTCAAATTATTTATATAGATATGGGACTTAAATTCGTTGCCTAATTGGGATGATAGTGGCCTGCACACAGTTCTAAGGACTATGTTCAAGCGCATTTGGAATGAAAATGACATCATTTTACACTTTAAATTTCTTTTTTGACATCCTGCAGACAATAACACGACACATGAGTCTCATAGAATTCTTAGAACTTTATTTATTTTTAATGTTAATGTTAATTTTAATTTTAATTTTTATTTCTTTCAACCCTTGAATGAGATTATTGCTATTGCAATTTATTCATTCTAAAAAATACCTCAATTAATTACTTGTACTTCGGAAATGGTTTGATAATTAATTCAAATTCAAGAGATTGTTCACATACTATTTGGTGTCATCATTATGTGTAGGTATATACGTTTGTAAATCTCTAAACTAATCTAAGTCGATTCATACGCAGGGATACGACGCGTTCGCTAAACCTGCAAAGTGGTCTGAAACAAAGTTATCGTTACGATATGGATCACGTGAAGTTGACGTCCTCGTTACAGTTGGGCCTTTTTCACTAATTGGGTTAATGCATTAGATTGCTATTCAATTTGAAAACTGTATAGTTAATCATTTGTGGATAGTAATTATATGTAACTTGTGCCGTTAGACAATTTTGCGTATTTTCTAAATAATAACTAATTTACGCAAACAAACTTGAGCGCTAATTTAATTATATCTAATTTAATTTAATTTGCGCTTCCATAATATTTAATTTTCATCCTGATGGCACATTACGTCTCTTCAATGACCATTACAATAATGATGGAGTAAAAGTACAACGATTACAATTGAATTACATCAGATACATTATAATCCAAAAATAGCAATAAAAATAAAGTGTGCAGCGCATCTCATATCTATTTCCTTAATAGCAATTATAATTACTTATTTTCTAATGACGCATTCGTAAATTGGATGCATCAACCCCTAACAAATCAAGTTATGCTCAACTTGTATATGGATTCAAGGCATGTGGATACTTGTTTGTAATGTTATAGTAAAATTTGCATAGAAAATTAACTACAGTATTACTCTCGGTTAACTGTGGTACTAATGTGTATTGAGATTTGAATACTTAGCGTTAATGAACAAGTTTTCATTAAAGCTGTTGTGCTACGAATTATAACCCAAGAGAATCGGATATTGGAGTTTACGCAATAGTTTAATAATGAAAAGCTTTTTTACAACTCTTGACCACTAAGTTCTGTCCACTGGCATGGTTCAACTTGTCTGTCTATTACAAACAGGTAATTGTAGAAAGTAAAATACTGAAGCTTTGGCAAATCATCTATATTAATTTTTATCCAGTCCACCAAGTTTCTTATTTCTTGCTTAATCTCAATATAGTCAATACCGTAATCATACTTACTTCTATGGAAGAACATGTCAATTGTTTGTAAGGTTGTTGGTTCATATGTTATACCAATTTTTACGATCACAAGGCTTGACCCAAAATAATTAAGCAAATTCTTGACTACATTGCAATGCTCTTTAATATACGCTAATTGAGGAGATACGCGAACATCTATACAAATATTTTGAAGTGGAGCCTTGTAGAATTGTTCGAACTGACATCTTCTAATGTAACGGTCATCATTCATAACAAGTGTTTTCAAATTGGGCATTGAGTTCACCAAATACGGGTAATATCTACTATTTGATAGTTGAAGTTCTTCGATATTTTCACAACGAAATAATAATAAAGCTACTTTCAACACTGCTTCACAAAAATCAATAGAATATAAATATAACGAATTGGCTTCAGAAAAGATCCCTTGTAATTGGGTGACACCTTCAAGATCTCCTAATAGCCCTTTGCTTGATAATATCACCTTCTTGAACGAGCAGATGATATTTCTGTTACTTCTTATAAATTCAATATAAGTTCCCAGTCGGTAAGATAAATCTATACGTAATGTTTTAGACCTGAAAGTTGAAGAATGTCCATTAAAAAAATCGTCTGTAAAAGCATTCCTCTCAAGTTGGTCAATTGTCATGTAATATTTATCAGTTAGTCCATATTCTCTTTCTACAATCTCAAATCTTTTCACGAAACTATAAATAGACAGCGAAAAGTAAAGAGATTTATACTTTCCAGACAAAACTGTGGAATTTGTATATGCAAATGTATTCAATTTTCGATGAAATATGGCATAGTCTTGTAAATCCTCAATATCTGGATCTGAAAGAGTAATAAAAGCCCTCTTGAATAATTTGCTCATACATAACGAATAAAACCTTGAATTGGTAAGACATAGGTCTAGAACATCGAACTGGTTCAAGTGATCTATGATTTGAACTAAAATTTCATCAGGTAAAGACTCTAAACTAGTAGCTGGATTTGGTGGCTTTAGGGTAGATTTAACACATGTTGCAGTTCGATTTATCCATGCCTCATTGAGAATAAAGGCTATATTAGACACCGAGAAAGCCATTATTTTAAATGCCATAGTAGATGAAGTATTTATTGGTCTTGACAAAAACTACATTTATACAAGAGAAAGTTGCGCTAATAACAACCCCAAAAGCTTTAATGTTGCCCTTTTTTTTGCAACTTCCACTACAACTTTGTGTTTTCGTGCCCCTTTATTTTCAGACTATTCACTGCTTTCCTATTTGGTAAAAACAGACACGAATACAATATTGTATTAATATCTCAGATTCCCCTTAATACTGAAGATTTATGTAAAATTATGGAATACACAAAGAAGGGAATTGACTTAATAAGAAGACAAGTAAATGTATTTAATTCGAGCCTAGCATTAGGTCACGGGCCAACTGGGTTAAGAAGAGTGCCCGTGTTTGCACCGGTATTTTTGAAGAAAACATCCAAGCATCCTTCAAATTAGTATGTGTCCAAGCATCCAAGCATCCACGCATCCACGAAATTTGCTTCCCAAAACGGAGATTTGCCGGGTTAAGAACCATGGTGGCTAAATATAACGCTAACGCAAAACTTGGTTTGCACACGATATTATGCGAAAATTGATATTTGGGCAATGGACGACCTGTTCATAAATGGCTGCAAGTTTACTTGACTCTACACATGCAATACTGTCAAAACTATATTCATGAATATAGGTATAGTTCTTATGTAAATTAGTTAATATTTATAAATTTTTGGAAGAATGCAATAGTTCTACTGTCATATGAACATCCTTTACAGAAGGACATTGTTAATAGTCTAGATAGACTAGCGTATACCACCTATCATTATTAAAACATTCTGAATAAGAAAAGTATTCACAAAAGTATTATCTGTTTCTTCTTTGGTGGTTTTACTCAATAACGTAAACTTTCAGTATAAAATAATTTTATGTACTCATAATACGACATGCAATAAAAACCTATTTATGAACTAAAGACGTGCGTCAATACTTTTTCCTCATTTTTTACAGCCATTTCCTGTGGGTAAACTTGAATAGAAGATAAATATTTAACAGCAGCCCCACTAGACACAACAACAGGGTGATAAACTAAATCTAAATACCAAATGTAGCAATAAGAATAAAATTATTGTGGAATTGAATTGATCAGTACGTTCAAATATAGAAATAGAGTAATATGATGATAAGTGAAATAGTATATGTATTCAATCATTTTATACAGTAAGGTTGACATTGAAAAGGTTGAATTACTTTGACCATAGTATACTTTACCCCTGCTAATGATACATATGACCACACACATGAACATTAGCATACTATGTCACTAAGGAAATGAATATTAGTTAGCAATTACCCTTTTTAGATATTCATTGTACAAATTGTCTAAGTGTAGATATTATCGGTGGTTATTGATGATTCTTATTAGGCTTGGCTAATAGAGTTTGTCTTTAGAGATGATCTCTAACAATTTCAAATAAGTTTTAGTAGGTAAACTGATAATTCGAAGTTTGTTTCAGTCGCCCTTTTTTATATCAGAACTTAGATTTATTTGCTGTAAAAATCTCACTTTTTTAAAATCTCTTAGTTTTAGAACTTACTCTTTTGGCGGTAAATCTAGTCAATATGAAATTTGGAGCCAAATTGTTTATTTCCATATTGGGAAAAGCATCCAATATAGTATGTAACTGTCTTACAATTATATATACAGTTAAAAACGACGAAGAAAAAGAAAAAATTGGCAAGGCATTATTTTCATTATTAGGTGTATCATCTATTCTTTTACTTGGTACTATAATTGTTAAAACAAGAAAATACCTACTTGTTAAGAAAGCCTTAAAACTTGCACAAGAACTTAAACTTGAAGCTTTGATTAAACATGAGTTGAATAATTTTTTAAATTTTATAACAAATCTTGTTAGTCATAATATAAATGTTACTGACTATAAACTCAGGATTAATAGGGCAGCTGTTGAAGCTCAAAACCAAAATCAAATTATGCTTTTCCAAGAAGAATTTATTCAATATTTAGGTAATATAGAAGAATTTAAATTGATGCTTTTAGTGTTTGTTATGCTGGTTTCAGATTACTATTCGAAATAAGATCAATTCAAATTAGAGTTAAATAACTTCACAACAACTAACTCTATGAAATATAATTTAAAAAAATTAGGGGAACTGAAACGTCAAGTACTCATTAGTAAAAATGATGTTATAACAATTTCTGTTGCACTTCAATCTATTAAACTGAATTTAGAAAACTTGGAAAGAAGATTAACAGAACTAGAGAATCAAACATGAAGATGTTGAATCTCCATTATAATTTATCTTCAACGCCTTCAATTAAAAATCCTTTCAAATTTGCTGTAGTATGGGAATAATGATAGCTTATGAATAATATATAGAGTAAAATATAAAATATAATATGATTTATATTCACAAAATGTGTAATCTTGAATACTTTCTTAAATATATCCCATATTACTGTTCTGATCAAGAGTATATAATTTAAAAGATCAAACAACTAATCAATATAGCAAAACCACCAACAGAGCGTCTTTATAAAATTTTACAATTACTCAATTTTATAATAACTCTGGTTCTACTTAGGAAGGATCGATATCATTGAAGAACCTCCATGTCACTTTAAATCATATGCAACATGCTCTAATTTCATATACTCAATGTCTCAGCATTTCAAAAGCCTTGTCTATATAAATACAGGCTCGGTAGAAGATAAACGTAAAAGACTAATACGATTACTTGGCTAAAGTAGACCTGTAGCTTCATCATGGTGTTGGACCCCAGTAGGTTCTATACTACGCCAATTGGGCTAGGCACCAGGATTGAGCTAGATTGATTATTCGAGCTAAAGCTCAATTGGTCTTTAATATTCATACGAGAAATTTTGAAAGTTTAAGGAAAAAGGGGTTTAGTATTAAAAAGAAGATCAGATGATATTAATGTAACACTTAAAATGATCAAACATTATAGACATGGCTGGATTTAAGCTAGAGTTTATCTGTGTTATTCAAATAACTGTTCAATTAATGGACCAACCTGAAGTAGATTAATTTTATGTTTTGCACCAATCATATTTAATTTTATATTTTCTATTTGATTCATATTTGGTGTAATATATAGAAAGTATATAAATAATACAGTAAGTATATAAACAATATAGTAAGTATATAAGGAATACATAAATGTCATAAATGCAGTATTACGATCTGTTAGTCAACGCTCCTAACTTCAATACATAAATATAGTCATATGTCATGTATATGGTCAAGTTCATAATCCACGTTATCAACAAAAACTCCCACTTAAGTATAGTGCAGCATGACATCATGTAATCATCTAACTCTATCGTTTATTATTCTACATTGACAGGTCAAGCGATAAAAATATGGGGTACAATTATACCGAGCAAGAAAACTTCCTAATTTAGAAATAACCTAAAATTTCACAGCCTCTTGACGAAATGTCGATGCAACCTTAATAAACTATTTAATGAACACAACAACCTATATAGACAGTAGACATTAGATATTTAACTACTTAGTTAAATAATTAGTTACGTCGTTATTTAGTTGGTTTAGGCTGTAGAGAATGCTTTCAATTGCTGGGCTCTACGCCATTTTAGGTATCCCCGTTAGACTAATTATTCTTATCCTCAAGTATCCGCTAGTTGGAGGAATTGGTCGTAAATTCAAACGTAACTTGACACAATCATTAAAATTGCTTGTATGTCGCTCAGGATTATTGGTCCCCATCAGAGATTGTCGGTATATCTGTATCTACAGTAATAATTTCCTATTAAATAGGATCATTAAACTTGTTAATCATAGTTTGATTAAATCATTACCGCACTTTGGTGAAAAGTATGATCAGAACTCTTTTTGGATTGTTAAACAACCTGATAGAAAGCCGGATGATCCGGTAATTATATACCTCCATGGTGGTGGTTACTACTTTGAAACCATGCCTTCACAAATTCAATCGTTAATAACAATCTATAAGTTATTAGATCCTGAATTACAATCTCGAGTATCAATATTACACTTGGGATATAAATTAGCCTGTCGAGGATTTTCAATTCCATGTCAATTACTTCAACTTCATGAAACTTATAAAAAACTTGCTAATGAAGATGGAGCAACTAATATTCTGTTTATTGGAGATTCTGCTGGAGGAAATTTAGCTATTGTATATCCTCAATATTTGAAATTAATAGCCAATAAGCAAGATTCAGATATACAACTTCCATATCCTAAGAAACTTGTATTGGTAAGTCCCTGGACTAAAGTCAGACCTGAAGCACAACAATATGTTCCGGGGAATTCATACTATGATAATAATCCTCGTGATATGATTAGATATGAAGCATTTAGTGATTTAGATAGATCTAAATGTATTGTAGGAACTTCTAATGTTCATTCATTATTGGTATCACCAGGAAATACTACTTTACAACGACAAGATTGGATTTCAGTTCCTACATTTTCATCACCTGATTCGGATGTATTAGTTATTGTAGGTGAAGATGAAGTATTTAGAGATGATGTATTACTTTGGGGGAAATATGCCTTAGATGTTCCCTTATATGATGATCATAAATATGGAGATTCAGAGGGGAAGAATTTAGATAAGATGTGGTATATTCGAACTAATGATGGTAAAAGAGCAGGTGTTAGATTCTATGTAGAACCATGGGGAGTTCATGATTCGACTTTCTTCTTTGAAACTCATTTAATTAAGAGAGTTAATAACTTGAAATTAAATGATGTAGATACTCAAGAGTTTTATGGGATTTCAAGAATAGCCCAATTTTTAAATGATACGTTAAAATAGAAGTATATATTAAGATTGTAATAAGACATTTAAAGAATGAAATGAGAAAGAAATGAGAAAGAAATATGTAATATGAAATATAAAATAACAAGGAGAATATCTAATCTTCTAAGGGTTCACTAGCTTTCTTCATTCTGGCGATTTTAACTAATGGACTTAAAGAAGATACATCATCACTCTCTAAAATGAACTTATCCAATAATAGTTCATCAGCAGTAGCTCTACGATTGAAATCTACTTGTAAACACCAACTTAAGAATTTTCTAATATCATAACTAAGAGCTTCTGGTTCCTTTAATTTTGGTGTACCATTAGTTGCAATTAAATATAATGCTCTTAAGGGAGTCTCATTTAAATAAGGTGGTTCACCTTCAATCATTTCAATAATCATAATCCCTAATGACCAAATATCAACTTTTGGTCCATATTCTTTACGAGATACAACTTCTGGTGCCATCCAATATGGTGTACCAACCATAGTTGTTCTCTTTAAATTTAATTCATTAATTTGGGCACAAAATCCAAAATCCGTCATCTTAATATTCCCATCAATATTTAATAAAATATTATCGGATTTAATATCTCGATGAATAACTCCCTTTGAATGTAAAAATTTTAATCCTTTAAGAGTTTCTCGACATACTGCACCAATTTGTCCTTCTGTCATAACACTATGAGTTACAATTTCTGTTAAGGATCCTCCTTCCATATATTCCATAATTACCCATAAATCTCCCTTTAATAAATATGAATCAATGAAATTAACAATGTTTGGATGTTTAGAACCTTTCATAACTAAAATTTCATTAATAATTAATTCTTTCTTGGGTTGTTGTTCTAAATTCATTTGTTTAATGGCAACTGTAGCATTACGATTAGCCAATTCATGAGCAATATAAACTCCTCCACTTGCACCTTGACCAATCTTTGTTAAATCAGTATACATCGTATTAGGATCTCCTTCACTACATATCGATTGTAATTTAGCAATGATTTGAAGATTCTTTCTCTTCTTTTCTTCACGTTTCTTCTGAGATAAAATGGCTGCTTGTTTAGCATCTCGAACTGGTTGTTGGTTAGATTTCTTTCTCTGTACTTCTGGAGATGATTTATTCAGTTGTTGTTGTTGCTGCTGCTGTTGTTGTCTTTCAGACTGCTTCTCTTCATACTTTTCACGAGAAATAGGAGCTGTGACATCAGCTAATGCTTGTTGTGGACTAGTAAGTATAGGACCAGCAGTTGGAGGTTGAGCTTGAGCTTGAGATTTATATTGAACTGGAGCTTGTGCTTGAACTGGAACTTGAACCGGAGCTTGAGATTGAACAGGAACTTGGCCAGGAGCTTGAGCTGAAGATGGAGGTGGAGGTGGAGGCCTATGCGATTTGAAATCATCTTTTCTTTGTTTAGGATAATGTAAAGGAGCTTCATCTCGATTGAATTTAGAAGTTTGTTGTAATGGAGCAGTAGTAGCACCACCATTCTTTAACAGTTGTTGTTTCTCATGTAATTGAAATTGATGAGAAGTTGTTAATGAAGAATTATGAGATTTAGATTTCGGTATTGAAGTAGTAGTTCCAGTGGTTGGAGGAGGAGGAGGTGGAGGATGAGGAATATTGACAAACTTCTCCTTTTTAGATCCACTTCTAAGACCCTTAATGGATTTAGAAGAGATGGATTTCGATATGAATGAGGTGGATTTCTTAGGAGATATCTCATCAGGAGGTGGTACAGCTTGTTTAGGAGTTGGTTGAGCTGAAGGAGGTCTTGGAGCCGGTCTTGAAGGGATGAATTGACTTTCATAAGAGGAACTGGCAGGAGTTTTAGGTTGAGTAGGATACTGTTGTTGAGGAGTAGCAGGGATTTGTGGTTGTTGTTGCTGCTGCTGTTGTTGTTGTTGTTGTTGGACTGGAAGTGGAGGAGCCGAACTACCACCACTTGGCTGAGAATACAGCAGATGATGAGGAGTTTGAGGAGTTAAAGGATCTCGAGGAGGACTATGAGAACCAGTAAATGGAGTTCCTGGAGTAGTTGGAGTTGTAGATTCTAAATTCGTCATACTACCCGTACTATTACTATTATTGTTAATGGTTTTATAACTGGAAGAACTACTATTCTCAAAATGGAATTTCTTAAACGCATTATCATCGGGATTCTCATTAGAATCTTGATAAAATGCTACAATATCCATTACTGCTTGAGGATGTTGTTGTTGTTCACGTTTAGAAATCCCACTGGCTGATAAAAGTTTTTCCCATTCAACTGGTAAACCTGTATAACTTCCATTATCATCGACTCCAACGTGAGCCACATGTTTTGCATTAAATGGAGTACTAATTTTCATATTTAATTCTGAATTTGAACCAGAACCTGAACCTGAATCTATATTATTATTATTGGTAGTTAAAGTCGATGAATTTCCAGAACTTCTTTTACCAAACATAGAAGAAAATACTCCTCTAACTCGACTTTTTTTACTTGATGATTGACTAGTAGTACTTAAAGTTGTCAGACTTGAAGAAGTTCTTGACCCATTAATTGGTGAAGGGTTAATTATATTAGTATAAGTACCAATATGAAGAGGAGAATTTCCAAGAGTTGAAGTTGAAGAATTAACTGATTTGGGGGTAGGATTAGATGGACCAAATTTACTTAAATTTTGTTGTAATATAGGAGTTATGGCTGCAGTAGTATTATGAGCTACTTGATTAAATGATTGTGATTGTGATTGTGAAGGAGGTGGAGGTGGACTTCTAATTACTGTCAGTTGAGACATTTGTCGAGGAGTTAGATCATCAATATTTTCATCATCTACAGTGGGAATCCTTTGTAAAGCATCATATTTCAATAAGTTGGCAGCTGTACTGGATATAGATGATTTATCATCAGTAGATATAATTTCAAAATCACTAGATTTATTATTATCTTTCAAAATTTGTTCTATATGTATAGGATTAGGAGCCGTAGTATTTAACGAAAAGGGTTTACCTGGATCCAAGACGGATCTGTAATTGGATAATTCGGGTGTAGTCAATTTCTGATGATGAGTAGTTACTGGAGTAGTCATTTTAGCTTCTGATATAGTGCTTGGAGTATTAGGAGCTACTAGTTGTGGTTCTTCTTCTGGCACATCTTCTTGCTCTTCTTGCTCTTCTTGCTCTTCTGGTTCTTCTGGTTCTTCTGGTTCTTCTGGTTCTTCTGGTTCTTCTTCTGGCTCTTCTTCTCGTTCATTAATGTCTGACTCTGACTGTTCTATCTCATGTGGCTCTATCTCTGTTGATTCTTGTGGTTCTTGTATCTCTTTTGATTCTATGTCTTCAGCCTGGGGTTTGTGCATTGGTAATGTTTCCAATGAATCCTCATGACTTAAAAGTGCTTCTGTATCTATTTGTGGACGAGTTCGTTTAGGTACAGGGATATCTGGTTCTTCGTATGTGGAACTGAAATTAGGATTAAAACTGGAATTAGAATTAGAATTGGAGGAATTAGAATTGGAGGAATTAGAATTGGAATTGTCGTGTAATGTTTCTGTTAACTCGTGGTACTCATCTTTAACATGACCATCATTATTTAACCCATTAACATTGTAAGTTCCGGGCATTCGAGGCAACAACGCAGGTGCAAATGGTTCATGAGAATCATGACTTTGTTGAGTTTCTTGAGTTTCATGAGTTTCATGACTTTCATGACTTTGTTGAGTTTCTTCAGACACATTACGAGTGTCTGATATATTCTTATCGGAAGTGATAGTATTACTATCAATATGATCGTTTTTTTCCGAGAATTTCGAAATAAGACTATGGATTGGAGATCCGAGCTTTAATGCTTCTTCTTCCAACTGTAAATTCGAGGTCTTAGGCCCCGGATTGGAGAATTTATCGGTAGAATTCATGATAATTAATTTTGACAATTTGATGATTATAACATAAGACTTCGAGGGAGTCACGTGGAGCAAGACTATTACTTTTACAATAAGTGAATTATAAGTGAATTAAAGGAATGACAGGATACTTAAGTATCGTTCTTTAGACTTTGTAATGATAAGTGTCTGAAGGTGAACAAGTCGTTTTACTTCAAAATGTCGGTTTTTGAAGCAGGGAAAAGACAACGGGAATGAATTGCTCGTGAGTATACGGACAGACAGAGCTGGTTCACGATCAGATATTGCGATTGTATGGTTGTAGCCTTAATGGTAGAGGTGGTGGAGGTGTCTTTTGGTGATTTGTTTGAAATTATTTTAATTTTTTGGGAATGCGTTGCGGCACGGGTGTGTGTGGATGTTAGTGTCTGATCCGACACGCCAGACAGACACAAACCAGGACTTAAGATTGCAGGGCATAATAACTACAACTACAATTATTGCTACAATTACTATTACTGACTTATTGTTACTATTATTACTATTACTATACTACTGTTATTGTTAGTGATCTTCTACTATCACTTCCCTATAATATTGTCTACCCTGTAATTCGTCTGCTTCTTCTTCTATTCGTCTTCTGTTCGTCTACATGTTCTTCTTGGCCCCCTCTTTTTTTCTCTCTTCCCTTATGGTATGGCTTTGTGTTTGGTACCTGTCCTCTAATTAGTTCAAGTTTAAGCTTGATAGTTTAACTCATAACTCTTCTGCCGTATACTTGTTAGTCATAAGTTAATTAGTCAATCCTACTTCAAATAAATTACAACTACACTACATAATATTCATTGATGTTATTTCATATTTATTCTTATTCATATTTTGCCCGATTAGGCATTGCCTATTTAGGAAGAATGCCTTGAATGTGTTGTCCCCTTATGTATTGCAGCAAGGGTCTTGTTTCTTTTATTTTTTTAAACCAGTTATAGGAGTAACGGTCACTCCAGTTACCCGCATCTTCATACCGGTTCATGATTTGTTGATTGTCAAATTTTTGTTGTTGATTGTGATTTGTTGCCCATGTACCATTTCGGACGTACATATGTATCCTGTAGCCGAGCACTGAACCTCTTGGTATGTTATGTACGGCTAAGATATCACATGGACTTTAAGAATTGAAGTAATAGTTAGAGCGTAGTTAGTGATACTTGTAGTTTCCTTGTAGTTTCCTTGTTAATATTATACTTGCACTAATACTGTATCCATAAAAATTCTATAGAGTAACTACAGCCGGACCAATGAAGACCCTGCTAGGAACAGCATCAGCGAATGAATAGTTGAACAATATGCATCCACATATTACGTGTCGCATTGTTATTAATTAATTTGTTATTTTATTATATTATATTATATTATAATGCATTTGCAGATAACGCGTCTGACAATTGCTGATCTCTTTATAGTACTTACGACACTAGTTTAACATCAATAATCAGAGAAAGAAAGTAGTTATCAATTAATGTCTGATTAAGTTGCTTATTTAGGCTGTTGTACAGATATGAAACCTCTAAATCATCTGATTGACGCGTCAACTATCATAAGGCCCGCCTTATTTTGATGTAAAAAAATGCCTTATCCCTCTATAGCATTTAACCTCTTTCCCATAACAATATAACTTCCTAACCTCTCTTCATAAATATAATTATCATTAACTAATAATTTCCCTACACTATTCTTTACTACACTAATTCCTTGATCACTATGATTTCCTCGACCTGTAATTATATTCAATTCATGAACAAATTCAACTCGATTACCATATTTATTAAATTGACCATGATCAATCCGCATTTGTAATTCGGTATCCCACCACTTCTCTAATTGAATTCGACTTACTGCTTTTGCTTCTTGTATACTTAATCTATGTAAATCAAGATCAAGATGTTGTGTAATTTGATTAAGTCGTGGTTGAACAGTTACAAGTCCTAATTCAATATTATCATCTAAATCCTTCTTCTTTTCAGCTTCTGATTGATTTGGTAATGTACTCTTATAAGGTGATAAATTAAACTTTAATCTAACACAACTAGTTAATTGATCCATTCCATTATCTTCATGAATTAATGTAAGAATCTTAATTGCTTTTTCAAAATCACCCTTAACTAACTCAACAGTAGAATATATGAATGATCTTTGCATTGATTTGAAGCTTGGATTATTGCAAAGATTGGCCGATACTTCCTCTATAAGCTCTACATCAACCGTCTCTTTTGGTACTAGTTTTGAACTTTCTTCCTTATGATCTGAGACATCTTCTCGATGATGTCCTCGACGTCTACCTCCTCCTCCTCCTCGTTGAACTCGACCACCTCTAACTGGTCGACTCTTAACGTCAATCCAATCATGCTCTTTTCCGTCTTTACGCTCACGCTTTTCTTTTTCCACTTGCGCCTGATAATTATGCACCATATCAATTAAACATTTGGCAATGTTCCCATTAGTCGCATAGAATGATTTCGTTACTGCCAGTTTAGGGAGTTGTACTAATTTTGCTAATTTTTCAAGTTGACTATCAAATATATGCCAATCATCCTTATCAGCTTGAATATCTCTATTCCCTATTGAATCATTATCTACTTCTATATTATCATTGGTTAATTCATGATCATTAAGAATAAGAGCAATAGCCCCATCAAAATCATCTTTACTATCAATTAATGCCCGTTCAAGTTGGTCTACATCATGATTAGGAAACATTTCAATAAGTTTTAAAGAATTAGATGAATAGTAATAATGCTTAGTACCATTATGACCATTATTATCATCATTATTGCCAATGTTATTTGATGAATTTGCATTCATACTCGTACTCGTACTCGCCTGAACATACTCTTCCCAATCAGTTTGATCTTTTACTTGTTGTTGCAATTCCAACGTTTCAATCTCAACCAATAAAGTTTCTATTAACTTATCTACATTAAGTACTTTATGATTCTCCGTTTTTTCAAAAGTCTCCAACTTTGTTCGTAGTTCATCTTTCGATATGTTAGGAAACACGGCACTTAATAGTTCCAATGTTTCAGATTTACTCATATTTACTGTGGCCTCTTTTATCTCCACAACAGAGTCAATTGTATATCTCTCATATAAAGAAATACAGGGACTCTCTTCTGTTTATATCCAGTCCTTTAAAGAGTCGTCAAACTACATTAACTATACTAACTATATTAATATATCAAAAGTATAATCGTATCAAAAAGTTTCGTCGTGCGAATACCAACTATGTAACCCACCCACACCCACAGACAATCATTTTGCAACCTGTCGAAGTTGTCTTATTAGTGTTTTAAAACAGCTTAGCCAAGTTAATAAATCGTTTTCAGTTTTGGCCTTGAATACGTAATGTCCAGTAGATGCTATGATGCGGAATTTCCAATCGTAATTTCCAATATTATCATTAGATATCGATCTCTGTATTGTCTTTGATGAATCTGAAAGCTTATAATTATTAGTATGATTTATATAATTTATATCATTAACATCAAACGTAGATGGAGAATCATGATGTGCAGTTAAGGATCCTCTTCTACTCAAATTTCCAATATCATGGAATGTTTCTATTTCCACCACATCAATTATATCCTTCAAGTCAACTTTTAGAAGATATTGACGACTATTTCGTTTATATATGTAGAGTGATTTATTGGTAAAGATAGCAAATACTTTTTTCCATTTTAGGAAAGGGTGGTTGTGATAAGAACGATATGTGTTATTTGGGAAATGTAAGTCAAGCTTCAATTTGCCCTTTTCAATGAGATATTCATATTTATCTGATGTAATAGATGAAATCTCACTTATTTCATTTTCCGGTAGATTACTCAACTGTTGAAGCTTCTCTTCTACAGATGAATGATGATGGGAATTCTTTTTGGGGACTGTTTCTCCCCCTGATGAGGAATCATTAGATGAATCACTTAATGAACCATTACCACTATGGTTATGAAAACTAGATGTATTATTATATTCAACGGGTACATCTTCTTCTTCATTCATTCCAAACATCTCTTTTAAGGCTTCAATCCATTTCTTGAATTCTTTATTATCTTTAGTTCTGAATTGTAAAATTTTATCATTGGTATACACTAAGAAAGATTTACTACTCTTATCATTGACATCATTTTTCAAGATGGTAAATAATTTCAAATTCCTTGAAAGATTATAAACTTTCTTAGGTTTATGCTCAGTATTATCAATATAATAGTTTAATTGTAACTTTCGAAGAACAACCCAATATAATTTCCAGTTATTCGATTTCGATGATTTCTTATATAGATACGATGAAATTAATAATTTATTTTCGTCAATTGAATTTGATCGTGATGGTTTTCTAATAGCAGTACTTGTCAGTGTCAGAGTAACTGACACTGGATTTGGAACATCTGAAGTATCGGTCAAAGCCATAATTGCCTTTACTATACTCCACTATATACAAAACTCCAAATTTTGCCTCAGGTATTTCTTTGAATGATTCAGTTATATATTATGTGAATCTGGAGAAGTCACGGAATTGTGGGGCAAGAAAGTAGCAAGCGAAAATAGGCTGTGAATCGTGTTATGTTGTGCTGTCCGCTTATGAAACGATTTCCAGCATTTAATTGTTTTCAGTTACTGTAGCTAAGCAAATATAGAGATAGAATAACTACTAAAGTAACAAGACGTTCTATACGGTTTGAAGTTCATTGTAATGTTTATGGTTTATTATTTAATTACAAAGGTAATTGGGGCGGTACCCCAAATTATTATAACTATAACTAAAAATAGGCAATACTATAATTAGCTTATTTAAGTAGTACGATTTGTGCGAGAATGTGAGCCCAGAACAAATAGGTTAGAGATACATGTATAGCAGTTTACTTATTTTGTTCATTACGTTAACTACTGTGGTATGGGTGCAGCAGTTGGGGATTAACGGTTTTGCTAGACTGTAGATATCCGGCATAGTGACACGAAGATGGCGTAGCAATAGGGCCCATAACGATAATGGGTTAAAGTAACTATAAACTAGTAGTAACTTTAACTCTGAAGTAGTGTACGTGTACATAATTTACAGTATCGTGTATATTATTTATAGTTCGTAAACAGTGCACAGTCTAAAGGATCGGTTATTGCGTAATTAGAAACTCACCGATGAGCGAATTAGGGTCATGATCCCGTGAGCATATACCCGCAGTTAACCCTATTACTGTACCAAAGGCTAGTAGCCGATAATTTATTGGTTGGTAAACAGTAAGTATATTTTTTGCGCATGACTTGTCACAAAAAACTAAAGATATTCTTCAGAAATCATATAGTATACTTAAAAGCAAGATTATCACTAAGAAGTGAAATTTCCTCATCAGCGGTCAAGATCTTCTCACCGATCGGTTTTTAAAGTTTTTGGAAGTCGCAGTGTCCACTGCTGAGTTAAGAAGAGCATCTTGAACAAAATCTTTTTTCGACCTTATCCTTATCTTTATCAAATACGTTAGAAACGATTGGTTTACCCCGTAAATAACATGTCGGAACTTCAAAGAAAGTCCATTGATAAGAATTTGGCTCGGTATCATCAACAAATAAACCAGCAAACTTCCGAACTACTTAGTCATGGACATCATGAACATCATGAACATCAACAACATCATCATAGAAATTCTGAACCATTGGCAATAAGAAGTGATTCAGACCTCATCAGAGATAGTTCTCGAATGCTTCATCCAATTCATAGTGGTACATCTCCTCTAGACCATGTCACAACTCAATCATCCCTTGATGATTATCGTATCCCTCCTCAATTACAAGACCATTCAAAACCCAGTGAGTATCATGACCTTTTGGATTATTTCAAACAGAGACAGTCAGATAATTATCGATACATCAAATTCATTGTACCTGATGATAACCCTACTACCGCAAATTTTACTAAAAGGGTATCCTTTGATACGGTTAATCTTGAAACCGATGAAGATCATTTAGTTGAATGGGATGATGCATTTGGTTGGGATCTTGTACGACTTAGAGAAGCATCGACTTCTTCAAATGATAGAGGTAGAAAACGTGAATCCGTTTCTGCTTCTAATGGTGGAACATCTCCTCTAGCATCACCAACTCGAGGGTATTCAGCATCAGATTATTTCACAGCCAATTATTCATTTGGTACTAGTGGTACTAGTTCCACTGTAGGTGGTCTATTAAGTCCAAATCCAATTATGCCAACTCCAGCTGAATTGGAAAATCTCCTTGATACTTCACTTCTTCAAACTGCACCCAAGGCCCCTACTTATCCAACGACTCCTATAATAGTTCATCGTGGTTGTACATTAACTAAAAAGCATAAAGATTTTGATAAATTATACGATGGCCTTTTGAAACCAAAAGCTCCTGTATTACCAAAACGGTCAATTCTTATATATGTAAGTGGAAGAAGGCATACGTGGGTTGCTCTAGATTGGATATTAACCAATTTCTTAGAAAATGGTGATTCTATTGTTATATGCTGTGCCATAAACTATCCAGATATTTTAACTCATAAAAAAAGAAAGAACAGTTTCTATTCGCCTCATGGATTTTTACCTCCCACGAATCCTCGTCTGAGATTTCTTCATAGGAATAAACCAGAAAATGTCCCTTCAATATGTGAAAACTTAATGGAATATGTTGAAGCTATGGTTAGTCCCAAAAAGATTATTAAAATTACTATTGAATTTGTTGTTGGTGATACAAAGAATGTTTTGAAAGAGATGTATAAATTATATGAACCTAATTTAGTATGTACTGCTACCAAACCCAATATTAGAATAAGTGCACCATTAAGGAGTTGGAATTCTTCTAAGTTAACTGATAGATTGGTTAAAAATTTCCCCTTACCAGTAATAGTTGTTCCTGCTGCCAATATGAATAACTATGAGTATAAATTAGAAGATAGATTTAAGAAGCAATTGGAGAGATCAAAGAATGCAAAGATGGACGGAGTGAATGCTTCATTCAACGAGGATGGTCAGAGTTCTCAATTAACTACTGATACTTCTGTAGATGATAAAAATAGTCAAGACGATGATGAAGATGTTGAATGTACTAAGGATAAGTTATTGCCTAATGATGAAGATCTAGAGGATGATGATGAGATCGACTCGATTGAACAATTTGATGGAGATGATAACAATTCCATCACATCTGAAAACAGTGATTCATCGACTCTGTCATATTCTTCATTTGAAGAAATTAGTAGATTGTATTATGACTATAAGAAGGACTTAGCATTAGGTTCTAAGAGAGATGCGGTTGTTTTTGATGCTGAAGCTTTAATTCATGATATCAAACTTATTTCTGATAAGTCTCTGGAATTATGTAATGAAATTAGAACTTTGGCTCCAGATTATAGAGGGAATGGATCTAAATTGGCTCGGGCAATCACAGGATCTAATTTATTTGATGTGGTGCCTTATAAGACGAAGTCCATGTTGGATCCAGTTTTACCTAAGACATCTAGTTCTGGTCTTAGTTATAGAGAAATGAAAGAAATGCTTAAGCAGAATGCTAAGAATGCTGCACTTAAACAACAGCAATCTGATCCAGAGAATGAAAGCGACTTCTCTCCTCCTCCCCATGCAGCAACCTTGCCAGTAATTACTATCGGTAATGATGACGAAACTAGTTCTCGAAGTTCATTATCTCCATCTCCTCAACCAATTACTTCTACATCATTAAAATGGGATATTGATCATGCTTCACCTACTACAAATAATAAAAAGAAATCGAAAGTTAGTACAAAACTATTACAAAAATCATTATCTCATGATATAGGTAATGATGTAGGAAGAATTACTATTGAACCATTAAAGTCGCACCCTGATTTGAAATCATTAGCGGCTTCGGATTCTAATCTCCCCTTACGGAAGGAAAGTTCTATTAAGAAGAAGTCAAAGAAAAAGTTCTGGAAATTCTTTAATTGACTCACTAATATTTTTTATATTATTAAAAATTAAAAAAATACTTTATATATATAGATATATATACTTATACATATTCATTTAGAATAGAGCTGCGCTACCATACACCCCAATTAGTACCTCTAGGCAGTGTGCTCACCAACAATTTAAATTTAGCATAGGCTGAGTTATGCAACAAGTGAATTAACAAATTGTATCTAGATCACTATATTGAGCCGACCACTACTATTACTATTACTACTATATTACTATGAGAGTTGCTAATTACTGCATACTAGCGATAACCTATTTTATAACCGCCACTTTAGCATTCAAACCATACAATAATAGACGAGAGGATGCAGATGAATACCTTCAGTATCAACGAGATAATCATCAGATTAATTTCCAGGACCCAGATAAAACTGCACAAGTGGGACCTGTGGCAGCATTGACTGATTTCCAACCCATCTATAGTATAATTCATCCTAACCAGGTCCAATTCTATTCATTTCTGGTGAATACAACCGGTACTATCGGAGAATATTATGAATACTTAATCTTTGTTTCAGGGAATATCTGTTTACAACCTCCTAATTTAAGTGCAGAAGACAATTTACAAGTATTCTATTCATTTAATTCTAATCTATTGAATCAAGTGGTGGATGAAAATACTCATCAGACTAGTTTCCAATTTGGGTACTTTCAAGCCTTGGGAGAGTTCTTACAGAATCAAACTCTGTTAGATCCTGATCCTACTTTATATATTGCAATTTATTCACCTGATCATGTCAATAGTACTGCCTATTGGAATTATCAAATTGGTGTATCTCAAGATAATTTGGTTTATCAATGGGATTCCAGAAGTTTTGCAAATGTATTGGATACTGATGATCAATCGGCATTAATAGTTACTGGTAACTTATCATTTATTCCAGGATTTAATCCTAATCAATCATTAGGAATTGAAAATGAAGCATTCAATTTATATATATATGATTATGAGTATAAGAATTATTTTAATAATTTAAATCAAAGTGCTTGTGCAATTAGAAGTGGACCTCAATTAACTAATATTACAGTAAATACATCATATACTTTCCGATCAGGTAATAATAATCTTGAACAACAATTTTATGTTGATGGTTTAAAACAAGGTACTAGTTATATTGGATATCTTGTATATGATTTTGGTCTAACTGATAATTCAGAAGCTTTAGGTGGAGCCGTTTATCAACAATTTGAATTCGAAACGTTAGATTCCGATGCTTGTTCGGTTATATTTGATTTAGACTTTTGTGATAAAGTAGCTTATGCAGTTCCTGAGATGCCAGGAGTTTCTAAGGAAGAACTTGCCGCTACTTTTGATAATTATACATCTAATTTGTTCGTTAATTTCACTAATGCTCTACAACAAATTGCATGTAATACCACTGAAAATGCTGTTTTTTCACCTATAACTTCATGTCAAAATTGTTCTTCAAGTTATAAGGATTGGTTATGTTCAATATCGATTCCTCGATGTTCTACAAGAAATATGACGGGATATTTATATAGAGAAGTTAATGAATCTAGAAATGATTTCATAAACAATGTGATTCAACCAAAATTACCATACTTTGAAGTATTACCTTGTATTGATATGTGTCAAGCCATTGCTCGAGATTGTCCTGCTGATTTCGGTTTTATATGTCCTACTAGAAATGATTCAATTGCCTTATCTTATTATTGGACTAATGGTAATACTCAATATCCAACTTGTAATTATATGGGTGCTGTTCCTGAAATTGAGAATGCATCCTCTTCCCTTATAATAAACTGGACTTTTGTAATGTTAGGATTGATCATTACTATGGTGGTATACTTATAGATTTAGTGTATATAGGCAAATGTACTAAGAACGAATTATATACTGCGGCATGGGTGTAAGAGAGCCCCTAAGCAATTTATACTATGGCAGATCGTAATTTTCAGAAATATCTAACGCGTCCCTGAACCTATAGCTGATGAAGCAGAGTTTTAAGTTTAGCATATAGAACTCGCATTGACTATGACTACAGATAAGAATAGCGAGAATCTTCCATGGTATGTGAAATACAATGTTCTTTTTTTTCTTTAGAGTTTTTCGTATATTTTATGGAATACTAACCAATATATAGGGTTGAAAAATATCGTCCTGATTCATTAGATGAAGTGTTTGGACAACAAGATATAGTGGATACTGTTAAGAAATTTGTTCATGAAGGTAGATTACCTCATTTATTATTCTATGGACCTCCTGGAACTGGTAAGACTTCAACTATTATAGCATTGGCTAAAGAAATTTATGGAATAAATTATAAAAATATGGTATTAGAATTAAATGCATCTGATGATAGAGGGATTGATGTTGTACGTAATCAAATTAAGAATTTTGCATCTACTATGCAAATTTTTAGTAAAGGATTTAAATTAATTATATTAGATGAAGCTGATGCTATGACAGCTGTAGCTCAAAATTCATTAAGAAGAATTATTGAAAAATATACTAAGAATACTAGATTTTGTATATTAGCTAATTATGCTCATAAATTAAATCCTGCTTTACTTTCAAGATGTACTAGATTTAGATTTAATCCAATAAGTGAAGAAGCTATTAGAGATAGAATTTCTAGTGTCATTATTAAAGAAAATTTAAAGATTGCTCCAGTGGCAGAATCAGCATTGTTAAAATTAAGTAAAGGTGATATGAGACGAGCTTTAAATGTACTACAAGCATGTAAAGCTGCAACTACTGAACAAGAAGAAATTACAGAAGATATGATATATGAGTGTGTAGGAGCACCTCATCCTCAAGACATTGAAACTGTGTTGGATTCAATCTTAAGAGAAGATTGGACTACAGCTTATGAAACAATCAATAAATATAAACAAGTTAAGGGTTTAGCCTTAATCGATCTAATTTCTGGTTTTATTGAAATCTTGAATCGATATGAATTAAAGAGTAAAACTAGGATTGATATCTATAAAGGTTTAAGTGATATAGAGTATGGTATTTCCAAAGGAGGTAACGAAAAGATTCAAAGCAGTGCCGTAATAGGTGTTATAAAAGCCGCTTTAGAAAGTCAAGCTAATTAAGTTTCTACATATATAGAAAAATAAAAGAAAATTACCTGTAATTAGTTAGTATAACATATTTCATTGTATAACAAACACAAATTAGTCCCCTATCATTATCACTAAGTATTTAATTAATCATCTATCTTAACAATTCTTCTCATGAAACAAAAATTATCGAAGAGCTGGGTTTATATAAAGTAGAGCCTCCAGGGCTCGTTATAATCATATTAATAATAAAGTGATAATGATTGGATACTAAAAGTATTCCATTAGTATTACTTACCGTTTACTAAGATCTCAAACTTTATGAGTAAAGTAATGACTTGGATCTATCATAGTAAAGAAGCTATGTCTTTGAAAAATTTTCTTTCCTATTTTGAAATTTTCTCAACTTCTCATATTTTTATTTTGTGTAACGGGCATAATCTGGAGCACATTTGCAATTTTCAATTAGGGCTCAAGTACATAATTCACTAATGGAATTTAAGCATTGTTACTTTACGATATGCAAAATAAGCTTTGCTTTGCTGGTGCTTGATACATCGATTAGCAAAAGAAAACATAATAATGACCGTCGAATGCATTGAAAATTTTATGTCAAAAGGATAATTTACGCCCAGTTCCATGCAAAATTTTGCATTCATTCAGCCTGTTAACGAAGTAAATTAACATAAATCACTATGCAATAACTATGGAATCAAATTAAATAAAGCGCAATCCCGGGCTGAAGGCTTGTTAGATAGGGGAACTCCTAAATTCAGAAATCCCGATACAGCGCAATTTCATGGTTAAAGTGTTTACAGGAAAAGAGTTGCAGTCATTTCATGAAACAAAGAGTATGAACCATGTACTCTATTAATTTAAGAGGTGTGCATTTGCAGTATAGAATAATTTAACAATCATGGGCTACCTGGCAACGGGGACCGAGGAATACGGGGGCCGCCATTGTTTAAGGCTAAACTCAAGATATCAGTCGTTGTTAGTTTCCTAAAGGGAAGCTCTACATCCCTTATATCGGAGAACTAACGCATAAACTTCTTTGGCTGATATTTTAATGAAAGCAATCTTCATACTGATAATGCACAGTTCTAGAACAGAGAAAATCACGATTATCCTTATCATATTTCTCAAATAAAATCGGCAAATCTCGCTCAGGAAGTGTGACGTAATTTGAAGTTTTACCTTCATAATCGGCCAATACTGATTTCTTTTTTGTATATTGTCAAATATCATACTACACTTAATGATAACGATATTAAGAGGTTATGCAAAATTATGCTCGTCGATAATGTCAGTATTCCCCGGTCTACTGCTGGCTCATGCTCTTAAACATTCAATCTCGTACTTATGCCAACTTCCTTTGGGCCTTATAAAGCCGATTATTCTTGGATGATTGTTCCTGAAATTAATAACTCCACTAAACAAGCTGCCTACACATATGAATTGCGCTATCTTGGATTAAACTCGGAGTTCCTCTAATATGTGCTTTGCAAACCGATTCATTAATACAATTCCTTACTCTGTACTAATACGCCTCATATCGGAAACAATTAAAAGTTGATACCCGAGTTATTTTTCTCAATCAGTAAAACCTTAAGAGCTTATTTCACAAGGAAAAGTTTTAGTCCAAAAGCTTATAAACTCTTAATTGTACAGAACAAACCATAGACATTCCATGCACTTTGCACTAAAATCAATATTGTAAAGCAAAATGCAAAGTACTTGGAAATTCACAAACAATAGTTCGGAATTGTTAAGCACAAGTGCATGCTGTGAATCGAAATATCGCTATCTCTTTATTATTATTATCGATAACATATAAGCGTCAATTTTTAGTCAATTGATCAAACTTTAAAAGCTTATCTATGATTTGGTGGAGGTACAAAATGGTCAAAAAGTTCGGATGTATGTCATTTCTTTGGTGCAGTACTTTGTAAATAATTATTTTCAAATCTTGAATTTCTTTTTACAGTATTTTTTTTCGCTTTGCAGTAAGTTAAATTTCTGCTTATTAGCTCACAGTGAGAACAAGAATAAGCGGAGACCACAAGATTCCCACTCTTGATATATCCGCAAGGTAGGGCCTCAAAAATTGTATCAAAAATGAATTTTACGGGGCATCAACCTATAATACTATTCTAATCAATCCGTACAAAAACATTGTGTAACGTATAAAGGTTAACTGTCAGCAAAGATCATATCAGATACATGCCTATATCATTGATAGAGCTAATAAGAACGGACAATTGACCATTTTTCGTAATAGCTTGTATGATTCAGAACCATTGTGTTGAGGTTTTAAAACTAATCGTCGACAGCACAACTCACCCCTCTTATCTTAGTCAGCTAACAATTACGATTATTAACTCGGAATGGTCATCAATTGCAATTACTTTTCCTTGGCCTTTTACGATTCAAATATTTAACTGTTAATATTCACTTTGAAGTGTTCGTATCTTTCAATAAGCATACACATGGTACAGGTGTATACTTGACAGTTATCGAACACAAGCCATGATCATCACTGGCATTTGAGAATCAAAATAAATTGTAGTATCTTAACCATTGCATTCTTCCGAGACATATTGAAAAGTGGCCTTAATCCCGATTTGTATTATAGAGAGTGGTTATTATGACCAAAATCGGTTAAGCTTCTTTGCAGTGAACAAATTTAAAGAGATAGCTTTATGGGAATATGCACAGGTTTATTTTATTCTTTGATGTTCATACAGGTACATAAACATCATTAGTCGAATTGATATGAACATTTTTTTCTATTGCATGTTTGAATCTTGCATTTGAAATTGCCACTTCAAAGAGTAAACGCTAAAGTTCTATTATGAATTTCTTTTTCTCTATACACGACTGCTTGTCATTATTATTTCAAATCTAAATGTATCTGATTGCCTAACTTTAAAAAGGTAATGTCTTCCAAGATTTCAAGCTATGCTATGCGATTTTTCTATATTTAGCCCAAGTATACTAGGAAAGAGTGATATTATTCTGGAGTAAGGAGAGAGGGGTGTTCCAAACTCCTAACAATCCATTCATATGCACTTCGGGCTTCTCGAGCTTCTAGTAAAGTGACCTACATAAAGAAGACGATAAAAAGAAATTTTAAAGAATACTAACAATGAAGTATTAAAAGGGGCGAACAATATTCAAGGAAAAATGATTTACAAGTTGAACAAAAAATAAATTAAAAAAATTATAAATTAAAAAGAAATTTGGTTTGAGACCAAATGAGTAAAGCTGGAAGAAGATCCAAGAGTAAGCACAAAAAATAAGAATAAAAAAATAATCAACAAAGAACGAAAATATGGTAGTGCAGAGAAGAATCAACTAATGAGATATCTTAAGAACAGCACAAGATATCTTAAAAACAAGACTCAAGAAGAGGAATACATCCCAGCAACATGAAGGGCACAATTGTGAACTTATTAAATGGGATAAAAAGATCACAGATGATTATCGAAATGAAAGGAAAGGAAAAGTCTACTTCTCATTGCATGTGTTTAGTTGCAACTAATGGGATAGGGGTCCTTGTGACAATAATTAGTCTATACGCAATATTTTTATATTTCTATTTACATTCGTGCTTGAAATTTCTTGTATTGATTTTTCATACAAACTTTTTGCGGAGTTGTTAAACTACCAATTCCATTAACTGTTACTACTCGTAACTGTAGTAGAATATATTACTTAAATATCACAAATAATAATCAAGATTGTGAAATACTATGTGCAGTACAGAATTTCATTTTTGATCACAAAGCTCAGAGCAGTTAATTTTGGTAACCACAAAGGCAAAAAGGGGGTACAATATAAAAATATAATAGAACATAATACAATTAAGAAAAAGATTGTTTGTCCGCCTCTCTGAAAGTATGGTCTTTAATTGAAATTCATATCTAAAAGACATTATTTTATTTGAAATCGTGGATTTACCAGCACAATTCAGACAAATCTATAATGTATCTGCATAGTACATATTTTAGGCATTGCAATGTATAACATACACATGTATTTTTGTTAAGAAAATAATTGCAAATTCCTTCTTAGTGCATTGATAAATCGTCGTCTAAAGCATTGATGATCGTCTTTGAAGCTCAATCTAGACTGTACCATTGTCAAAGATAAGCATGGAAAGCAAAAATCCATGAATAACTTGCCAATTGTAAGTGTAAATCCCCGAACGAGAAAACTTATTCGTTTACCTTGTAAGATGGTCGTTCCATTAATTCATATGGTAAAGTATAGTCGTACAGCATGATATTGAACCGTTGTGCAAGATCTAACCTTCTATTCCAATCCAAGCCAACTATAATTACTTCTCCTATCTCCATACATACAGTATGCACAAATTTGTACGTACTTCCTGTTCACTTGCACATAATTGTTTGTGATGAATTAGCTCTGAATGTCTCTCCTATAACACTTGTAAATACACTATACATACATATAGTAGCTAGGCCGCCCACTTAGTGATAAAAATAAGCACAATGCCTTTAAAAATATTAATTATTATGAACTCTGAATTAAGATTTTAACAATAGTATTTTATAGCTATTGCTTATTATGAATATTATTATTCAGAATCAGGATCTATTGATCTTTCGTATTCTAAAATCATTTTTCCATTCATGTGTTTCATTAAATAAGAGCATATTGCTGTCGACAATGGTATATAGAAGCTTCTAACTACACGAGAGAAAATAAAAATAAATGTCCTTACTTTAAATGTAATCTGAAATTAGAGTTTGTAAAATAATAATCGGCTCCATAATTCATAGGCGTCAAAAGAAATTGAAGAGAAGTTTAATATAATTAAAGTATAGATATAATCATGCACATTTGAAAAAGAAATGAATATCTAATGAACCCCGTCGTCCTATTATGGGAATAAGAATAGATAATTGGTGTAATTGAATATCCCCCCTCTACCCCTCTAAAGAAGTATACTCTGAATCCTCCAATTTGGATTTTCCTGTGTCTCCTTCAAGCAAAGTCTCCCTCAGGAAGTTATGTCACTAACTTTTTTTTGAATTACTGTGAGAAGGGGAGGGGGGAACATTTAGAACAGCTATCCCACCAAATGATCAT